TATCAACATTTGTGACGAAAAATTATTACACTCGTCATTAAATAGACTTTCTAATATTTTCTCATTCGGCACGCTGCAATAGAAAATGCCTGTGAAGGGAAAAAGGTTGGAATAGTTTGCTAGGGCGGGCCGAATGAGAAAATATTAGAAAGTCTATTTAATGACGAGTGTAATAATTTTTCGTCACAAATGTTGATATCAGAACTTTTGTATGTTGAAGGTGCGGTCGTCACTAGTTTTTTACCTCGTTAAGAGGTGTTTTTATTTGATATAAAAATTACAGGCGAGGGGCCTTAGGCTAAAAAATATTTCAGGGAACTATTTAAGCAAAATAATAGGAAATATGATACCTACCTAAAAACATTTTTATAATCATTTTTTTGAAATGAAATCAAATCTAGAATATGAAAATGTTGTTATGTTAAGATATCGTTTTTTCATTAGCTTTTGTTTTATCCCAGAGGAGTGAAGCAAATATTTTGTAATATAATCCAAATGTAAGGAATTTTATTTTTAGTAAAATTTTACGAATGCCTGGGGCAGATTTAGCTCTGCTCTCTGGAATTCCGATAAATGGTTGGCTATTTCAAACATGCAACTCTTCGACTTCTACTTATGCACATCCACTCAAGCCGAACAATGAGCGAGATGGATGTGCATATGTACATATATGCACTCTAATGTAGTTTATACCCACAATTTAACATGGTCAGCTACCGCAGATGCAGTGCAGTGCCTGGCCATGGCTAATTTGCATATTGTCTGGGTCAATTGCATTACAGACGCCGGATTCCGATTCCGGGCGAGTCCTAATCAATTGGATTGTTGTGTGTTCATAAACCGAAGGCTAATCAGTTTAATATTACGTTGGAGGTTCCTTAAAAGCTAAAGGTTTTCATGGCAACGGGATTTAAGCGCCATATTTTTAGCCTGTTATGCAATCTGCTTAGATGAAGCTGTGCCACGCAATGGAATCCTCAGTCAAGGCCTCCAACGTATTAGCGAAACCCATGACAGTTTAAATTTCCACAGAGCCATTTTTTGTGCTGCGCTTTTGTTGCATATTTCAGGGCGCCGCTGCCCCATTGCTCTTGTTGGCCAGGAAACACAACGAACTGCCAAATGGCTTGCGCAAAGCGGAAGAAAAACTAAAACAAATGTCAGTCGTAGTTGACGCGTTGCCACCGACCACCAGAAGCCACCGGAGCGGTTCCAGTGGTGCTGCTGCCCCACCTCCTCTCTCCAGGATCCCCTGGATGCCCAGGATGCCGCCCCCTGATCCCCGCTGGCTGCCAGCGAAATGCAAATGTCATTTGCAGTTGACACTTGACTCAGCACTTCGCACTGTCCTAGGGCACTTTGGGGTTTTCACCTGCGTCTTCGCGCCCGCTTTCCCGCTTTTCCCACCCTTTGGCTCGCCCATTTACTGCATTCGGTGGCACAATGGCTGCTATCCTCACACTCCCGCAGACACCGGCAAATAAAAGAAAGTAAAATTAAACAAAAGTTGTGTGGGCCAGGTCGCAAAAAAAAAACGAGGATCTAGAAATGGAAGAGAGGAGGGGTGAAAGGGGCGACTAATGCCAACTGAACATGAATAAAGTCGTGGCCCCTTGGGAAGCTGCCACCGCTGCCATGTCGTCGTTATTCTCGTGGTCGTCATTAGGAGGGCAGACGTCAAAGTATGCGCTTTGTTTTTGCTGCGTGCCATGCAGCGTGTTAATAGCCAGGCACCCGTGCACCCGGGCACCCAGGCCCCAGTCCACCAGGCACTGCACTGAGAAAAATATTACACAAGTTGCTAGGTAGCATATTAAAGAAAATATGTAATAAGATATATGAGAAAATCTACTTTTATAACTTAGCCAAGTTTTATTTCATCTTTTAATGAAAATAATCGAGACCACAGGTTGTTGACTCTTTGAAACTGAATAATTTTAACACGTTTTTTATAAGTAGCTAAATATTTTAAAAAATGTAATTACATTATTAGTACTTTTTATCAACATTCATTAGGTTATAACATTAAAAAACCAAAAAAAAATCCCAAACATTTTATTGTCTTACTTAAAAAAACATATTTCAAAATTTAAAAATATTTGATTTTAAAAAAATGTTTAAAAACTGTTAAGCAAAGTAAGAAATTAATATACTTTTTACTTTCCCTCTGTGCAACACCGTGAGGCATGAAACCGCTTCCCGCCCAAAAGCCAGAAGCCGAAGTTGACAGAGTTTGAGGAGGGGAGGGGCGGTCCACGTGGACCAAGAGCCACGGCAAGTCAAGTGCTGCAGTTGCCGTCGTGTGGCGAAAGTGAAGCCTGCACAGCGTGCAGCAAGTGGCTGACATCTCGTGTGGCTGTTGGGTGAGCGTTGAGCACATTAAATTGATGCGCTTGATAAGGATTACAAAGAAAAGGTGGCTTAAAGTGAGCCAGTACTTGAGGGAAAAGAGAGGGGAATTAAAATGGCTGGCTTTCTTAACATTGCAATACTGTATTATTAAATATTCAGCTTTATTTATTTTCATATTAAATTTTGGAATTTAATATAAACATTAAAATTGACAGGGGCAATGGTGCGTATGCGTAATTAAAACGACACTGCTCGGATTTTTTGCTGAACTTATGAAAAGCTTTTTTAAGGTTTGCCTCGCATATACAGTCACTAGAGGGCGGCACTTGGAGCTTTTTTTTAAATTTTAAAATAAATGCCTTAAGTCAACCGACTTTTCCCACAAGAACATTATTCATATTTACTCCGATTGAATAATATGCACCTAGAAAAATATTTTTTCCACTTTGGCCCAATGGGTTTTATTCCACAAATATTCCACATTATATAAAAATCAATGCCAGTCATAGGCGTATAATTAAATATCGAAATATGCATGATTAACTTAAACAAATTTCCCCGTTCAACTGATTTTCATGCCATGACAATAAAAAGACTACGCAAAACTTTGCCTCAGAGAGGGAGAGACAATGGAATTGCAATGATTGTAGAGCCGAGTAAATAAGCCAAGAGAGAGGACTCCATATTTTTGTTTATTTTTCAGCTTCATCCCCACCCTGGGGAATGCAACGTCGAGCAGTTGTCGTTCGGCTGGCACGCAAGCGGTACACAAAGCTCCGCACTCCGGAAACAGACACGGATTTTCTTGAACTCGATCACCCACACCTAAAGGAAATAAATCTTTGAAACTGATCATTAAGTCGGTATTTTTCACAAGTAACTAAACCCTTTTCGTAAATGATCATGACCTTTAATGTGCTGGAATTTTTGCTCATCTGTTTATTTTGTCCCAAAAAAAATCAACTTAATATTCAGTGCTAACGAAAATAACTTTATTACCAAGGTCATGGTTTTTTTTTTTTGTAATGCACTGTTCATAAGTTCTAAAATTAAAGGATTTTGTGATTGTGGATAAAACCCACATTATTAATATGTAATATAACTAATTTGATTATAAATAATTTATTTGTATATCATTAATATAAATAATTCATTTGTATATTATTGATTTCAAAAAAATTTTAATTTATTTTAGTTTGAAGATCTACAATGTTTGAGGAGAATAGCAATCCATCTCCCGAAAATGCGCTATGGACTCTTCAGGGTCGCGCAAGACCAAGTCCTGCCCAGAGGCTGCACAACCTCACCTCGTCCGCCTCATCGAGCTCAACACCCGGCTTGCCCCTACCCCAGAATATCTTCACAAACCCAGCCATCCAGCCCTCCAGCGTAATTAACCTCAACCACTCTACCGACGTGGTGATCGGTCCCATGACCCAATATCAGGGACCGGTATCCATATACTATATGGATTATATGGAGGCACACGCCATGCAAACGGCGGCAGGTGAGTCCCCGATCCTGAGAGCAACGGAAAATTATAATCACGGTTGGCTATCGAGATTATAGATAATAGATTTTAATCGGAACTGGAATATTTTTAAATATTTTATTTTAACCACACTTTTATATTCTTGTACAACTTCTAAAAGCTTTTGATTATTTTATATATTTCGGTCGAAGTACCTACTATTTTGTACTTTGTGACCATTTTTTAAGTAAACAATGCGAGGTGCTAGACTTTAGCATACATTGTAAGTAAATTAAAACATTTGTATAACTTTGAAAAAAATCAAGAATTTTCTTTAAAAAATAATTCGATATTTTAGCATTAAATCAAATGAATTTACACAGGGAAACGTTTTAATTTTGTAAACGATTTATTTCAATTTATTACGAGTCTATGTTAATTTAAGGTTCATATCAATTTTGATATTTTCACTGATTTAAACTAAAAATGTTTGATTACAGAAAGGTATTTCATCTGAACTTTGGTATAGGTGAATAACTCAGAATATTTGGTTTTACAAAGCCCTTAGTAACAGCCTTTTATTAATATATCATGATTATGATCAGATAGTGTGAAAAGCGTAAGTGCCAATTAGTTTCATAACTTGATCGTCCACTCTGCATCAGATATGGGTTAATAATTTAGCGGGAAGAACAGAACAGCTAAGTGAATAATCGAGGTAATTGAAATGCAAATCGGGTGGCGGGATTCCTGGAACCCCCATAATTACGGGAACTCGGGCAGAAAGAGAGCAGCTCGCTCAGTTGCACTCAGAAGCAGTGAGAGATACGGCTGGTTATCCAGTGTTTGTGGATCAATCTTTGCGCCACTTGCGATGCACATCGCATATTGCGCATACGTCACGTAGTACAAAAGAGAAAGGGAGAGAGAAATACGAGAAATAAGAGTGCAAAGCGTAAGTGTGTAAAATGTGATATGGCAAAGCAACAACAGAAGGCCGGCGATATCATGACACACCCGCGCCCCCTCCCCCACCCCCCTTTCACACCCCCCTTGGCCTTTCTTCACACAAACAAACACGAAACATGTCAACCAAGGGTAGAGCGAGATGGCTGCTTTTCAGCGCTTTTGCCATTCGTATTTCTGTTTCTGTTTCTGTTCCATCGACAGCTGCGCCGCATTTCAGTTGTTTGTGCGACGGGTTCAGGTGCGGTGGCGGTATTAGCGGCACTCCGGCGTCCGATTATCGGTCAAATCCATTATAAAACAATTAATATCCGCAGCGCTTCTGCACCCAGTATTATTGGTGTTTGTGCAGCCATTTACTTGTGCTAATTCCGATGATTCAGCGGACAATTACTCATAAAAGATATCGCCTATAATGCCCAGTGTTGTGCCCAGTTGTGCCAAAAAGTTGTGATAAGCCACCGTGGAACGCAGTGCCATGAAACTGCTGCTGAAAGTTCACTCGGAGCGCACGGCGCGCAGGAGACGTACACCGGAACCCAGTTTAGCCCACTCCCGGGATTCTTCAAGTATATATATCCAGCATATCATCTATTATAACAGCCTTTCTAATACAAACATTTTATTTAGTATTTATTTATCAAGGGTGACAAACAAATCACTTTCTTAGTTGCACAGAAAGGATGTTTGTTTAAAAAAATCAAGAAACCATCTTGAATATTATGAATCACTGGTTTGACGGTTTTTTAATCTTGAATGATTACTCATTTCCTACAAAATTTTGTTGATAGTTCCTAAACGACAATAATACAAACATATGACATTACAACAAAATATTATATAAATAGTGTTTTGTATTTCAAAATATAAAACATCAAAGACTTTTGGTATGCAAATTTAAAAGATTTTGCTAAAGCACCTTAACCAAGTCAATAAATCGATCCCAACCGTGAGCTCTTTGTATACCAAATGCTAATTGATCGACTTTCGCTAACTCAGGCATCAACAGCAACAACGCAAATGGCAGTGGCAACGCCAATCGTGGACGTGATAAATCGCCATCAAAACAACTGACCCGTAACACCATCCTGTTGATCACGCTGATCCTGTTGGTCCTGGCCACCAGCTTGGTGGTGCTCTACGTGGAGCTCAATCGACCCCGGCCCGAGTTGCCGAGCAACAAGGCCATCTACTTTGGCAACAACTACGACCACGACACGTGTAAGTGCACGGGACTCGGATTGTCCCCATAGCCAATTCACCAATTTTTCAGTTCCGAATTTAGGAAACGGCCATCTGGTCATCGACAGGAAGCAGTGGGGAGCCTCCAAGACGCGAGCCCTGACCATTCCCCTGCGGCGACCCATTCCCTACGTCCTGATCACCCACATCGGAGTGCAGTCGCTGCCCTGCGAGAACATCTACAAGTGCTCCATCAAGATGCGCACCATCCAGGACTCCGCCATTGCCGAGAAGAGTCTGCCGGACATTCAGTCTAATTTTTATGTGAGTTTTTTTTATTTTTTTTAAATTTAAAAATAGCCAGAGAAAAATTTTTTTTTAATTTAAATTATGTATGTTTATAAAGAGAAATATTGTATTTCAAATTAAAGTAGCTTTTACTACATTTATTTGTTTAAACATATTTAATTTGTTTTATTTTCCAAAATTATTATGACTGTATTTTGATTTAATATTTTCATTCATTTAAAAATAGCCAGAGAAAATTTTTTTTAAAATTTAAATTATGTATGTTTATAAAGAGAAATATTGTATTTCAAATTAAAGTAGCTTTTACTACATTTATTTGTTTAAACATATTTAATATGTTTTATTTTCCAAAAATATTATGACTTAATTTTGATTTAATATTTTCATGCGTCAGATTAACAAACTGACTTTTTAAAAATACATTTATAAAAAAAGGTTTAAAAATTGTTATAAGAAAATTTAAAAAATTGAAAGTAAAAAATCAAAAAAAATATTTTCGAGTGTAGTAGCAAAAAGAAATCCCGGCGCGTGCATTTGTGTTCCCGGCACGTTCACGTGCCATTTTGGGCATTTCGCTTTCCGCTTACGCAAATTGTCAAATTTCCGTATTCGTTTCGACCAGGTTTCGGATGAAGGCAATATCTACGTAGGCCGCGGCTGGGACTGGGCCAACACGTATGCGAACCAGACGCTGGCCATTACCTTTATGGGCGACTACGGCCGGTTTAAGCCCTCCGCAAAGCAGCTGGAGGGAGTCCAATTTCTGCTGGCCCATGCAGTGGCCAACAGGAATATCGAAGTGGACTACAAACTAGTGGCCCAAAATCATGTAATTATTTATTATAATTTAGCTGTAACTATTTATAAAATATATTTTTGTATTCCAATATTTAATATTCCAGACCAAGACCACCAAGAGTCCGGGGGCTTATGTCTATCAAGAAATCCGGAACTGGCCGCACTTCTACGGCTGCGGAATGGACGGGGCCCAGGCCTGCGGCATCGAACTGGGAATGAAACCGGAATCGTGGGATGCCAAGCAATAGCGACAGACTTCTTACCACCTAAGTGTATCCAAGCACAAAATATATTTAATACCTTATACTAAGGCGAAACGGGCTTTCTTTTAATCGGTTATGCTGGGCTCGAAAACACAGCAAACCGGTTGGGAGCGGGCGGTTTATTTATAGAGCAGTCAGATCTCTCTCCCGCTCTCTCTGGAGCTGTTTGTTTGAGTGTCGCTCGAAAAGCTGGAAATTCCCAAGCCGCAGTCAACCTATCAGTACCGGTACCGAGTACGAGTACCAGTACCCCCATACTTATCCCCTATAGACGGGCCAAAACACTCATGGGTTGTATGTGTACGAATATATGACAGCCTTTGTGCGCCAGTACAACATCATTATCGGTAGCTTCACTTCACTTGTATGGATGATGTTGTGATTGCTGTGGCTGCCTTTGTCATTTATCTGGTTTTCAAGTTAATAGTGTACAATATAATATTCTCTGATTTACAGGATGGCTGGAAATAGCCCAGAAATATACATGATTATATTGGATATTTCCCAGTTGTGGGTGTATACTGCGAGCCCTTAATCATTAACCTTCAGTTCAAAGCCCTTAAGGTGTGACGCACATTCGTTGATCATCCAAAGCCACAATGCCTGGAGAAATAATATATTTTTAGATACTTTTCGGATCAAAAATTTCTCCCAAAACTATGACGTATTCACAGCACATTACAAGAAATGGCAAATGTGGGTGTGCACCTTAACCCATCATCATCACTGACCTTCAGCTTAGCCCCCCTAAAAGAGTGACGTACATTCATTGACTAATTAAACCCACAGCGCCTTAAGAAAAATAATTATACCTACTCCGCGGAACGAATTTTTGGCTTAAACAATGACGAGAGTGCGGCACGTGTAGCGGCCAAAACAAAAAAAAAGAACTGAAATGCGAAGAGGGAACCAAGAAAGTAAAATAATTAATAATAATTAAGGAAAGAAAATGTGCAAAAATAGGTATCTACAAATAGATATAGTGATTGATTTTGCAGCTCATGTAAGGAAATTATTAACTGCTTCATTGGAAATGATTTACAATAATTACTGGCATTTTTCGCAATAAAATGGGTCAACAAAGAATAGATTGCCTGGCTACAAAAGGCATAAATCATTAAGTGATGTTCGGGCTTGAACTTGAACCGTATACACAAATAACTAATAAATATTAAAGGCGATTCGAGAGCTTATCAGTGTTTTAAAAAACACATAGAAACAGAAATCGGAAATCGTAAACATTTTTGTCACGCTTTCATTTTAAACCTTTTTAAATTTCGGAAAAATAGCGCATTCGGAATTCGTTTCGCCAATTGATAGCTGTTTACGATTTATCCATCAACAGTTTCCCGGCGCCCTTTTCAGACTATCAACGATAGGGGAACTGCCGCCGTTCCCCTGTAATTACATTAAATATTTTTCAACGCAAGCACAATGGGTCAAGCTGGAGTTGGGAGAGAAAATGCCGTGTATATGGCTGGGGCCCAAAGTGAAATAGCCAAAACCGATTGCGGGCCACAAACAAAACAATTCTCGGAAATGGTAGCGCAATTTAAAATGTTCAAAATTTTTGCCCACACTGCACTGTCTGTACCAAAAGTGTTTCGGAGCCGGGAGAGAGCCGCAGATCTGTGTTGTTTATTGGTTGAACAAATACAAAAATATAATACGTATACGCCGCTTTGTCTGTGTCGATGTCGGTGTGCTGTGCTGTGGTGTTGTGCGGACGACTAAACAACTAAACAAAAACAAACAGTCATCGTCAGGTGGGCAGGGAACTGGAGAGCCCGATCTCCAGCCACGGGGCGAAGCTAGAAGTATCATTATTAATTTGACTAATATCTGGAAGATATAAAAAAAACCCGAAATCGAGAACAGGTTCCCCAACTCGGTGACGCACGGAAAAACCGAAAGATGCAGGTCTGAAAATGCAGTTATCGGATTCTTCGGATCACTTACTTTCCGTTACAAACCCGTTTCGTTCGTTGATTAACTTATGTAAAAATATATATTCCGAGAAGAATATTGGAATTAGCTTAGATATAATATTGTGATGGTTGACAGTATATATAAAATTAGAAATATTATTAATTTTATCACTTGAAAACCGCTATTACAAAAATTGGAAACAAAATTACTCGCTTTTATTTTTAAAATATAACTAATATTTATACTTTTGATAAGAGTTGCTTTATTTATATTTATCCCAATATTCTTTATGGTAGCTACAACCATTTAGATTTTTTTTGAATTTTTTAGGACAAGGTTTTCCAGTCTCCCCGTGAAAATCTTTTCAAAAATCATTTATTAAAATGCAAATCTGTAACGAGTTGGACCGCCTTAAAATCGGACTCAAATCAAACAACTTTGGTTAAATAATAAAAAGCCGACCGGACCGCTCTTCCCGTCTCTCTCTATTTTCTCAGCGCTCTGCTCTCTCTCTCTCGCTCTCACGCTCCTACACGCTGCCAGTTTAGACGCTCCAGCTTTTCAGGCCGCTGCGATTTGATCGCCGCTCAGTTGATCAGAGTCACTCGAACGCGCCGCTGCTCAACAATTCGGAATTGGCGCGAAAAAATATAAAAAAAATTGAACTTACAAGTTTTTATACCCGTTACTCGTAGAGTAAAAGGGTATATTAGATTCGTGCAAAAGTATGTAACAGCTAGAAGGAAGCGTTTCCGACCCCATAAAGTATATATATTCTTGATCAGGGTCACTAGCCGAGTCGATCTAGCCATGTCCGTCTGTCCGTCTGTCTGTCTGTCTGTCTGTCTGTCTGTCTGTCTGTCCGTCTGTCCGTCTGTATGAACGCTGAGATCTCAGAAACTACAAAAGCTAGAAGGTTGAGATTTCCCACACATATTCTTTGGCTTCCTACGCAGCGCAAGTTTATTTTAGCCGAGCGCCACGCCCCCTCTAACGCCCACAATCGCCCACTAATGATTTTAAAATGGGTCCTGCGCCCACATCTTTAAAGATTTCAAAAAGTATAAATGCAATTTTGTTGTTTATATTTATACCTATCGAAATGTAGAAGACATTTTTCAAATCGGACCATTCATTAAAAAGTTATACGCAATCAAAAATTATATATCTATCTCCCTCGCACTCCCTTTAGCTGAGTTACGATTATTAGTCGGGACACCAACCCGACACAGCGTTCGCACTCCCTTTAGCTGAGTGACGGGTATTAAATAGTCGGGACAACAACCCGACTATAGCGTTCTCTCTTGTTTATATATAGTATAGACGCTCAAATATTTACGTGCTGCATCGGTTTTGTTGGCAATTGGAAGTGCGTAAAAAATGCGAAATATATTACACACCTAAAAAATTCCCAAGTTGAATATACCCAAAATATGTGTCCACAAATTAAATACAATTAACCAATTAAATCAGTGCTTAAGTGTAAACTAGTTCGTTTTAAGCTGATGCAGCTTATAAAACGTTATTTCTCAGTGGAATGTTAATTACCCTTTCGAAATGCCAAAGGAAACGAAATATTTCCTGGGCAAAGCCAGCTATCGAAAAACCGATCGAAAATCAATTAATTTGCACATAGGCCATATTTAATGATAATTTTGAAAACACGTAAAACACCAGAGTTGTTAATTATTATCGATTCTCGAGACAGAACTTGAAGCAACAACAAAGAGACACCCATATTGTGGCGATCAGTAAGTGTGCGTGTGTGTGTGTGAGTGACAATGGCCGCCGCTCAAATGTCCGTGTATTGGTGCGCTCAGTAAACTCAAAGTGCCATTTCGTTCCTCATTTGTAGCCGTTGTCGTTGTTCGGCATTCGTTATACGGTATTCCATTCCGCGTTATCTCAAAAGCCCGCTCTGTGCCAACTCTAGCACATCGGTACTAACATATATAGTACACCCCTCACCCCCTTCGATATTCTTTCGGGTTTATCAGAGTTCTGAGAATTCTATAAAAGAGAGTTACTGTCTTGCATTTGGCACAACTCACGATGAACTTAAATTCTTTCCCCAAAGACGTCATACGATATGTCTTTAATGATCTTTCAACCTTTCGAAGACGTCACTCGAGAGACTTTCAAATATCCAAAATTAAGCATTTACCCCTAGTAGCGCTTGTAGCAAGTGTGGCTTGTGTTTCGTATTTCTCGGAATCCACTTAAGTAAATTTACTACGTCAATGATTATTGCTAATTTGCATAAGCCTTGCTTTCGTGAGAGCTTATTGACCAACTTTATGGATCGAATAGAGGGGTATACAATATATACAATATATGTGAGCGAGCAGTAAACTGAATATATCCGAGCCCTGTTCGAAACCCGCATGTCTCAATTAGACAAACTTCATTGCTACACAGCAGCTGCACTGCTATTTATTCGTATATTTCTCTATAGACAGGCCCTCAGGCAGTAGAGCTTATCAACAATCGTGTATACATGTACTAAAAGCATTGATTATACGTATAAAGCACAATGAAGCTGGAAGTTAAAGTGATCTAATGGACTGTGATAACACAAAAGCATTAGAAATTATCAAATTAAAAATATAATTACCTTGTAAAAAATAAAGTGGTGACAAAATAAAATTAAAAGTTTTATCTCGACCGAAAATTTTTAAAAATATGTTCAAAAACATAGGCAACAAAACAAGTTTATCAATTTACGATAATAAATTCTAAAAAAATTAATTGTTTTAAAAACATGCTATAGTAAATAAAAAATAATTTAGTTTCCTCAAAGGAAGTGAAAACAAAAAGAAAACATGTGTCAACTTCCTTAAAACAATTTTATCTAACATTAAGCAACAATTGAATTTCGAACAAGAAACCCGGAGTGCAACCCATATGAACTCAATTCAAACAAAGACTTTCTTCGAAATTTATCATTTGACTTGCTCATTATCAACCAGTTAACCGGGAATAAAAAAAAAACGTATTCCTATTTGCAGATGCTCATTATGTGATGTTTGCGTAGAGCTGCGCCCAGTCAGCCGATCTGCTATAAAAAAAAAACTAATCTCCGGCGAAAATGTTCTGTCCAATCTGCTAATAAGGAGGGACAACACATAACGCTCAGAGATCCAGAGGAAATAATAATCTGGTTACGTGACCGTTCCGATAGCCCGACATGCATTTCAGCAATGAAACGGAAATGATCCAATGTCCCAATACGAAACGCAGAGTAATTGATCCGTCTGCTCCAAAAAACTGCAGTACTTCGTCCACCGATTCGGGTGTTATACTAAACGATAATGCGGCAACTTTTCGGCCGGATAAGGAGACCAAAGATCGGGGGACGGACGAGGGGCAGGCCCAATCGAAATCGGAAGCGAAAACGGAACCCAAGCGTATCAGCATCGAGCACACTGTGAATATAACAAAGGAGAAGGCTGGAAAGACATCATCATCGCCGGCGGTTTCCATACGGAGCACAACCATTTCGATTGTTTCCATCGATGAGAATGCCATCGACTCCAGTTGTATTGATAGTGATTCGGAGGGCGATGCCGAGGATTACACGGTGCAGAAGCTGGGTCACCAGGTCACCTACCCGCCCCACAGTTCCCACCTGCGCGACCTTAACCAGGGTCTAACGGTGATCAGTCGTCAGGTGGCGCCAGGTGGTCAGGCGGAAGTACCGCCTCCAAATCCCCTGGAAGCTGGTGTAGTGGCCAAGCAGATATTAAACGGTAATCTGGCCCTGGCCACGCCCACTTCTCCGGCCGGAGGCGTAGCAACCCAGGGAATCGGTAGCATCGCGCTGACCAACTCCACGGACGTGACCTTCGGTGATAAGCACTTCTACGAGGGACCCGTGACGATACAACAGTTTCTCATCGACAATCGGGACAAGTGGAAAGCGGGCGAAGGACCAGATGGTGGTCAGGATAATCCCGCCTTTAATGGAGGAGCCACAGCTAATGGCAATGCGCCGGGTAAGTCATCCAGAGTTAATTAAAAATATTAGGGAGAAATTTAGGATACGAATTGATATCAACCTTGTATCTTTTAATTTGTATTCCAATTTTATATTTCCTTTTAAATATTTTACTCAATATTTTTTTTTCATATATAAATTATCTAGTATTTTCACTATATATCCTTAATACATATCGCCGCTATTTCCTGCTGCGTTTATGTTTACATTCCTTCTCTGTCTTCACCTTGCCTCGGTTTTGTTTGCTTTATTGGGCGATACTGAGCGCGTGTGGCGATTTGTTTACCCAACCCAGTCAGACAGGCAGTTGGCCTGGTCTAACGACCGTGCTGCGAATGGTAGATTAGCAGATGGCCCACAAAGCGGCTAAGCACATGAGATACGCATAGAACAAATACTACATTGTACTGGAATAACAACATAAATGCAGTTTATTGCGCAAGGCCACAGAGTATATGAAATTAATGTAGGAAAAATTTCAAGAAAATACCAAATCGAAATTCATACAGTTTATTTCATTGGAAAATAAATAAAATGTAATTAAACTATCTAAATAAAAATACAACTTATAAAACTGGAATAGTAAATTTATACTTTTTTTTGCATTATATTCCGTTAAAAATGTTATACAGAGATTTTAACACGGATATATAAAGTTTTTTTTTTCACTTGAACCTTATTAAAATTCATTAGTTTGTATGGAAAATCACGAACCGAAATTGGTCTCCCACAAAACGTATTTATATTCATGAGGGTAGTTTTTGCACGAAAAGAATTGGGAATTTTTTAGATTTAATAAGCTTTCCTATAGATCCCTGAAAGCCATGTTTTGTTACATTTTTATTTAACCAGTTCTTGTATATTGTGATTTCGATATAATTATGGAGCAGAAAAATAACAGATTTCATTCACGAAAAGAAAACGTATTTCTCCCGATCCAAGGTCCCTTAGGCCGTAAATCAAATTGGTGAAAACTTGCGATAAATACGTGAAAAAACAATAGCAGCTGCCGACATGCAATTGTTTACTTGAATGGTTTTCACAATTACCATAATTAAAGCGCCACCGAGATATATGAAAATTCAAGTTTAACCAGGCGACTGAGTGTAAATTTAGTTAGCTGCAGTTAGGTACTCTGATTATATAGACAGGTGATTCCCCTGGATCTGGCAATAAATAAATAAACGCCTCTGTGGAGTGGGGGATTTTTTTCATTGTGTATTTGTATGCCTTAAATACTTGCTAAATGAAAAAGTGAAATAACAAGAATGAAACAGGCATACGCACGGATCGGGATCGGGAAAAGTACCCACCGATCGGCTTCAGTTGTTCATATGGAGCGATCGGACAATGTCGAGGAACGCGCTTGAAATTTGCCTAAAGTGTCACGAGTTGATCGTGGATAATTCCAGTCGTATAGAATGTGATAATGGGTCGTGTGGGCGATTCTGTCATCGCAAATGCACGGAATTAACTGACGATCAGCTCAAAGTACTGGATTCGGTGCCCAATTTGAGGTGGAAGTGCGACATGTGTCTGGGAAAGATGGAAACTGGGGCAAAAATGAGCCAGTGGCTGGAGAACTCCTTGCGGGAGCACGAAAAACGATTGGAGATCCTAGAACAGGGTCTAGAAAAGCGTAAGATAATAATCAGATCAGTAAAATTTACAAGAACGTACTGATTTTACCATACTCAAAATCCTTTAGGGAAACAATGAAAAGTTTAAAGACAGAACAAATTATGCTTAAGGCTCTAATCGCAGTTTTCATATATATTTGATTGATTGATCCTTCAAAATCGTAGAAATTTCTCAAGTGATTTTCCTAGCTTTACTTTTTCAAAAGACACCCCTTGACTTCTTCTAACCAGTTTTTCACTAACCCACAATTTAACGACCATTTTTCAGGTTCCAAACTGGATGATTCGCCGCAGACACCACCCCTCTGCCCTTTTTTGCCCAACACCATTGGGCGTAAGGCCGTCACGATAACGGTGCTTTTTGTGCTTTTAACCCTTATGCTAGGCGTCGTACTGGCCACCACCACAAACCTCTTCGACAAGACGTTGAACCAAAGTAAGCTCAGCGACGTCGACGATTCCAGACAAAATATTCCAATCAATTCAACAATAGGTACAGTTTTGTCCTCCACCAAGTGTGCAATAGAGCTTCCGACTAATCAAAACTCAAATTGGCGATCGTGTTCTAACATATCCTATCTCACCCAACCAGCATGTGACTAACCCATCCTAATATCATCCTGTATGTAATAACTCATTGGGAACTGTGTGTTTTTATGTTTCGGTGCATTATCCATTTTGCTGCTCGAATTGCGCGTTTCTGATCACTGGATCAGTGTTGTGAAGTGAACCATAATTCAAAAGTGTGGCCTAAAGTTCAATTGAATGGAATATGCCAGTGAATCGATCTCGTGCATCACCTATGCATTTGCCCACAAAACAATGGTAGTTTGATCAAAAATTTAAACAAATGTTTTTTAAATAAAAGAATTAGGATTTTTTAAAGGAAAGGTAGGTATTCCTTTCTTTTCTAGTTTTAAAAAAACATTTTAAATGGATAACAATTTAATAAAAATTATGATCATCTAGAAAAATGTATAAAAGTGATCTAAAATGGAAAATTTCAATTCAAAATTTAACAAGTTTATTTTCGAGAAATCACTACTATTGTTTTGACCCATCTTGTGCCATGCTAATCCCCAAACTCTCCACGCAGCCGACGATGTGATCGATAATAGCACCTTAGTCATCTTGAAGGTGGCCGAGTGGGGCGGTAGGCCTGCAAAGAATAAGCTCGGTGTTCAGAAACTTCCCATCAATAGGGTTGTCATCTCGCACACCGCCGCCGAGGGTTGCGAGTCGAGGGTGAGTAGATACCATATTCCATGTCCCGATCATTCCTAACAACATCCACATCCGATTCCCCAACGAAGGAAGTCTGCTCGGCGCGAGTGAATGTCGTCCAGTCGTTTCACATGGACAGCTGGGACTGGGATCACATTGGCTACAACTTCCTGGTGGGCGGCGATGGGCGTGTGTACGAGGGGCGTGGCTGGGACTATGTGGGCGCCCACACCAAGGGCTACAATACAGGAAGCGTTGGGATATCCTTTATCGGAACCTTCACCAAGAGGAAGCCCAACGAGCGGCAATTGAAGGCCTGCCAATTGCTTCTGGAAGAGGGTGTACGTCTCAAGAAGTTAACCCCAAACTATCGGCTTTATGGCCATCGGCAATTGAGCGCTACGGAAAGTCCCGGAGAGGAGCTCTACAAGATCATCCAGACGTGGCCGCATTGGTCACACGAAATCTAATAAGTCATGTATTATATGTTTATCAAGTAAATAGAGTCTGTAGAAATATGACCAACAGATGAACCTTATTTGATCTCATTACCCCCATACCCCTCATAAAAATTTGAAAAGAAAAAGGAAGTGGTTGAGTTGAATGGAATATAAGACCGATCGTTATGAGTACTACATGAGTGCCATAACGACACACGGATGTATGTATGAATCATTTTAAAGGATTTTGAAGGCAAGAATGAAAACCTTTGAGAAAATCTATAAGGCATTTAAAGTTTTTGTTTTAAACAAGGGTTAAATTGATAAAGATAATTTTATTGATTATAAAAATAAAAAAAATTAATAATTCGATCTTTAAAGTATTTGAATTCATTAAAAACAAATAGCAATGTAAAAAAACAAATGTAAAAATCAATGTATAAATGGATAAGATTGGCCAAAATCTAATCGGTTCACAATTATCGAGACAATATGATTTCTTTTTGGAATATAGTTTGTAATAATGAATCAATTTTATACTTTTGTCTTGAACCTATATTTTTTAAAGCATATTTAATTTTCGAAAGAGTTTTCATTCAACTTTTCAAAACTCCAAAGGGGTTAACTAACACAGCTGATTTTTTTGAACCAGCTGATGATTCCGAAGTCCATATCGACGGAAAACTGGTTGTGATCGGAATAAAGAGCTGGGGCGGTTTGCCCACGAGGGGAACGTTACAGCCCCTGAATCTTCCGGTCCACAGAGTAATAATATCCGATACCACAGCCGAGACATGCGAGACGAGAGTAAGTATATCCTATATTCCTATATTCGATCCACCTAAAAACTTCTTTATCATTTAGGAAGCCTGTTCTTATTGGGCCCGAGTGACCCAGAGCAAACACATGGACAGCTTCAACTGGGGTCAAATGGGATACAATTTCCTGGTGGGCGGTGATGGGCGCATTTACGAGGGGCGGGGCTGGGACTTCGAGGGTGCCCATACGCGGGACAACAACAACAGCAGCATCGGTATTAGCTTTATAGGAAACTTCCGACGGAACGAGCCAACCCCGAAATCATTGGAGGCCTGTCAGCTGCTCCTCGAACAGGGTGTTCGCCTAAAGAAACTAACTACCGATTACCAACTCCTTGGACATCGGCAAATAACGGGAACTCTAATGCCCAGCGAGGAACTCTATAGGATCATTCAAACCTGGCCACACTGGTACAATCTGACGAAGACTTGGCCCGACCTGCATATGATTCAGTAGAGATTCACTAGTTATAATTAATCAAATTAAGTTCGAATAAAGGTGCCAAAAAATACGTTATTGAAAGTTTGTGTTTTTTAATTTTATCATCAACATAATTAAACTCACACATTGAGGAAAAGATCATAAAACACACAAAACTAATTTATTCATGATGAAGGTGTTTCTGAATTGGAGTTCGTAAAACTGATTAATACAAAAATCAAATAACTTGGTTATTGGCCCACTAATATTTGTATAATAATGGTATTTAATATTTCACTACTTTCTCTAAACAAAATGCCGCCTAAATTAACTAACTAAAATTCAAAATCGATTTTTAACCTTACATAAATGTTTTGAAAACTAATTATAACCCTGAATAATCAACAGATCAGGACAATATTGGTGGCGGATTGATACTGCGGTTTGTGGAGCGTCAGCAGTGGCTCGCCCAGCCGCCGCAGAAGAAGATTCCCGACTTGGAGCAGCCGGTGAAGTTGGTCATAGTGCTGCCCACCAATTCGGATGACTGCACCACCCAGGCGCAGTGTGTGTTCCGAGTGCGCCTGCGACAGTCCTTCGATATAGAGTCGGTACAGGAGGACGATATAGTCTTCAACTTCCTGATCGGCGGCGATGGAAATGTGTATGTGGGACGTGGCTGGGATCAGGTGGGCGCCCACATGGCCGGCTATAACTCGAAGAGTCTTAGCCTGGCCTACATCGGATCTTTCCAGACCCGCAAGCCGTCGGACAAACAGCTCAGCGTGACTCGTCTTTTGCTGCAGCGCGGCGTTAAGCTGGGCAAGATAGCTCCAAACTACCGACTAACGGCGGCCAGTAAATTGGAGCCAACTCTCACCCAATACAAGGCGGATGCCCTCTACCAAAGCTTCGGCAACTGGACTCATTGGTCGTGAATAGTTTAAGTTATATGCGCATCTCCGATATTTGGATATTATTATTCATATTCGCATTGATATTGTAGCGTAAATAGGTGTTCTCCCTTAAATGTGTGGCATATTCGATTTAGTTAGAATTACGATTTGTTTGAAAAAAATGTGATATTAAATAAAGCAAAATGATTAACTTGAGGAATTTCAATCATGGTCAAGGGGTGAAAATCTAGCTGATAACTGGGATCGGGGATTTTTCTTAGGTGCTTTCTGGAGCTGCTAGAAACCGGAAAAGGTGACTTACGCGCATACATACGATGTAAGATGCCGTGCCAACTTTGTTTTGGTCTTCTCTTTCAGGGGACTCCCCACTTTTTAATATTACCTGTTTATCTGCCTTTTTTGCTGCTCGTTTACCTTAGACGATACCGCCATAAAAGGAGGACTTTGAATAGCGAAAGTTAAGCAGAAAGCGTATCGCAAAACCTTTATATTGCTTAAAGAATATTGTGAGATTCAGGGGACATTTTTAAGATAAGAATAAGTCAGTAATATATGTATAAACTGTCTCAAAATACATACATTTTATTAAAAATCATAAATCGATCTCCCTAAATCGCAAAGCTTTGATGATTAATAAAAAACTTGAACATTTTTGCAGTTTTCACAAGTTTAATGAAACCTTTACAATTCTGAATTTATTTCTTTCTTTTCTTCTACCTATGTATGTTAAATTAAAAAAAAACCTGCTTCATGCGAAAAGACTCTTAATAACTGTTTATATGAGATGAGTTTGATGAATTCAATTTTAGTTCCATGAAAAAGATGAAAGCAAATAAAAATGCCCAACCCTAAATTTAATTTTAGACTACAAAGCCAATAGGTGGGAACAGGTTCAAATAGGGATATTTTCAAAATGTATACATTTTTAATCACAATTCTGCTGCCAGACAGAGATGACTAGACTAACGCATCTGTTGATGCTGAGTGAGAATATAAAGAATGTATAAAATATATATAAGTACTTTAAAATTGGAAATTTCCTTACGCACTTTTACACAAGTGCAATAGACAATAGACGTTTAGGTACCGATCAAATTAATAAGCTACAATATTTGTAAAAGATTGCATTTTATAGAAATTAACGTATACAAATTTTGAAATAAACAAAAATTGGAGATAAAGAAATGCTAAGCTTTTTCGCAAGCTGAATATATTCTCATCTTATGTGGCTGACCAATTTCAGTGCGCTTTCAGCTGTTGTATTGAATAGGCTTCATGCAATCACTGCATAACATGGAAAATCCCGAGTTGAATGGGCTGGAAGAAAATCCGAAGAAGAGCTTCAATATGAAGCGGATGTACTTTGCAGTTTTCCTTTTCTTTTTCATAACCCTGCCAATGGGTTACTACATTTGGAAGAGGAGTGAGTGTAAAGTAATCACGGAATATATATTCTTATCAGTTTAGTTCAGGTCACCAAAATGATCTCTGTATAATCGAGCGGGAGGAATGGGGAGCTGATGAACCCATTGCAAAAGATTTTCTAAATCTGCCAGCCCAAAACGTTATTATTCATCATACAGCCACTGAACAGTGCGAAACTAAGGTAATACAAATATTTGTTCTTCAGGTTTATAAGATCACATATCTTTTTCCCATCCTCAGAATGTTTGCATACACCGCATAAAGATGCTTCAAGAATACCACATGAGTAGCAGGGATTGGCATGATATAGGCCTGAATTTCCTAGTGGGCGGCGATGGAGAGATATATGAGGGGCGTGGCTGGGATGTACGTGCTCAACCAGTGAGGGGCTATGAAAATATATCCATTAGCATTGCCTTTATTGGTACTTTCACAAGCGTAGAGCCCAATGCTCGACAAGTTGAGGCAGCCAAGCGGTTGATGGAGGACGGAGTTCGCCGAAAAAAGTTGCGTTACGATTACCACATCTACGCCCAGCGTCAATTTGAGCCCACTGAAAGTCCTGGCCAAAAACTATACGAGTTGATGAAGCAGTGGCCACGTTGGTCAACTATTATCAGGCAACTTCATTAAATATCAATCTTAATTAATAAAAGTTTCGGTATAAATTTAAAAAAAATTGTAAATGTAGTGTTATTCTTTTTATAACAATTCCAAATATTAAATGAGAAAAAATATGCTTTTAAAGAATTGGCTTTGTTACCTATAATAACCAATCAAATATATTTTGCTCAAAAAAAATTATAAATTGAAAAACGTTTTATATAAATACCTACAGATGTATGTATGTTTAAAATGAATTTCAAAATCATCAAAAATAAAAATGCTGAAAGAATAATATATAGTGATATATAATTAGAACATGAGGCTGACTAACCACAGTGCAAAACTATCCGTTGTTTTGAGTAGATCACCGTCTAAGTTTTTAATAAAAAATGGTTCCTGGAGAAAATTGGGTGAATAAAAGGATGAACAGGCGGTTATGCATAGCATGTTATATATTTTTATGCATACTCTTACTGGTCGGTCACTACTTTTGGAAATTGAGTGAGATTAAAATTGGTTATTACTGGATCATCAATACTTATCAGTTTATTTTAGACCACCTTCGCAGAGATCTCTATATCGACCGCAACGTGTGGTATGCTTCTCAGCCTAAGGAACCAATGAACCCGCTAAATCTGCCCGTTGAAAACGTAATTTTTTATAACATACCCACTGAAGAGTGCGAAACATTGGTAATTAATGAATCATACGTACTTTCATAATTACTTATTTATTTTATTACTGTTTTAGGATGAGTGTATTAAGATTATACAGTTTATTCAGATAGTTCACATGCAAGTTATGCGTTGGCCTGATATAGGGCCGAATTTCCTGGTGGGCAGCAATGGAGAAATTTTCGAGGGGCGTGGCTGGCATGTACAATCTGCGCCACAAATTGGTTATGAAATTGAATCCATAAGCATCGCTTTTATTGGTACGTTAGAAAAAGAAGAGCCATCAATGCTACAGACGGAGGCAGTAAAGAGTTTTTTGAAAAAGGGAGTTCAATTGCGGAATTTGTATCCAGGTTACCACATCAATGATGACAAAAAACTATTTGGGAAAAATATTCAGTGGCCTTAAATGATGGTTAACTAAAAATACCCTTTAATTTCTAAAATAACAATATATTTTCCATGAATTTAATTCTAAATAAAGGTGTGCAAAACTCGTGAATAATTATATTTGTGTCAGGAGGTCAACATTTAGCAGATAACTGTAATCGGTTTCTTAAGGCCAGTGGACTTTTGTTCCAAGAAACCGGAAAACCACAATACTTGGGCTCAAAGATGTGAAGACGAACTAACGTCTTTCAAATCTGCTGTAGAGACATAGGAGCAAGTATACGCCCTCTGGTCAAAAGGGGGTTTCCATCTTTCAGACTACTCACTCCAATCTAAGATCTCTGTCTAATCTTAAGTGGGCGGCGTTTAGAGATCAGTCACCCTGTTGCGAAAAAAACACCATGTATCCAAAGCTTTGAAGCTTTTTCAAATATACACTTATTTATAGGTATGAATATGTCTTATCAACGAGCTTACGAACTGCGCAGCCGCTTCGCAGTTTTGAATGAGTCGGGGATTTTTTTCAGCCGTCAACAGAAATAAACAACAATCAAGCGAACTTGCTAATGGGTCCGGCTCAGTTCAGTTGGCATCGGACTTTCGTCTGGAGAGGAACGATCGGTTGGAGTAGGGTTCAGTTAACACTCAACAAAATCTCAAGATGCAGAAGACCGCGGTAAATGCTCTCCCAGAAGAGCCGATTTCTAACGTTAAAAGATTTCCCCGAGAGCTTCTCTATCTCTGTGCAATTCTCCTGATGCTCGTGGCCTTAGTGGCCGGCTATTCCCTTTGGGTGATGAGTAAGTTTCCTAAGCTGATCGAAGATCGATTGAAATTTAATTGGCAATTCAATTGTTAACCTGGTTTAGCCCACACCACGAGTTCTCCGAACAAAAGCCTGCACATACTCGATCGCAGCGAATGGCAGGGGGAACCCCCGAGCGGAAAGTACCCGCACCTTAAGCTGCCCGTCTCCAATGTGATTATCCACCACACGGCCACCGAAGGATGCGAACAGGAGGTGAGTCTAATTTTGGGATTTTTAATACCTTAATATAAAGATTGGAAGTTATATATCAGAATACTTAGGCCACAAAAATGACTCATAAAATTCCTAACAATCTTAAATTTATCTGGTTGAAACACGTTTTTTTCTCATTACCCAAGTGGTTCATTTAGGTCATCGCTTAGACTTTGGCGTTATTTAACTAAATACACACCTATAGTTGATAATAATATACTTTCTAATTACCTAGACTTCAACATTATTTAACCATATATATAAAAATTCTAATTAACATTTTCTTAAAATCGTTCACTATATAAAGATCATTTTTTGTATTGATACCCGAAACCTTTGAGGGAAACCCCCCAGCATAAAACCCACGTTATAAGCCAAAAGCTTATTCGAAAAAACCCCGGTTCGCTGATTTCGTATGCCACAAGCCGGCATAAGAAAAAACCCCCTTCTTTCGCACTTTCTTGAACTAATTGTAAACTATTCTACAAAGTGTTTTGGCCAATATTTGTCAACTTAAAACAAATACAATTGAATGACTTACAAACGATGTTCTTGATTTTTACAGGATGTTTGCATATACCGAATGCAGACCATTCAGGCATACCACATGAAATCTCTGGGCTGGGTCGACATTGGCTACAACTTTCTGGTGGGAGGCGATGGTCAAGTCTACGTGGGACGCGGTTGGCATATCCAGGGTCAGCATGTCAAGGGATACGGCGCTATATCCATTAGTATTGCCTTCATCGGAACCTTTGTGAATATGGAGCCACCGATGCGACAAATTGAAGCTGCCCGGCGACTAATGGATGAGGGAGTACGACTTCATAGACTGCAACCAGACTACCATATCTACGCCCACCGACAAGTCAGTCCCACCGAAAGTCCTGGCCAGAAGCTATTCGAACTCATGCAGAATTGGCCTCGCTTTACGCCAGATGCGACATCACGTAAGGAAATCTAAAGCAGAGAATGATGAACATGTCTTTACTTTTGAATCCTTTTCAGTGCGCCTCCTCAGCAATGCCACCTTGAAGTTTGTCACACGACCTTATTGGCTTGCCCAGCCACCAACGGTTGCGCTTAGTCCTCTAAAACTTCCTGTTGAGACTGTGAGATTTGTATCCACCAATACTCAATCCTGTGCCACCCAAGCCGAGTGCATTTTCCGGGTGCGCCTCTTGCAAAGTCTTCATATCGAGAGCATTGGCTACAAGGATATTAACTTTAATTTCGTGGCGGCTGGAGATGGCCACATTTACGAGGGAAGAGGTTGGGACCACAGCTGTGAGGCCTCAAAAGATGGAGATGATCACGATCTCAAAGAACTTGTGGTGGCCTTTGTGGGTCCCTCAAGTGGCAATAAAAATCTAGCCCTAGAGCTAATACAACAAGGCATCAAACTGGGTCACATAAGCAAGGATTATAGTCTAATTGACGACTCAGAAAAGTCATAGAAAACTGGAAGCAGGGGGGAATGAAGCTTTACCAGTGCCATCCCTGTGCCATCTTTCCAAGTGATATTAATTTAAGGACTAGCTTAAGTCATCGAAGATATCTCATACGGAATACGTCATTAGTCTCCTTTGTATTTATAGAAATAAACATGCCTTTATTGAGTTTCAACAGCTGCTATCTTTTATCTCATTTGAACGACTACGACTAACATTTTTGAAAACATATTGCGATTTGTTTTTGATTTAAAAAAACCCTGACTGGCTTCCACTTAACGATATATACAGATGACACACTTTGTGCTTACAACAATTGGCTAAAATGAAATTCGTAATTGGAAATTTGGAACGCGAACATGGCTACTACATAGAACTTAGAAAATTAGGCTACAGTTAGTGAGACGACATCCAATTGCAGTGGATTTGGTTTAGTGGTCCAAGATGCGCATATTGCCGGAAACGATCTTGTTCTCGAGGATGGCGCCGGCAGGGATATCGATCCGGTCGCCATGGTTGGCAATGATAATGACAGTGCCCTGTGGATTTAATATACAATCAAAAAGAAGCACATAAAAAGGAAACCCCAAAACTTACGCGCAACGAAACGCCACGACCAAAGGTAACATCACCACTGACGGTCAAATGATCCAGCTCAATGATGTCCGGGATGTTGGCAAAGCGACCCAGGAACTCCTTCACCTTGGAGAAGTGGTTCTCGCCCAGCTTGACGAGCGGCGTGGTGGGGAACATGCGCTGCGGCGACATCACCAGGCTGCCGTTCTTAAGGGTGTACAAATTCGACATGACCAGCAGCAGATCGGAGGACTTCTTCACGGGCAAGAAGCGGGAGCGGGGCACATTGATGCCGAAGGCGCCGTCGAAGCTCTTCATGGCCGCACCCACAGCAGTCTCCAGCTGAATGACACGAAGGCCATTCTCCAGCGTCTTGTTGTTCACGATGATCTCCATGTTTAAGGTGCGCTCACGCAGAACGCGATCAATGGCTGAGGGAATTCGAAATCGTTTTAGTTTCAATTTAAAGTAATATCTATAATATCTTTTATCTCACCTGCCAGGTTGGCCCAAATGTTGTTGGTGTTGAAGAACTTGAAGGTCTTGACCGACTTGAAGTCATCCACATGCTCTGGGGGCACTTGGGCGATTTCCAGCAGACGCAGCTTGTTCTCCATTTGAATGAGAGTACCACCCTGGAGGAAAGCAAACCAATATTATTATTATATTATTATATATTATTAAGAAAATATTCCTACCTTAACATCAGCACGGGTCTTGTCGGTGACCTCCATGACAAACTCCACAGGAGTGGTGGCTCTCTCCTCGCCCACCAGCTTGTTGAGGATGTTCAGATCGACGGTGGCGCCCAGGTTATCGATGTTGGACAAGAAACAGTACTCGCGGCCCTCCTCGATGAACTTCTTGAGCAGACCAGAGTTGCGGAAGGTGTCGTAGAAGTCGCCGTGACCGGGAGGGTACCAACTAAAATATTAAGAAAATATATACAATTAATAACAGATAATTTCTTGATAGCCAGATGAAACTCACGCCTCCATATCCTTTTCCACCTCAAAGTCCTTGGCCACGGGCAAATAGTGCTCGCGACTGATGCGCGGGAAGCAGCTCTGGTTGAAGGTGTGGATCTGCACCCGGAAGCCCTTGTACTTGCGCACAATCTTCTCGGTATCCTCGTCGGTGTTGAAGGAGTTCATCAGCACCAGCGGCACATTGGCATCGTATGTCTTGTTTAGGTGCTCGATTTGCTGCACGGTGAGATCCAGGAAGGTCAGATCCGAACGCACGGGAATCACACTCTTGGGACCATGGCAACCCATCGAGGTGCCCAGACCACCGTTCAGCTTGATGACCACCAACTTGCCCAGCATGTTGCGGATCTAGATGCGAATCGAGATTGTTATTAAGAGTCCTTTAGAGTAAAATATCATTAGGGTGGTGTGTTAGAGAGCAGAGGAATTGGTTAAGCTGCAGTGATAGCCGAATTTCATTAGGGTTTAGTACTACAGCGCAGTGATTACAAACTAAAGCCAAACTAAAGACTACACAATCCAAAATCTAAACAAAGCGTCCAAAGCCCAATTAGGTTAGATTTGAGCCGTGTTTTCTCAAGAGTCAGAAAAACAGAGCAGAGACATTGAGAGTGAGAGCCGTGAAGCGTAGAAGTTTAGGTAAGGGAAAACGCTTTACCTCATTCTAGGTGCGATACACACGATTATGCATAGTATTTATAGGCAGACATAGCCATATATTCAGTATTCAAATCAAAGAACATGAAAGTATGCAAAGTTGGTAAACAAAATTAAGAGAGTTGTAATATCATCGGGATGAGTTCGATTCGGTTTCGAGATGTGATTCTTTGGCGGGATAACTTGGAGGTTTTTGTTTTGTTTTTATGGGTCTAAAGACAGGCCCTCGGCATACCTGCTCGTTCTTGGGCGCCTTAAGATTCGAGTAGTTCATCACGGCATTTTCGGGCAGCTTCTGGATCTTGTTCCAGTCCAAGGCGGGTCCCTCTGAAAGATTTGAGTTCTTATAAGACCATTGATTAAGGGAAACTTTGAAATAGGATTGTTAAAAAATCTATAGTCGACACTATCGATGTTTTTGGCTATCGATGGTGGTCACAATCAATGCTATCGATAGTATTAAAAATTAAAGAAAAAAAATAAAAATTGTAAAAATAAAGGAAAATTATGAAAAAAAAATTATTGAACTTTTAGATCGATTAAAATGAAACAAAATTCGATGTTAAGCTTTAACAATTAAAAAACCGTCATGTTCTTAAGTATATACTTTAAAATATTTTTCTTTCCTTAAAATATACCACAAGTTGCATGTAAAATTCAATAATTTTTTTGGAGCGATAGTATCGATTGTGGGTTCAAACCATCGATAGTATCGATAGTGCTTTCGATTTTTTTACCAACCCTACTTTGAAGTAGACAACTTACCCTCCTGAATAAACCGTCCGAACAGTTCGGCGAAACGATCCATTTCCGCCTTGAGGGCAGGCTGGCGGGCCTTCTCCGTGGTGGCCAGCAGACGGTCCACATCGTGCTCCAGCAGCAGCAGGGCATCCCGCTTGGTCACCTCGTGGAACTCCTTCGAGTCGGAAGGTGCTCGCTGATGGCCGCGCACCTGTAATGAAAACATAACAAATCAAAATCATAAGTTACACTTGGAGAAACTTTCGAGCCGAGGCATCGATTAGCGTGGCTAGCAAAGCGCATCCGTCGGATGCACTCAAGTGACAAAATTAGTGGGGGAAAATTGTTGCTATTGCTTCGTAGCTGTCGCAAGTCCAATTACAGGCTTGGGCTGCCACCCAAAGACCAAAACTACGACTCCAAAGCGGCGACAGTTTTCCTCGAAGCCTGATGATGACAAGTCGCTGGCTGCTATTGAGTTTGCTCCTCTACTGGGGTGGCCAAGAGGTCTCCTCGGGTGTGATGGACAACTTTAATGATGGCCTGAAGATGGCTGGCCAAATGTTTGGCATTAACACGGCCGCAGATGTGGCCAATCTGGTGGCCAAGGCCTTTGCGGGCCAATCAATGACTAACGTACCCAACCTGATAAGCTATGTGCAGAAGAGCTTTCAAGGGCCACAGGATTACCACGAAGAGGAGCAACCGGAAGAGGATCAATCGGAGCAGCAGTCGGAAACGGAAAATGCCCAGGAAGAGCCGCCGGCGGAGAACAGCACACGAAGACCTCCTCCTCCACCAATAACCTTTGATTCCGGGCAAATCTTTACGAATATGCTGAGGATGGTGGGATTCGATACCCGAAAACTGGGAGCACTTGCTTTGAATGCCTTGATTATGGTGGCCCAAGCGGTGAGTTTGAGTCTTATAAAATCGTATCTTTAATCAAGAGAATTTCTCTTCAGATTGGCAGTACTTTAGTGCAAGCTACTCGAGGAGGCAAAGGACCATCGATTGATGCTTCGGAATCCCTGTTCGAACCCAGCGACCATCGACCCCGATCTCTTTCCATGGGCTCACCCATCGATTGGTTTATGCAACGTTCCGATAGGCATAGCAAACGACTTATTAGGGATATCATGGATCGGGATCTGCCCGAATACATTGTGGACATGATCGAGTCCAAGGAGAAACCGGAAGAGGGAAGAAACGCTGGTTGCTTGAAGCTGCTTATGTGCAAGGGCAAGCCCATAATTTGGGGAATGCAGGAATCGCTGAAGAAACGACTGGCTGGAGAACCTGGAGAGCCCGAAGAAGCCGAGGAATCGGATAGCTACTTTAACAAGCGAATATTCTTTAAGTATTTGCCCAGTCTAAAGGATTTCAGAGTGCATAGTGCATCCTGTGAAGCGAAATATCACGAGGATTGTCCCAAAAATGCTACTACCGGAAGTTTTTTTTAAGAGCACTTTATCTGTAGGATATTAGATCGTTTAATTGAAAGTATTTATTTCTTGGTAAAAGGTCTTGAGTATTGTGTTTTTTCAGTCTAAAAACATCATCTGTTTGCATTATTCGATTCACATTTTAATACCAAAGAAATTATCCACAAAAATTACACAGGTCAACAAAATGGACTTTATTAAAAGGTGCAGGCCTATTGGCATTAAAACATGTTAATATAGACGTATATAAGCATATCTGCATACTTAGTTTTCGCGTTTAACGGGTGGTATTTGGGCAATCGCGGTTTAAAAAAAATAGCAACATTTAATTTTTTGATTTAAGATATCTTCGAGGGTCTGTGCTCAGTTGTAATAATACCTATGCCAAAAAATTGCTTAGATGCCCTTCTACATTATTGCACTTAAGGTTCCATCATAATGTGAGTCAATCACAGCCTATGAGCCATTGAAGTAATTTGTTCACCTCTATTCCCAACCAACTTGATGCGGTGAACACGCTTAAAAAAATACAAGGAAAACTATATGCCCTAAAATATTTTACAGGCATCTAGAGGCGTCTTTCACCGAATTTTTAAGATAATTAAGACCATTGTACGTCGAAGGATGGAATTTATAGAATTTTTTCCGTAAGAACTTAAAAAGTAACAACTATTTTTATACCCTTGTAGAGGGTATTATAATTTCAGTCAGATGTTTGCAACGCAGTGAAGGAGACGTTTCCGACCACATAAAGTTATATATTCTTGATCAGCACCAATAGCCGAGTCTATCTAGCCATGTCCGTCTGTCCGTCTGTCCGTCTGTCCGTCTGTCCGTCTGTCCGTCTGTCCGTTTCTATGCGAACTAGTCTCTCAGTTTTAAAGCTATCGCGATGAAACTTTCCCGAAGGTCTTCTTTCTATTGCAGGTAGTACATATGTCGGAGCCAGCCGGATCGGACCACTATATCTTAAGGCTCCCAATCAAATATAAGAAAATTCATTGTAACTTTGTAGGAAGTAGGCGTTTTGATTCTTGACTACTTAAAAACAAAATTGAAATAAATCGAAACGCTGAATCAGGAATCCCTGGAACTGCACCGAGTGAGTATTCTTTTATCTACAAGGGTATATAAGCTTCGGCTGGCCGAAGGTAGCTTCCTTTCTTGTTAAATCTCATTTTACATAAATATCTGACACATTCGTAAAAATGTGCCTTTCAATTTGGTTAGCAGTAGGCGCCGAACATAGACAATTTATATTTTTAAGGGGTTAATATGCCTTAAAAAAAATCCCCACCACAATTTTAAGGCGACGCCACTGTAATCTTTAAAAAGCCTACTGTGTAAAATCACGACAAACTCGTTACGTAAGAGTGACTCTAAAATACTTGTAACTTTTCCCATTCTTACGGAAAAAATTCTATAAATTCCATTTTTCGAAGTACAATAGTGGGATTTATCTCAAAAATTCGGGAAAAGACGCCTCTAGATGCATGTAAAATATTTTAGGGCACATATTTTTCCTTGTATTTTTTTAAGCCTGTTCACCGCATCAAGTTGGTTGTAAATATAGGTGAACAAATTACTTCAATGGCTCATAGGCTTTTATTAACTCAAATAATGATGGAACCTTAAATGCAATTATATAAAAGGGCATCTAAGCAATTTTTTGGCATAGGTTTTATTACAACTGAGCACAGACCCTCGAAGATATCTTAAATGAAAATATAAAATGTTGCTACTTTTTTCAAACCGCGATTGCACAAATACCACCCGTTAATCTCGAAAACTAAGTATTCAGATATGCTTATATCCGTCTATATTAACACAATTTAATGCCCATAGGGCTGCACCAAAAACACTGTTGGCCTGTGTTATTATTCAAATAGTTTTTTATAGAACCTAATAATAAAGATCCATTATGCACACATTTAAGCCATTTCTTCAGAAATAAATCAGTTCTATATTGAAGTAAAAATTTCATCAAAAAAATATTTACTGAAATGTGCAACTATTACGACATTTCCGAAGTTATGACGTACTCAAAATAGCCTAAACAATTTTCCACCCATCATCATCATCTGTGGACCCAACAAACCCTGACTATTTAACCGCTTAATGATGAGTTCGACATTCCGATTTAGTCAAGGATGATTACAGAGATAAGCCTCAGCCATCCGGGATTAGAAACCCGGCTTAGTGTTCCATGAAACGACCTCTAAAAGTGCAGTCTGCCCTGGCAAGTTGTGCAATAATTTGCAAAATCGCAAGTTTGTCAACTACCGCCTCCATTATCGCCCCGGCTGATAACTAATCTTAAGGGATTATAAAACCTCATCATTGCTTTACGATTTCGAGATCTAATCGCTTAGATCTGGGCGTTCCTCCAGTCATGTACCCATTATTTCTATGCCACATCAATACCGCAAAAGCGTGGCCTGATAACCAAAATTAGATTTCACAATTAACATAATGCCGAGTACGTTAGGTATTGCGAAATTTAGTTCAACCAACTTTGAAACCTTCCTTATCGTATTCTTTTCTCGGACCTTTCGTAACAAGGCGACCTGCTTATCGATTAATAGCTTGGTAATAATGATTTGGGAAATATGCAATCGTAAAGAAACGGCTATAATAGTGGGGTAAATATTTACAATTTATGTATGGTTTTGACATTGACATTTAGCCAAGGTTGTCATTAGCTCTCGCAGATGGCAAACCCACTATAAGAGGGGTAAACAAAGCTAAAGCCCAAACAAAAACATTAAGAGGGACGGAAAATACTCCACAAGACAGTTAAAAAGCGCCACCTATCGGTCGGATCGTCTTTAAGCCTTGTCAATCAAAGTAGACAAATGCAATTGACTTGTGCAAAATAATTGCTGTAATCGCTTTTATTTTGCTGTTTACTTTTCGAAATCATTACGCAAAAGGCGGAATACTAAGCAGAGAGTAGAGTGAAAAACACGTGCCACGCCCACGGCGCCTACGACGATGCCAGACGATTGCATGTGGGTTATTTATAAAGCAACCGCACTGGCCGCCGATGAGCCATTCGAGCCCCAACGATAAGCCAAAGTCAGAGGGCAGGTGTTTGAACTTCGGCAAGGTCAACATGCTCAAGATAATTTGCTAACGTTTCATTGATGCTTCTGGTGGCGCGGCTTTTTGTTTTTTTTGGTAAAAGGCTTACGCATTTCGTTATACACTCATAACTGAATGAACTCAAAGATCGCACAAGCCAGTGCTTATGTTTTAATACCCAGTACTTGTAGAGTACAGGAGTATATTGTATTTTGTCTAAGGTATGTTATAGAAAAAAATAGAGTTGGTAAGGTGAGGATAGAGATAAAGATATCCAAAGACATCAAAATTTCCCATCGATCGGACATCATTTGAATCCTTTATCCCCTAAAAGTATGCAATTCTTTAAAAGTTCACAAATAGTGATCTTTCAATACGAAATCTTTAAAGATTATTAAAAGACCAATAAGTAACTCCTAGTTACCAACCGTTCTGAATCTGGTAATTACCGTAAATTAAATGATTCTTGCCCATGTCGTATTTTCTTTCCCGATAAGATACCAAATGAGTTGCAAAAAAGAAAGAAAGTGCAAAATGATTGCAAAAACATCCTAGGAAATGAAATAGAACTGTTCTAGGAAAACCTTTTTCTTTCGAAATATGTATACGATTAAGTTGTGGAACGATTACAAATTTTTGACTGGCGGAAATTAAAATTTTTAGACACTAATATAAATGAGATAGAACACGAAAGTGTATTGGTTTATAGGTCAAATAAACTGATAACATTTTCAATTTACGTGTTAAATTTTTTACACGATAAGAAATTATTTACAGAGGTGTGATTGTTTAAAATTGAGTGTTTTTCACAGCTTGAATATTTTTCAATTCGGTTGTAAATTTTCATTTAATTTCCGGATTTAATGGTTGGTTGCTGGAAGTACGTTTCTTATACAGTGGTTTTCCAAGCAAAGCTTTGCTATAATCAGAGCTATAAAGATAACTCTTTGAACTTGGCCCAAATATCGTATAGCCAAAGCAATTCTCGGTAGAGTCTAGAGAACTTACACCGGCGCGCTCCAGCAGAACATCGATGGGTCTTATTCCGGAGGGCATTGTGAACGTTGGAGCACTACTATAGAAATCTCACTATTGAAATCTTAACTTTTCTAGTGTTTCGCTTTGCACTCGCGGTAAGAACGTAGGAACGAGAGAGGAAGGGAGGCGCAGAGCACGAAAACGAAGCTCGCTGGTCGAGTGTGCAATTGAAAATAAAGCTGGGATCCAAACGAAATTTGAATTTCAATACAACATTTTTCCAACACGCGGCGGCAGCGGGCGGCGTTGACGTCGGCAGCGGCAGAACGGCACTGAAAAACGCGGCGACAAGTGAAGTGAAGCCAGCAACAAGTGATAGCAAAAAAATATATACGTATAGGAAAAAAAAAGAAAAGAAACATGTGTGTGTTTAAGTGTTGAGCAAAACAAAAATTAAACAAAAGGAACAAGTGGAAACAACAAGCCGGCAGTCGTGAGCGAGGGGGAGGGGTTGATAATGGGAGAACAAGAAGAAGAAGAAGAAGCAGCGGGTGCTTATCAGTAAAATAAAAACAAGAACCGCTTCTACATTTCCAGGGGCATGTTCCAGTGATAAGAACTAAGCAGATATATTCCACGATTATTCCAACTGACAACAAATACCAAGCAATTTTTTTTGGTTACCCCAAAAAGACACACTCACACTTATTAACCCTCAGCGACGAAGGCGACACATGCCCGTACTTTGAGGTCACTTGAAGGTTAGCGCTAAGCAAATGCAATACATAGAGCAGAGAAAAATAAAGGCAAAAAAACCAGTCAAGAGGGCAGCTATAACTAAGGAAATTGGCCCATAAATGGAGCCCAACTGGAACCGGCAAAATGCGTTGCATACGCTGGAATGTGCAAGCTGCACTCACACAAGCGCAGCAAGAGAGGCTTGGAATGAGAGAGGGAAAGACCGGAAGACAACGGGATTTTATTCCCTTTTGCCCAAACTTTAAACTGTGAACTGTAAACTTACCTTAGCTTCGTGAGGAACATCCAACATATTTAAGGTTTTTGTTTAGAGTAAATTTGTCACTTGAGTAATTTAGCAATTAAGCGTCACTAATTTAATTGTTTTTGTAGCACACACAGAGAACACACACACTCACGGAACCCGCAGCTGTATGTGATTAGGAGGGTTTTCCCAAGATTATTCGACGCTGTTCCGATTTGACGATACGAACAACAAGAACGGGCGATACGATATTAATTTATTGGTCCAATTTTCAAAGATCTCGGCGTTCTCTGCTGCTGCTTCTTCTTCGCCACTCAAGAACAGCTGTTGCGCCTAACAGCACGGAAAATTAACATAACAGCACGCTGTTAACGAATCAGCTGTGACAGCAAAACAAAGGGTGAAAAAGGAGGGCGAAAACTACGCAAATTTTTTAAAGAAGCCCTATTTATTCCGAAAAACCTAACAAAACGCCTTAAAAAATAGTATATAATTAATTTTTAACGTAATGGGAGTCTGTCTATCCTGCTGCGGCCAAAGTGCCGAGGAAACCAACCTGATGCCATCGCCTGTAAGTCTTTAAAAACCAAATGAAGACTTTGTAAAAACCTGTGTGATTTTTCCAGGAGGAGCGCCGGCAGCAGCAGTTGGATGCGGCGGAAAAGCGTCGCCAGGAGAACGAACATCGGGGCATTAAAAATCCGGATAGCGTTAGGCGGCAGCAGCAAAGATCCGAGGAAATGCAGCGCCGGGAGGAGGAGGCCGCCCGCCAGGGTCAAGGGCAGTCCAATTTAAGGGTGATACTACCTAAAAAGAAACACATTCCTCAAGTTCCCTAACTAACAATCCCTATAATTTCAGTGGCAAACGAGCTAAAAGGAGGAGGTGACCAATCCTGGTATTGCTTATAAAGCACATCCACCTTTTCCCCTATATGTTAACTGCCTTTTGACCAGGCCTTTTGTACTGCTCCGTATTTGTATTGCGTGATTTACAACCTGTATTCCGGTCTTTATATCTATATGTATTTCTAACCTTTGAAAACGGCTGGCTACCAAAATGTACAACCAAAAATAAAATGTAAACCAAATTGTCATCAGTGATCAGAAAATCCAAAAAGAAAACTTGAATGCTCGGATTAGTTTTGACTACTTCCGGGAGATCTAACTCATTTTGTCATTCCTGTTTTAATAAATTTACTGTACAAAGCACTTAAATCAGAAAATAAATTGGTTTTAAACACATATCAAAAACATAAGTGTATTTTCCAAGGGATTTTAAAAGAAATTAATTTTAAAAAATGAAGAGCTTGTAATAATTTTCATGTTTTTGGCTTTAAATTATATATTTCTTTCGGCTTTATAAGGAAATTTATAGTAATACTCGATTACAATTATACTGTCATTGGATTAGAAATCAGATTGTAATGACTTTAATAAGGAAGTACTTTAGCTGCCAAATTCGAAAGTAAGTCTAAATTATTTTTCATGATTTAAAAAGTAATCTTAATATATAATAAGCTACAGTAAAAAATAAGAAAGAAAGAGAAAATGTAACTATTTAAATAAAATATCAACATTTTTAAATCTATTATTTTCTAAAAAGAACCGTTATTCCGTAACGGAACCAGATCAATTTTCTAGTTAGGTCGATAGTTTGAACCGATGATTATCCACATCTGATTGCTCCATGACCACCTGGTAACACTGCATCATGTGGGGTGGCGATAAAAGGGGGTGTTGTAATGGATTTGATAGCATTCCAAGGCCGGGCAATGACGACTCGTTAATCTAATAGGTGTCCAATCTCTTATATTTTGTTTACGCGAAGTCCGTTCACTGTTTACCCGCTCAGTCTGCACTCGCCGGTTATCAGCCATCGGTTATCAGCCCGGAGAAGCTATGAATTCCCGCTCCCTCGCTGATAACATGGTTATAAGCTATCTCTGTGTGCGTGTGTGACTTGTAGACCCAGTAGCTTCATTCGCTCATTGATCGGTGGTCACTCGACGCGGAAAGTTGTTAGGAAAAGCGCGGAGAAAATGGCAGAATCCACATCTTCGGGAATAAAGCGGGTATTGTCCATCCAGAGCCATGTGGTGCACGGATATGTGGGAAACAAGGTGGCCACCTATCCATTGCAGGTCAGTTATTTTAATTTTTATCTCTCGAAAATTTTCCACTCACTTTGGCTAATTAATCGTCTATTTATAGTTGCTGGGCTTCGATGTGGACCCACTGAACTCGGTCCAGTTCTCCAACCATACCGGCTATAAGACCTTCAAGGGTCCCGTTTCCAACGAGAAGGAATTGGGTAAGGTCAACCAGAATCCACAGATTTATAAATGTAAATGATACTGACGATTACGGTAACCCAATATATTGAATACATATGTATGTATATCAAAATAATTTCAAGAATTTAATTTATAATTTAAATGATACTAATGATTAGCTAACGGTAACCCAATGTATTGAATACACATATCAAAATAATTTCAAGAATTTCAAGATCTTTCTATTAAGAATTGAAAAAAAAGGTTTTAAGGTTTTAAGAATTAGCTATACAATAATTTTAAAATATTTCTTATTATGTGGAAATATTTTATTTTAATATCTGTGGGCTTGAAACTATATCTTTCATTATCCGTAGTAACTTTAATTCCTTTTAGCCACCATTTTAAAATGTTCCTTAGTATGTTAAAATATTTTATTATAATATCTGTGGGCTTGAAACTGTCTATGTCTTTCATTATCCGTACTAACTTTGATTCCTTTTAGCCACCATTTTCGAGGGTCTGGAGGAGAACGAGCTGCTGCCGCTCTACTCGCATCTGTTGACCGGCTACATTGGGAATCCCCTATTCCTGCGACAGGTGGGCCACATTGTGAAGAAGCTGCGACAGGCTAATCCCGGCCTGGTGTACGTCTGTGATCCCGTGATGGGCGACAATGGGCAGCTGTATGTGCCCAAGGAGCTGCTTCCAGTGTATCGGGATGAGATCATTCCCTTGGCAGACATCCTCACTCCAAACCAATACGAAGTGGAGCTGCTCACAGAGAAGGAGGTTCGCAGCGAGGCGGCCGTTTGGGAGGCAATGGATTGGTTCCACAAGCGTGGCATCAAAACGGTGGTCATCTCCAGCAGTGATCTTGGCCAGCCCGGCGTTTTGCGGGCCTTCCTGAGCCAGGTGAACGGACCCCGTTTGGCCATCGATATTCCGAAGCAGGGCGGCAAGGATCTGGTCTTCACCGGCACCGGGGATCTCTTCGCCTCCCTCTTCCTGGCCCACAGTCATGACAGCAAGGATATGGCCAGTGTCTTTGAGAAAACCATCGCCAGTTTGCAGGCGGTGATCAAACGCACGGTGGCCGCCTTGCCGAATGGTGGAAACGGTCCCGTGAAGGCAGCCGAACGGGAACTGAAGCTGGTGCAGTCCAAGACGGAGATCGAACAGCCCCAGGTGCTCCTCAAGGCGCAGCGGCTTAACTAGACCGGGTGGAAAAACGACTACCTTAAATATACATTGTACTTGTTCACGGACAATAACCTTTTGATACCTTAAGATCGGCAATTGCATTGTTATAAATCTACAGAGTGACGGGTTAAGTACCATACATAATTGATAAAACAGCAGAGATCAAATATGATACCTTAAGTTAAACTTTTAAATGCATTATTCTAACTATTAACTATACAAATAAAAATATATATGCTCATTGTACTTGTTCACGGACAATAACCTTTTGATACCTTAAGATCATTGTTATAAATCTACAGAGTGACGGAATAAGTACCATACATAATTGATAAAACAGCAGAGATCAAAAATCAAATACCTTAAGTTAAACTTTTATATGCATTATTCTAACTATTAACTATACAAATATAAATATATGACCATTGTAAAACGAAAAACCGACAACCTGACAACCTGTTGACATCTCAAAAGACCCACACGATACGCTTCTTGCCCTTGGCGAGCAACAAGTGGCTATATATAAGATTGCAGCCGGCCGGCGAGAAAAACAAACCCGAAATAGCAAACAGAAGATATGTGGCTGTCGGTTATCTTTATTGCCTGTCTGGCCGGCGCGAGTGGATCAGTGGGTGGAGTGGGTGAGGGTAAGATCCCAGCGGAGCAGGCATTTGTGCCCCGCTACACTCCGGTGGCCGAGAGCAAGCGACAGGACTTGGATTTACCAGCGGAGGTGGGACTGGAGCAGCAGCAAAGGCCTCCTGCAGGCGACAAGAAACCCTGGCGACGAGTGGAGTACGGTTACGATGGGGTTTCTACGGCTGCATGGGCTGCTCCTTCGCCACCAGCTGCCATCTTGTCCATTCTGAATCCCCTGCTGGCACCGGGACTGCTCCTGCTGGGCGTAAACTTAGGTGCCCTGCTCTACATGCTGCTGGGACTCCTGGGACTGGCTCCTCATCGAAGCGGCGGCAGCAGCCGGTTGTCCAATTCCCCAATCCTGGCCTGACAATGAAATCCTCTACCGCCGAGACAGACACAATCTGGATGAGGGCAAGGAAACGGCTGTATATTTTTAGATATAGCGCGTAACGCAAGGCTTTCTTTCCAACTTATCAAAACATATATAAAAAAGTACATAAATAAATTCAAGGTTAAAGTAATGGGTCAAAACTGAACTGAAAAAGTGAAATGGGGCTAAAGGTTGGTGGGGTTAGTGTACTATCTATATCTATGGTTATAGCTATTGTTAGTTTGAACATGGATCTGTCTCGGTTAACTCAAGGCAAACGCAAGCTTAAACGAACTGAACGAAAGTGTGTGGTCCTACTTCTTCAGGCGAAACGAGGCTGCCCGATTGAATTTGACCAAAGGCGGCTCCTTACTGGACGATCCGAGTGGTTTTCTCGTTAGCGTGGAGGTGCCAGCGAGGGCTGTTGCGAAAATGGAAGGGAGATTATAATCAAGGATTAAGTAATCGAATTTTATGGTACACACCTTTGGCCATCAGCGCTCGTGGACTCTTGCGCACATAGTTGGCGTTGTATTTGACGTTCTCCTTGGCCAAAGAAGCAGCCGCCAGCGTTCGCTGAAGTCCTTGGGCGGTAAAGTGATTGGATTTAAGCAGAGCTGCAATAAAAAAACGGTAAGTATTATTTTAAAAGCCACATAATGTAAATCATCTTATATTACTGATAAATTAAATCAATAATAAGTTATTATTAATCGAAATATGCTTTGGAAAATTGCAAACTTTCCCGAAATGGTTTATAAATATTTTTTAATACATTATTACTGATAAATTAAATCAATAATAAGTTATTATTATGATATCTTGAAAACCCCGTAATGGTTTATAAATATTTTTTAATACATTATTACTGACAAAATTAAATCAATAATAAATTATTATTAGTCGAAATATGCTTTGGAAAAATGCAAACTTTCCCGTAATAGTTTATAAATATTTTTTAATAAATTTAAAGAGCAAAATCCTACCCTTTTTGATCTTCTCGTTGCCGCCACGAACATTCTGGTCGGATATCAGATCGCTGACCAGTCGCTGGTGGACAATTCTCGGCTTGGTGACCGTTGCCGTGAGAGCTTTCCGGGCGCTACTACTGGAGGGGCCAAGAACCTGCGTCTCGTTGAGATTTCGCGGCCTCTTGAAGGTCCTGTGCATCTCCTCCGAATCAGACTCGGTGTCCTGGCTGTCGAATTCCTCCATACTCAAAGTGCAGATCGTCGTCGCTCTGGGCCGCCTGCCTTTGCCGCTTCTTGGCACTGGCCGTCAGGCTGCAGGATGGCTCTTCTTCCTCTTGGCCACTGCGCAGAGATTCGGGCACCAACATCGGATCCATCTCGGCCATTTTGGTGTTGGCCTCAGAGTCAGCGAACCGCATTTTCCGCAGCAGCCTTTCGAAAACTGCCTCGATTTCCGGCGTCAGCTTTTGTCCATCTTCCAGGCGATCGTACGTCTGGTTGAGCACCTCGCAGGCAGCCCGGAAGGACTTCCGCATCAGGTCCAGGTTCTCAACCAGCTCCTGGTTGATGGCGGTCACATGGCTGTTGAAGATACTCTGCTTGGTCAGCTGCAGCTCGAGATCCTTGTGCTTGACGTATACGATTAGGATCTGGTAGGCCTTCGACTTGTTCACCTCCCTCTTCAGGCTCTCCAGATCCTGGTAGGCACTCTCCATTTTACTCAGCCAGGCGGGCAGCTCCTCCTTGTACTTCTCCATCTGGCTGGTCAGCGTGCTCATGTAGTTCGCAAAGCGACGATAGTCCTAGGAAATAAATTAATAGTATTAATTGTATGGAACGCAAATTAAAGCAAATGAAAATGTGGTATGCAAAATTATTTAGGTTTCATTAAAAATATAAACAAACACTATGGTTAAAAAGTATTTAAAAAAAAAAGTAAAAGAAAATCACTACAACTTATTATTAAATATTATTATTAATAAAACTTTTAAACTAAAGAAATAATTTTCAATTTAAAGATGTTTAAAAACAAAAAAAAAAAAATTAAAAAATTTTTTTTTTGAATGAAAAGGAATTTTGCCAATTTTAAGGGATGCAAAATTATTTGTTTCATTAAAAATATAAACAATTTAATAATATTACTATGGTTAAAAACGTATATTAAAAAAATACTAATAAAATCACCACAATTGAATATTTAATATTCTTATTATTAATAAAATAAACTAAGAAAAAATTTTCAAAATAAATTTAAAAAAATAAATCAAACAATTTTAAAAAGGTTGCCAAATTTATGGGAAACAACCATATATTTGTAAGAAATATAAATTATGTTTTTTAAAAACAAATAAATAAATTTTTAAATAAAACCGCCAACGTAAGCCTTACGTCACGTAAGCACTCCCTACGTTTTTCATAATCCTACGAGTTTCAAAAAACAGCTGATGCTGCCCAATCGAAAATCACTGCCGCATTTAAACCAAACAAAGTAGCTCAAATTTAAATAAAATGCTGCGAAATGCCCTGCATTTAGCTACCCTAGGGTTGCGCCAGAACCGAGTGACCAAAACCTCACCCAGATTGCTTTTAAGCCTGCAAAATAATCCACAAACAGCGGAAAATCTACAAGTGGCGCGCGATTATGCAAAGGGCAAGGACAAAAAGAAGGAAAAAGGCGGCAAGGGAAAACCCGGCAAGGTGGAAATCAATGAGCAGCAGCTGCGCGAGATCCTTAATCTGGATGGCCTAAATAGCCAGATGCAGAAGTCGGTGATGCAGATGAAGGACGACTTTGTGAAGCACCTGTCGCTGCGCTCCACCAGCGGCGCCATCGACACCCTGCGCATCAAGGTCGATGGCCAGGAGCACGAGCTGCAGGAACTGGCTCAGATCTCGCGGAAAAATCCAAAGACCATTATTGTCAACATGATCGGCTTCCCGCAAACGATTCCCGACGTGCTGAAGGCCATCGAAAAGAGCGGCATGAACCTGAATCCCCAGCAGGATGGCACCACTCTGTTCATACCCATCCCCAAGGTGACCAAGGAGCACAGGGAGAATCTGTCCAAGAATGCCAAGGCCTTGTTTGTCAAATACCGCGATGCCATTCGCGGCGTGCAGAACGAGCACATCCGCAAGCTGAAGAAGCAGCCGGAACTGGGCAAGGACGATGCCTTCGCCGCCCAGGCTCAAGTCGCTGCCATTGCGGACCGCTTCATCTCGGAGGCGGATAAGTTGCTGGCCAGCAAGCAGAAGGAGCTGCTGGGCGACTAGAACTAAGACTGATCCTGCTACAAGAGCCTTAATAAATCTAAATACATGTTGAAAACTCGAACAAACTCTAGAGCCCTGCGTGAATCATTCAATTTTTGTTTCATCATAGTATGCCAGGAAATTTCTGATTTGTTCAATTTAATTCTATGTGAAATAAATTGAATGTTTCATTTCGAATTGAATGAATGAATGAATAATTTTTATGAATTTTTTTGAATTTTCGAATTGACTGAATGAATGAATTTTTTTTCATGAATTTCTTGAATTCTTGAAATTTATTTCGAATTTTTCAGTCAATGAATAATTTTTATTTTTTTTGAATTTGCTAGAATGTTTGAATGTTTTTCTAACACATTTCGAATTGAATGAATGAATAAATGAATAATTTGTATAAATTTTTTGAATTTTTTAGAATGTTTAAATGTTGTTTTAATTCATTTCGAATTGACTGAATGAATGAATAATTTTTATGAATTTTTTTAAATTGCTAGAATGTTTGAATGTTTTTCTAATTCATTTCGAATTAAATACATGAATGAATAATTTTTATGAATTTTTTTAATTTGCCAGAATGTTTTAAATGTTTTTCTTATTTCTTTTCGAATTGAATGAATGAATGAATAATTTTTATGAACCTTTGAAATTTGCCAGATTTTTTCTTGAAAACAAAAACTGGAAAATTTGTAACAAGTCAATGTTAACTGTATAGTAAATAAAATTCTGTATAGTAAATAAGGACTTTCTCTTAAAAGAAATTGTCCTTTGAATTATTTCGGAATTCATTCATTCAATTAAACTCAAAATCCAAATACATTCAATTCTATTAAACTCAAAATTCTAATTAATTGATTCTTGAAGTCTAATCCGGCATGACCTCGAGTTTGCTAAAAACTTCTCTATAAAACAAAAAATTCAAAATAATACATTGAATCCATTCATGCAGGGCTCTAAGCAACACTAGTTAGTTAGATCTGCAACTCACCTCCTGGCACACTCGCTGGTCCACGCACATCGTCTTCCGGAACTCCTCCAGCTCCTTCTTCAGCGTCTGCCGGTAGTTAATGTTCTTGATCTTGCTGCGCATGCCAAGGACGTACTCCTGCAGCTGCCTGGCGGCCGCATATACAGCGTCTATCTTGCTGTACCACGACTTGAGCTCCTGCGGATCGAAGCCACTGTTGCCGGCGCGCTCCAGTTGCGTGGCCTTGGCTTCCAGCGCCTTGTTGCGCTCCTTGAGTCGCTCGTTCTCGGCCACCACCTCGTCGATCTTCTTCACATAGAACTCGGTGGGCATCTTGGACTTCAAGACATTCTGCTTTAGCGTGGTGCGTATCTTCTTGGCCCGACTGGCGTACTTTAGCGTGTTGTAGGTGTCCTCGTAGGTGAGCGAGCTCATCGAGACATTGGCCACCATCAGGGTGCGGCAATTGCCGCCCAGCGAGTCCTTCAGGATGCGTGTCAGGTTGGAGTCGCGGTACGGGATGTGCTTCAGCCCGTCGGCCAGCTTGTTAATGCAATTTCCCAGCGCCAAGAGGCTCTTGTTGATGCTCGCACCCTCCTTGAACCGCACTCCAATGCCCTTGGTGCTGGCCGCCCTTTCGCTGCCCGCCAGATCGATCATGCTCAGCTTGACGGTCCTCTTGGTGTCCGTCTTGCGCTCCGTGATTCGGATGTGCACCTGGAAGATGGCATGTGACCGCGAGCTCTCCGCATTCGCATCCGTGGGATGCTGGGTGCGATGCGAGTTGCCCAGCATCAACATTCGCAGCAGCTCCTCGGCGCTGTAGATGGGTGTGAGGCAGAGACCGCTGACCACCACGCCATTGGTGTCTTCACGAAGCTTGAGAGGACCCGATTTGGTCAGGAGATTCATCACATGCTCGTTGTAGACCTCCAGATAGGATACGCCCACGTCGAACTTGCGCACATCGCTCTGGGATTGGATTTTATCGAAGAGATCCTGCATGGTGAGGAAGGTCAGGCCGGGATGAGCCTCGCTGCCCAGCATGGTGAAGGTTTTGCCGGCGCCAGTGGCTCCATAAACAAAAACCGAGCAGTTGTAACTGGAAAATAATGTCTTAAATGGGTTTCTATATAATTTATACCATTACTTACCCATTTAGCACCGCGTCGACCAGCGGCGCCGTGCACTCCTCGAACAAATCCTGGTTGGAGCTGTCGATATCAAAGACCCGGTCGAAATCCATGGTCAGCTTCTTGTTCATCCGCTTGGTGATGTCGCGATACTGCTGCTTGGCGCCCTGAAAGAAGAACTCGTCGTCCTCCTCGTCGGGATCGAAGAGCAGCGCCGATCGGTCCATGACCTTGATAATACTCCGCTGCTTCTGCTCCAATTCCCGGACATTATACGGCCGTACACGCACCGCCACTTTAATGTTCGTATGCTGTTCCGAAGGCATTTTTTAAGTATATCTATCTCTGCCCGTCACTTTGTTTTTTTTTTTTTTTTAGCTAGCTAGATTCCCTAGCTTTTATCGGCTTTTGTCCTTTTTTTTTCCCAGTTTCGATATCCTCGCACATATAATTTTTCTCGTACAGCCTGAAGTGATCGTTGTTGTTTGAATCGGGGCTATCGGCGCCTGCGCTTTGGGGGCATCTTTATCCAATTTGCTTTTGCGCGCTCGTTCTCAATTTTGAACTGTATTCCCAGGGCTGCTTTGGTATGTATCGATAGTTCTGGCAGGGCTGCAATAATAAATTTGAAATGGTTATTTTTCGGTATAGAGATGTTTTTATTTGTAAATGAGCTTAATTTAGTTTAATAATAAATAATTTTAAAATTTACCAACTAAACTAGTTAAACATTTATGTGTTAAGTGAAATTGTAAAATTAATTGATATTTTTTTATAATACAACTCAGTTATCGATAGCTGGTTTCGCTATCGATGAGCCGCCTATCGCTTGCCCTGCCATCGCTAGCAAAAAGAACCATTTTATTTAAAGCAGCAGAAACAACAAGTTTTTTTAACATCCCGCACACGAAAGACAGACAAACAGAGACGAAACAAAGCCGCCGAACAGAATGAGTGCAAAAGTATTATTCGCCTGCTCCAAGTGTTTCTCGCGCCATCCGTACGAGGAGCTCTCCTCCGGCCAACAGCTATGCAAGGTGAAAAGCGAGCCCAAAGAAAAAGCAAGAAAAAACAATAAAATAATGCCAAACCGACGCCGCAGAAAATGCAATATCAGCAAAAAGTGTGTGTTCTTGTTTGTTTGTTTGTTCGCTCAGCGAGCGAAAATGACGCGGCGTTGGCAAAAAATGTTGCTGCGCAAAAAGGCGAAAAGGGAAAATGCTCAAAGGCAGAAGAAGAAGCAGCCAGGCGTCGCGTCGCGAAAATGATTTAAACAACAAACAAAACAAAGGAAAACAACCATTTGAAGTACCTAATAAACCAACGGATAACCTTGAACATTTTCTGATTTCAGGGCTGCCGTGGTTCTACCTCAGTTGGTAAATGTACTTACTGCCGCTCGGAGTTTCAACCCGCCACGTAAGTACGATAATGCAGCTATATACTATATAAACCAATAAATATATATATATATAATCCGCAGCAAATCACAGAGTGCCTGCAAGAAGTGCGAACATTATCTGGGGAAGTACGGAAAGCCCAGTGCCTGCGAATGCTGCAAGATCGTCGCCGCCTTCGGGGGCTCCAAATGCATGCGGTATGTTTGATTTTCTATATAATCGGTTACTTAGATCCTATGGTAGTTCTTTCCAACGAATTCAAACGGCCCTGTAACTTGAATGCACAATGTTTGCTTACTCTAAAAAGAAAAACCGAAACCCGATCCCAAATTGTGCCTTCAAAGTACATGACTTTGCAGATACTTCTTTGCCGATCCGATCTCTATCCTCGGAACACCAAAAACCAAACCAAACCGTCTCTTATGAACGCAAAACATTTCTCTTCTTCTCTTTTCTGCCCGCCAAAAATCAAAAACAAAAAAAAACCAACCAAATAAACCCTATCGCATACACACATATAGATGCGCCAGCTACGAGGCAAAGTACGGACCGCCGGTGCAGTGCGATGAATGCAAGCTGCGATCAGCCTTCGACAGGCGGGACGAGAACAAAAAGGTCAGCAAACTCTGGAGGATTGCCACTCGGAAGCAGCAGCCCCTAATCTTAGAAAAAAAACCCTAAAATTAAGCCTAGCGAATGTAGAGAAACCTGTACCCGGAGGAGAACCATGTACTTGCGTTCATAAGAGACCGTGTTTAGTCGTCTAAGATTATGCTACCTAAGTTGTGAAAGGTTGTAAAATTTACCCCTTGTCGCCGGCAGGTCAATGGCAAACTCCTCTGCTGGCTGTGTACCTGCGCCTACAAGCGAGCTCTGCTCAAGGCGCAGCAGGAGGGCCGAATACCGATGTCCAAAAAGCGGCCGCACGAGAAGACCTCGTCCTCGCACAGAGACAACGCCGCGGCCAAGAAGCCGTCGCGCAACGAGCTGGGCAAGAGCGCCGGCGGTGGCAATAGCTCCGGCGTGAATGCGGTCAGCGGAGCAGGATTAGATCTTCCCGACAAGATATCGCGCGGAAACGGGACCATTGCAGCGCCGGCTGCCATTACGGTGGACACCAATTCGTCGGACCATGTGGTGGCCATCACATACCTAAAGGAGCGCATCGCCAGCCTGGAGAAGCGCCTGAATCAAAAAGACAAAGAGCTGCTCGAAAAGGACAAGCAGGTAATGCGAAAAACCCCTTTTAAAAACCCTTTTTATCAAGATTATAAGCGAACTTTTCCACCCTGAAATGTGCAAAAAATATATGTGCACAAAAACCAGTCTAAATTCCATAAAGTTTCCGGTCAGCTTTGCTTTCCTTTCAAGTTTGTGGTAATTTCTACCTAAAATGTAGAACATTTAATTCCCTCAAGTCAAGTTTTACAAGTTTATAAATTAAGAACAAAGATAAGCTAATGAACATAATGATCAAATAGTTTCATAAATTTGCTATAATCTTAAACTGATACATAAAGATTATGGTCAGCTTTCCTTTCCTTCCAAGTATGTGGTAATTCCTACCTTAAATGTAGAACATATAACCTTAAACTGCAATATTAACAATTTTACAAACCCCTTCCAGCTGACCGAACTGAAGGGCAAGAATTTCGAGAAGGAGAACGACATGCGCAACCGACTGAAGGAGGTGGAGCGACTGCACGACATGAAGGTGGACAACTTGAACCGCAAGATCGCCAGTGTGCTCAAGGAGTTGGCCGTGCTGAAGAAGAGCAGCAACAAGAAGACCGCCGCCCTAAGCAAGGCCGAAAAAGAGGCCATAAAGCGGGAGAACCTGTCGCCCAAGGAGGAGATCCTAACGGCGGCGGCGGTGCCGGAGAAACTGGTTAAGGCGGAGCCCGCCGATCTGGACAAGGACGAGAAGAGTCGCGACCGCGACGAGGAGCGCAGCGAGCAGGAGGATCGGGCCAGCGTACGCTCGCGTTCCGGCTCCAGCAGCCCCACGCCCTCGTCCAACTGAGAGGCAACGACTTCCAGCTGCAGGAGCGGCAGGCCAGGATTCAGGATCCACGGACTCTGGATGCCGCGCCCTTTTAGTTTTTCGCTATACAAATTTATATTTTTGTACTTTTGCTTTAATTGTAATATAGTTTTAAAATATTGTTTCACATCGCCCTTTTATGTCGCTCATCCCTGCCGCGCGAAACCTGTCCCTCCCCCTCTCTCCAAAATGTAACCCAAATCATCAGTTAGAAAATGTAATTTGATAGGCTCAACTTAACGAATTCTTCTTTAGTTTAATTCACGATGGAACAAAACACAACAAAACCGAAGCATTGTTTACATCTTAAGAAATATAAAAGTTGGGAAAGAACCAAGTGGTATTTCAACAGTCGTTATATTTAATAATGTAAGATAACAATAATGATGTGCTAGTGGGGCTTGGGCTTGTGCCCGTCGACGTAGAAGTTCCTGGTCGCCTTGGGCAGCTCCAGTTCCATGCCCTCCATGCTCTTCTCGAGCAGAATTTGGCAACCGAGGCGGGAGTTCTCGCGCAGGAATGGCGCCATGTCGAGCAGGTCGTCCTCCTTCTCCTCGGCCTCCTTCAGCTTTTCGAGATAATCGTGATTGACGTACACATGGCAGGTGGTGCAGGCCAACGAAGCCTCACAGGCGCCCTCCATTTCGATGCCATGACGATGGGCCAGAGTACAAGACATTGTCGCCCACTTTGCCCTGTATCTTGGTGCGTTTCCCGTCCTTGTCCACATATGTGATGTTTACTCTGGTTGGGTAGATAAATCCCTGGTTATTGGGTGTATAATTAGCTAACCACCGAAGGACTCACATTTCTTCCGGGGACTTGGGATCCTGCCATTCGTACTCGCCATGCCGCCGCGCTGCAAAGTCATCCAAATTTCATAATCTCAGCGAGGGTTTTCTCATTAAATTTTAACTGATTCTGCGGGTTGTTTGGCTCTACTTACGTGCTGTGGTGTGCAGAGCATTACTGAGTGTATAGATCGCGGGCCTGGCTATCTGTTTGCTGATTAATTTGCAGGAATTACGAACTGCAGACCGCCGCAAAAGTAAACAAAACATTTTTTTTGAGGTTACAGTGTCATATAGAGATGGGCATTTGTCGATAAGTCACGGGTTTATGAGATAGATTATAATCTGAATCAGAGAAAATAATTTTAGATATTAGAAAACCTTTATTTTAAAACTTTTTAAATGTTAATTGTATTTTATTTTATTTTGTTTACTTTTTCAATTTATTTTGTTTGGGAATTTGTTTTTTTTAACTGTTACTGTTACTTTTTGGGAACTGTGACTTAGTGCTATCGATGTCTATGCTTTTGGCGGGCTTTCATTTAAAATTCAAGGAGTTGATTGGATTAACTCCTGGGAAAAGGCTAGGGAAAGCTTTCCTAAGTAGGATTGACATCTGGGGACCTAATTTAAATATGCACAGCTTTTAATGCGAGCATAAGTGAACAAAAGAAAGATACAATATTGTAAGAGGAATTTTCAATTTAGAGTTACTGATACCTTATAAAAAAGGTTAGTAATTCCATTTATTTCTAGTTTACAATAAAACACTTTCCATAACTGAGACATTCATATTCCTTTATTAATACTGGATTTCGATTAGTCTTAAAATTTAATTGGACATTTAAAATGTAGCTATTAGTAAATGAATAAATATAGTACGATGCGTGCTTAATTTTGATGACTTTTTGGGTGCAACGATAAACAAGAGTCTTGGGGAATCACTAGGCTGCCGAAGCTGCTACCTTTGGGGGCTCTTCACTTGGCTTCCGGAGCTGCTGCGGAAGCTGGAGCAGCTGGCTCCTTGTGACCGTTGCCATTCTGAAAGAGATCCGATGGACCCACATGCTTGATGGGGATGACCCGCTCCTTGGGCTCCTCCTTGGAAACTAGCGGAGGAACTGTTATGTTGAGAACCCCGTCCTCCGACAAAGTGGAGGCAATGGCATCCGAGTCGAACTCCTTGGGCAGCGGATAGCGGCGAACGAAGTGCCGCGAGACATGCCCATGGTCATCCTCCCGCTCCTCATGCTTTCCCTCGACCACGATGCACTCGTTGATCAGTTTGACTGTGATTTCCCCCGGCTGAAAGAGTCCCACATCCAGGTGGACCTCAAAGTTGCCCTGCTTATTCGGTGCTCCACTTCTGCCCAAGGCGGCCAGCTCTCCGCTCCTTTTATTGGCCACCAGGTGATGGGCATGTGCCCCCATCCGGGCGATCATGCCCAGGGTGTGCAAGTCCAGGTCATGATGCTGCCGGGAATGCATTCGCCTGTACAGGCGATTCGGGAACATGTCGTGGCCATAGTACATGGAGTCCGGGAGTCCAGGTTCAAGACAAAGGGAATATCTGGCATTTTTCCTTTCCTTCCTTTTAGCTTCCCTGTGTATCTGGCGGAAGTTCGATGAACCGACGACCCAAAAACTGTCCAAGGGTTGATTTACCAGCGGGGTGTTTAATTCGCAATCTCGGCTGCAATTTGGCGCTCAATTCACCTTGACTTTTCCGACTCGAATGTGGAGTTTTACGGGCTCGCTGCAACCTTTTATAGAGCCGGAAAAGCTTTCCCCCACTGACCAAAGAGCTTTTTTGGAGCAGCAACTCGGCGATTCGGAGATTCTGGGGCGACATCTGGGAACCTTCTCGTGGCCAAGCTTTCGGAGATGCTACGCTATCCAAACCGCAGACAGCATTCGAATGGGATCCGCTTTAAAATAAACGCTTTTACAGTGGAACCACTGTAATTTGTCAGAATTACTTTTTAAAAATATTTTATATTATTTTAAGGTCTTAATTTATTTATTTAATGTATAAATTTCTTATATGGAAACTAAATTTTACAAATTATATGAAGAATTAATTATTTAATTGATTTATATAAACTTAGTTTAAATCACTTATCACATCTAATTTCTAGTTATAGAACCCATACTGTAGATCGGAAAGCAAGCTATGTATGTCTGGGAGACTATCCCAACCTATTTGAATTTGAAATTCAAAGTGAAATCGGATCGAGAGACCCAACCGGCTCCGTTTCTAGCGGACAATTAGCGGCATCTCCAGCGCCGGCGTCAAGAAAACTATCTAAACAAACAAGGCGACACCACAATAATCAGACTGCGATAAGCCGACGAATCGCGAAAGTCTCGTATCTCGAGCCCACATAAATGGATCTTCTGGGTCCGGCGGGCAAGTCAGTTGTTATTCAGCTGGCGAACTGCTTGAAAATCGTGCTGCGTTCCATAACTACAATGGCCACCTATGAACAGGTTAAGGATGTACCCAACCATCCGGAAGTCTATCTTATCGACGTCCGACGAAAGGATGAGCTTCAGCAGACGGGCAGCATTCCAGCTAGTTTAAATATACCCTGTAAAAGACCCTCTACCTTTCTATTTTTGGATACATTTATCATTTCTATTTCTTATCTTGTAGTGGATGAGCTGGACAAGGCTTTCAATCTGGATGCTAATGCTTTCAAGAACAAATATGGAAGATCAAAGCCGGAAAAAGGATCTAGGATCATATTCACCTGCCGGTCGGGAAATCGTGTTATAGAAGCTGAGAAAATTGCCAAGGGCCAAGGATACTCCAAGTTAGTTTTTAAAATCTTAAAATTAGTTTAAGTATTCTAAAAGGTTTGAGTATTCTTTTTAGTGTGGTTCTCTACAAAGGATCGTGGAATGAGTGGGCCCAAAAGGAAGGACTTTAAACGTAACAGATTTTATAACCATTTGGATTTTAAATTATTTGTTAAATAAAAAAGCACATGGAAAATGGGTATTGAAATAAATGCGAGCTTATAAAACTACATAAACCAGCACTATTTCCATAAATACTTTAAATTGATCACACAGATTTTTTGTGGATAATCAAGGGTTTTGGTAAAAATAAAATTTTTAGCAGTATGTTTTTTTATACAACTTGACCAAAAATGGTCAAAAATAAAAAGTACGTTCTGTTTTGAACAAACTAACAAATTGATCCAAGTTACTATTTGCTTGATTTAAAAAAAAATGGAGCATTTTGAGTAATTTCCAGATTTGAAGCTCCAATTTTTAATAACAATCGATTGGGAATATTGTTAATGTTACCTTTTTTAACTACACCCATGGAAAAGCTTATTTAAACTACCACACCCGCACTTGGAAAGCGAGACACTCTCAAACTCTGCCTCTCTTTCGCCACAAAAAACTGACCTGCCCCAAGGCGCCAATGAGAGAGAACATTGTTTAGCGATAAAATAAAATGTAAATAAAGTCAGTTTTTAGTACCCAGAGTACGCGAAACTTCTACAAATTTCTCTAAAAGGCCAGGCAACAACCCCTATTTAAATGCCATTGCCCGATTTCAGGCAAAGCGGAAAATTGCATCAGCAAAGGGCGAAGAAAATTCGAGAGAATGCCGGTGGTTTCTAGACTAAATAGATTTCCTCTCTGCCAAGAGTATAAATAGCAACCGGTGGGGCACCGCTCTCTCAGTTCAAAAAAATCAAAACAACAGTCAACAACTCGCTGCAATTAAAATAAAATTAAATTTCGCAAGCTTGAAAGAAAATAACAAAGCTAAAAAATTAACACTGCAAACGGGAAAATCTTATTAAAAAAATAAAATATTTTAATTAGATAACGCAATAATTTGAAATAACTATTTCAAAAGATAAAAGAATATTTCAAAGCTTACCAATTCTTGATTTCATCAGATAAATATAATATTTAAATACCCATAAATTAAAATTTAAACCACAAATCACAATGCGTTCGCTACCAATGTTTTGGCGTATGGCGGAGGAGATGTCCCGCATGCCACGCCTCTCCTCGCCCTTCCACGCCTTCTTTCACGAACCGCCCGTTTGGAGCGTGGCTCTTCCGAGGAACTGGCAGCAGATTGCCCGCTGGCAGGAGCAGGAGTTCGCCCCACCGGCCACCGTCAGCAAGGAGGGCTACAAACTCACCCTGGACGTCAAGGATTACAGCGAACTGAAGGTCAAGGTGCTGGACGAGAGTGTTGTCCTGGTGGAGGGAAAATCGGAGCAGCAGGAGGACGAACAAGGCAGCTATAGCTCCAGGCACTTCCTTCGCCGCTTCGTCCTGCCCGAGGGATATGAGGCCGACAAGGTCAGCTCAACTCTGAGCAGCGACGGCGTTCTGACCATCAGTGTGCCCAATCCTCCAGCGGTGGAGAAGACTCTCAAGGAGCGAGTGGTGCCCATCGAGCAAACTGGGGAACCGGCCAAGAAGTCCGCTGAGGAGTCCAAGAACGAGACCAAACAGCAGTGATTCAGCTAAAAGAGCACCTTACCAAATAAAACAAATGCTAGTGAAAACCTATTCAGTAATGTAGATCTTCTCATCCCTATGAAACAAAATTTAAAGACATATAAAATTAATAAGTTAGTTCCAAATCCCTTTTTGGATATCTAAGTAGAAGAAAAATAAATTTAAAAATGATTATTAAGCAAAATAGTGTATTTCTTTTTGGGTTAAAAGTCTTCTTAAAATATGGTTCATAAAAAAAAAGATATTGCTCATTTACAACTTTCCTCTTTGGCTAATATATGCACACAAAAAAAAGCATGTTGGACCCATATCTTTTTTACATGAAATACTCTTCTCGGCATATCAAATTAAAATTAATCTTAAATATATCGATTTTTTTTGGGTCTGTATATTATAATATGCCTTATTATTATCTTTGCCTTAAAAAATAGATGTATAATTTTATGATACCTTTCCTTAGATGGAAATAACCCCCAAAAATACTTTCCATTTTGTCTGCGCTCGTCTGGCACCTTGGCCCCATGCCTCCTACCTTTTTCCGCTTCCTTCGATGATTCCGATGACGTAGCCACTTGACGCGGGTCCAACTGGCCGTAATATTGTCGTGTGCACCTCGTTGGCCTCGCCTTCACCGCTGCACTTGGCCGAACCGATCTGTTACGATTCGTTTCGATCCCATCCGATGCGCCTCGGCCGGATGACTCATCCACCGTCTCCGCCATCGGCCATCCGCATCCGGCGAGGCCAGGCGACCATCTATAAAAGAACTGACGGCGGCGGCGACAAATTTTATAAGAATTTCGGACTCGAACGCAAGCGAATCGTTGCCCTAATCCCGTCGAGAAATGTCTCTGGTGCCCACGACATATCGCGATTTGTCGCGGGAATTCGATCGTCCGCGGCCGCTCTACCAGCCGCCCTATGATTTCCACCTCTATCCGTATTTGTGGGACGATCCGCGTGTCTGGTGGCCATCGCAGCACACCAGCAGGAGTGACTTGCTCCGACCGCTGGACGAACTGGTGACGCGGCGAGTGAGGAATCAGCTGATCCAATCGACGCCCTACGAATGGGCCCATCCCATGCGGTGGGACAACTACTATTCCGGCGAACGGGTGCATGTGGATGAGAAGGGATTTCGGGTTGACATCGATGTGCGACAGTTTCATCCGCACGAGATTGTCGTGAAGACCAATGACGACTACGTTATTGTCCAGGGAAACCACAATCGCCGCAGCGAGGGCTCCAATGGCCTGGTGGAAAGGCACTTTGTGCGCAAGTACCTCCTGCCACGCGGCTATAATGCTAATGAGGTGATCTCGGACATATCCACCGATGGCATCCTCACCATCAAGGCTCCACCACCGCCGCCAGCCAAGTACTACTCCCCCGGGGAGCGATTGATCCGCGTCCATGAGACGGGAAAACTGGCCCTGCCCTGGAAATAGACCAAAATCACAGAATCCGGAAGGCAAACAGTGGAAAGTCCCACCCATCTGAAGCGCCTAACTCAAGGTGAACTATTTTCGGACAGCAAGCAAGTGCAGCCGAACATTTAAATTGGATTCAAACATAAATAAAATACAGATTGTACTCGTAGGTAATATATAAAATGCGCAATAAATATTTGCTAGAAACATTGGGCTTTACGGAGGGGTCTTGGCCCGGTCGCGCCCAAATGAAGGCGTCAATGTTTTAGGTGGGAAAATAATTTCCCAACTTTTATAGAAAATTTATTTTTTTTAATTTTAGAAAATTTAAAAATCATGGTGTCCGAAATAATAACCATTTAGCTTATATATCAACAACATACTTATTTATTTCTGATAATAACCATAAATATTTTCATTTCTGATTGTTTTTCAAACTCTTAACTTTCTGATATATTAACAAATCATAAAATATAGAAGAAATTTTTTAAACCAACTTCCAGAAAAAAAGAACAACAAAGGTAATTTAAATTTTCCACACCAGGTGTACAAATGATTTAATAAGTTATTTCTCAAGTCTTTAGCTCGTTTCAAATGCAATGCAATAAATAAGGAACATAAATGCGGGGGAATGATGGATGATTTCGGGGGATTACAATATAGAGTTGATTCGGGAATACAATGGGGATGTTGACCAACTCCAAATCAGCTCTACTTGGCGCTGCCGTTGGTGGCTCCGTTCTCCTTGCCCTTCAGCTCGCTGGCATTCGGCTTGACGTTGAGATGGGCGGGACCCACTTGCTGGATCTGGATGATGCGCTCCTTGGACTTGTCCTCGATGGCCTGTGGCTTGGGAATGCTGACGGTGAGCACGCCATCGGAGGATAGCTGCGAGACGACCTGCTCGGGCTTATAGCCCTCAGGAACCTTGTAGCGACGGACAAAGTGCCGCATAATATGGCCATGATCGTCCTGGCGCTCCTCATGCTTGCCCTCGACCAAAATGGAGTCGTCCACCACCTTGACGTTGAGTTCGTTCGGCTTGAACTGGGCCACGTCCATGCACACCTGGAAGCCATCCTTGCCCACCTGAGCGGTGGCTGGCCAGTGGATGTCGTTGTGCCGCGACATCTCGCGACGAAGGGCCATCACCTGGCCGGCGGGCGACGAGGGGCAAATGGGCGAGGCGCAGGGACATCCGTTGATCGAACGGCGACGCTCGTTGCCATGTGGCTGCAGGTAGCGGGGATGCATTCCCAATCCAAATTCGTACATGGGGCTGCGGGGCTCCTGGAGTTCGTCCACCAGCGAAAGAAGAGTTGAAAGCGCCATTTTGACTTTTTAGGTTAGATTTTGACCGGGGTTAAAATAATTCTTCTCTTTTTGGTTAGGTTGAATGAACTTTTCTGACTTGCAAAGGTATTTTGTTCCTTTTCTTTTTTAATTTTTCTTTTTTTTTTTTTTTAAGTTCTGCTTTTTAAGTTAGTCACTCGGACTTGCTTACTGCTCGATTTTTGAATTCGATCTGTGCGCTCTTCGAAAAGCAGGCCCCCTTTTATACCCCACTGAGCTTTTCTAGAAGAGTCCGGAATGTGCGAGAGAGAGAGAGAAGAAGAGAGAGAGAGAGCGTACACGGAGAGAAATAACTTTAATGTTGTTGTAAAATTAGTGAGTTAAATAAATACGTTTTTATTATAACATATTAGTTTACTTTTCAATCCAATAAAAATAGAAAACAATACTTTGTTAAATTTGCAAACTCTAATTAGGCCATTGGAATGAATGTGAGAAAAATAAACAATTTCATGTTACCAAATACCTAAACTTTTTCCAGTGTAGAGAGTGGGGTATGTGCGCCTGCGCAAGTGACAGATAGAGAGGGAGAGAGCATGAGTTTGAAAGTGAGAGGAGAGTAGAGCCCGAAAATTCTAGAAGAGTTTTGCAATTTCTAGAAGAGTCCAGCAACACCAAGGAAGAAAAAAGAGAGTGGTTGCAATTTCCTCATTAGAGCAGCGCAAAAGAGAAAGCCGGTTAACGGCAAACAAAACAAAACGGCAATTTTCATTATTTTGTTTTTCCTTTTTATTGTTAAGTACATTATTTCTCTGTCTTTAAGTTTTACTGGAATACTTGTAGTTGTTGTCACATATGTTTTTAGGAAATCAAATATCGTCCGCTATCTCCCACGCTTAGTAATTGAGTGCTTTTCCCGTCAGCTTTCTCGGCTCGTTGTTTTTTTGTTGTTGTGAATTGCAAAAGAAAACACAAGAAACATTTATGGAATAAAACGCACGCCTACTCGTGATGGTTATTATTTGTTCTTAATTATATGGTTTTTTTATGTCAGTCTTCACTTGGCGAGCTCCTCGGTCTTGGCTGCAGTGGCTCCGTTCTCGCCCTGGTTTTTGGCCAGGAGTATGGCCGCATCCACGGCGGCCAGCTCCTCGCCGCCCTTCTCCTCCACTTTCTCCGCCTTTTCCACCTTCTCCACCTTCTCCACCTTCTCCGCCTTCTCCTCTTTGCTGTCTTCTGTGGGAACTTCGGGCTTTTTGGCCAGCGGCATTTCCACATCCTCGGGGGCTGTGGTGGTGGTGATGGTAGTGGTTCCATTACCGTTATTCGAGGCTACGGCCACTTCGTTGGCATTGGCGTCCTCTGTTTTCTGCTCCTCTTCGCTGCTTATAACGGGTTTCGGTTGGGGCTTGGTTTTGGGGTCCTCCTCTTTGGCAGCCTCTTCGTTTTTGGCAACCACTTCCATGGACTCCGGTTCTGCAACGCCATTGTTGGCACTGGAAGTGGCAGTGGTTCCTGCAGTGGAAGGGGCTTCCACTGCAACGGCGGCAGCAGCAGCCTCATTGGAAAGAGAGGGCGAAAGAGCCGCTACTTCCGACTCCATCTCTGTCTCCTCCTGACCATTGCCGTTGCTCTCGGAGAGAGTGAGCGAGAGCGAGGGAGTGGGAATGGAAGTGGTAGTGGAAGTGGTAGTGGAAATGGAAGTGCCACCGGGTGTGGGTGCAGTCGGAGTGGATGGCTGTTCTGCCTGCTGCTCTGCCGGCTTCGGCGGCTGCGCATCCTTCTGGGGCTGCGAAATCTGCTGGATGTCCACGATGCGCTCCTGCCGTTCCAGGCTCCCCTTAACCACTGGAAGCGGCGGCGGCGCCTTGACCGTCAGTATCCCGTCCGAGGAGAGGGTCGAATGGACCTCGCTGGGATCGTAGCCCTTGGGCAGGATGTACTTGCGGATGAAGTGGCGCGAGATCACCCCATGTCCATCCTCCTTCTCGTCGTGCTGACCCTCGACCACGATGCAATTGTCGATGGTCTTGACGGTCAGTTCCCTGGCGGCGAACTGCTTCACATTCATGCTCACCTGGAAGCCGTTCCGATTGACCACCGAGTAGGCGGATTTGCTGGCCGACGGCTGGTTGGTGATACCACCACCACTGCCACTTCCGCCGCCGGAAGTTCCCTTGTCGCTGAGCTCCTTTTCCAGCTCCAGCAGCGACTTATTGCAGCAAACGGTTTTTGCCCCAGCCACACGGTTATACGGATGATGACGATGCTGAGGCGGCGACGACGACGACGACTGACCCTTAATGGGCACCCACATCATGGCATTTCCACGCCCCAACCCGCGACTCAACTGTGGGGCATGCAACTGTGCGGGGGCATCCAGGGGATACAGCCCGAATCCGGCCGAATCATCTATATCCATGGCCAGGCTGCGATTGAAATCGTGCAGCTCCTCGGCCAAATCGAGTATAAACGGTATCAGCGACATTTTCACTTTTTTCCTTTCTTAGCTGAGGGTTTTCTATATGTTTTTCTTAATTTATCTTTTCGATTAGGGATATTGGTTTCTTCTGGGAACCGGCGGCGATCCGTTCTGGTCTCCAACTGGACTGCGTTTGAGCCCTTATGGCTGAATGCCGGCGCTTTTAAGCGGCCGTGCAGCGCTGAATGGAAAACCTGGTCACTTCCAGCCGCCTTCCAGGCCAGCTCCCAGGCGAAAAACTATGAAACTCCTCCGGAGAACTCGCCAGCGGGAGGGGATGGCAATAAAAAACAGCCCGACAAGCCATGTACTATGCCATTCTGCGGTATATAAACCGAAATAAGAGATACTTTTCCTATATCCCAGTTAGCCAGAGAACAAAGAAAGTACTCGTATTCCAGGGCGAAACCAGACAAACTGCAGCGGTGCAAAAAATAAAAGAGGCAAACCGGCTTGGAACCGAGGGATATATGCACGAAAAACCCCCCCAGAGATGCCATCTCCCTTGAACTGGAGATATATATTTGTATATAACCATATAGACGACACGGGGTGTATGTAAAGTGGTCGTGGTGTTGCAGCTGAATTCCCATTGCCGGCATTGAGCGAACAGCTGAGAGTCTCGTGCCGGTTGCCGAGTCGCCGAGTAGCCGGCGATAAACAACTACAACAACAGCTGGGCGGCAGTAGCCTGGAAGCTACAAATCCGATTTAGCTGGAGGACTGGCTATCGCAAACCGGCGTCGCGTAAACATGCGCAGTTTCAGCGTCTGGAGCAACCCATACATATGGTCTGGCCATATATACCGATACCACACAGATGATGAATGTATGCTGGATTTGTATATTTTTACATAGCCAAGTGCAAGCGATGGTAACCGGTTGAAAAGCTCCAAAAACATCATCATCATCCAGACGAGGGCCAGACAGTGGAGACTTTGCTAAAATTTAGTGGGGCCCCGAACTCAACTTCGGGATACATTTTACATTTTATATGCCTGTATCGCAGCTGCAGTGGGAAAAGGGCAAAAACCCTCAGAGATTGCTGCGTACGAGATGGGCCCCCTTATGTATGTGCAATGTACTTGGATTTATTTACCCAACCAGGGGGAGAACTTCGCCAGACGGGCTTTCTCGTACATACATTATGTGACCACCTTTTCGAAGAGACAACTTCCATTGCGTTGGCGTTGGATTGTGTAAGCCCCGGGCACATACCACATGCACTCCAGGGTGGGGGAAGAGCAACAAAAAATGGGGCCATAAATAAAAACTTGAAAGATATAAGAGCTAAGGATCGAGTTCTGGAACTATATCTACAAATTTGTAAACAAATTGTACTTTCAATTACTTAATTTGGGAACAGATTAATTGGAAATTTGAATGGACAATTTACTTACTTTGATAAATCTTTTCTATTAAGATTTTCTGCCTTACTAAACTATAAAGAAATGTATTTTTAGTTAAGAGGTCTGAAAGAAGAGGTTTATCCTAAAAAAATTGTTAGTAGTAATACAACACATTAAGATATAACCCTTATAAAAGTAGGATCATTTTCCTTCTTTCAATTTGTCACTTTATTTATATTTCCTTTTTAAGTGCATTAAATTAAATTTAAATTACATTACAATTTTGAAACAATTATATTTTACTTAAGTTTAATAAAATTAATTTATGTACCTATTATAAAAAAATAAATAAACTATCTTTACATTTAAGTCACTTTATTTGTTATTAATAAAACAATTTCCTAAATCCTATACTCAGAGAATCATTTATTTTAATTAGATTTCTCCTACCTCAGAACGTTCTCCTTCCATATTAATTAAAGTTAATAGCTTAAATGTCATGCCATAAAAAAAATTGTTCTGCAGTCTCGAAATTTCGCGAATGTACTCCATCCTCCGTGGTCTCTGTCCCTTCCTATCTGCTATTATGGTATATACACATAATATTTGCCGGTGCTGATGCAGCGACTTATCACTCCAGCAGGCCTTTTCATCTTCATCCCCACTCCCCTCCGAATTCCTCATTTTCAATAGCGATACTCTCGCTTTCAACGGCAGATAATGCGTAATTCCTGCAAATTCGAGAACTTTTTGCGATATTTTCAGGCCCGAGAAGTTTCGTGGCGCTTCTAGATATTTGTGCCCCAAAGCACACAGACGGGGCACACGCACACAACGGCGACACTCGCACAGATACAAAAGCACCCATACAACGAAAGCGGGCGGTTGTGTAAATAGCCGGCACTTTCATTCAACCGGCGTCAGTTGAATTCAAAAAGCCGAAGCGATAACAGCTAAAGCAAAAGTCACCTATTAAAAACAAAAATATTTTTTAAAAAGAATTAAAATCCTAAAGCATTTAAAATGGCAAACCTACCGTTATTGTTGAGCCTTGCCGACGATTTGGGCCGCATGTCGATGGTGCCCTTCTATGAGCCCTACTACTGCCAGCGCCAGAGGAATCCCTACTTGGCCCTCGCAGGACCCATGGAACAGCAGTTGCGCCAGCTGGAGAAACAGGTGGGCTGCTCGTCCGGAGCCTCGGGAGCCGTTTCGAAAATCGGAAAGGATGGCTTCCAGGTCTGCATGGATGTGTCGCACTTCAAGCCCAGCGAACTGGTCGTCAAGGTCCAGGACAATTCGGTCCTGGTGGAGGGAACCCATGAGGAGCGCGAAGATGACCATGGCTTCATCACCCGGCACTTCATCAGGCGCTACGCTCTTCCCGAGGGCTATGATGCCGATAAGGTGGCCTCCACTTTGTCCTCCGATGGAGTTTTAACCGTAAAGGTCCCCAAACCACCGTCCATCGAGGACAAGGGTAACGAGCGCATCGTCCAGATCCAGCAGGTGGGTCCCGCCCATCTCAATGTCAAGCAGAATCCCAAGGAGCAGCTGGAGCAGGACAACGGCAACGACAACGACAAGTAAGGGATTCGTTGTCAAGGACTCGCCGCATTTAACCATTATCAAAGTCATGTATCTGTTTTATAAGCTGTAGCTAACCGGGGACACCCTAACCATTCATATAAGCCATCAGGGGTGTCCTGCTTTAATCTTAGTTTGGAATATGTATTACTGAAATTGGCTGAATTAATATTACCAATAAAAATAAAATAACTCTTAAAAATATCTGGTCTAATTGCTTATTTTTCTGGGTGGTTGAGGAGAATTTTTCTAGGCTTTACAGTTTTATCTATACTGTTCCATTTTTAATTGTTTGTAAGAATCACCTCATCTCACAAAGAAGAAAAAGTCTCTTTAAAAAATTTCAATAAATACATTTATTTTTAAAGGAAATATTTTCGATTTTGTAATTTCGTCCAAAGGTCAAAACATGCGTCTTTGGCATATAAATCCCTATTAATTAAAATTATACTTGGGTAAAATTGTTTTTATGTACATTGTAAATATGTAAAGATTACAGATGTACATGTAATTGCAATTAATTCGAAAAATCTTAAATTGCCCCGGTTCCCGACTTCGCGAAGCACTGGCGAAAGCAGACTGCAGAATTGTTTGCAGCAAACAAAAGAACTGCAAACATGGGAAGCGGCACGAAGCGAAACGAGAGTTCAATGCACTTGCTCCAATGAAAATACAGAATATCAGCTCCGTTGCACTCCGAACGAAAGCGTTTAAAAAGTCCGATAAGAGAAAAACATTTTTAAAATAAATATTTCACTTTTGTACATATGACATATGTATGCATATACGTACTCCTCTTTAACTGTTCTTAATGCTTTTTTTTTGCAAAGAGAAACTCCCAGAACAGAAATGTCAAGAACTTTCTAGCTCCCTCTCGCTCTCTCTATAAAAAGCCGGCTGTGCTAGAAAGAGCGAGAAGATACGAGAGAGAACGCTTGTTGAATTCAGGGGCGGATTTAAGGGGGAAGTGGGGTTGGTTCACCCCAAAACGAAATTGTATTATCAATACAAAGTCATTGAGTTCTAGCTAAGACCGATACAATCATTCTAATGTCTTCGGTTTTAGGCTCCGTGAATTGTCTTCAAAGTTGATCACTCATACGCACTGTTGCCTTGAGTCAAAAAGGTTTTTTAATCTATATAGGTGGTTGGATTTTTGATCTACCTTTTTTTAAACCAATTATTTTCAGCGAAATTTATAATTTGACAAAATTAGAAATTGGAGAACGATTTGTTTGACTAAACTCTAGTTGTCATACGACTCGTATGAATAATATTTAAATAAACTTTAAGACCATTGTCCACTTTTCTAAAAAAACATTATGTGCTTTCTTTTTTAAAACATTACTTTTATTTCACTTTAAATACTATTTGATCTTGGAATAGAAGACTATAAGTAAATTTATTTAGCCTTTTAATTTTAGTAAATTAATATAAATCGAAAGTCGTAACAATAAATTTTAATTAAGCTTAAAATTAGATAATGAGATAAATAAAGCATAGCTACTTTATAAGAATAACTAAAATGCTTTCCTAATAAAAACATTTTAGGGTGCCCCAGAAATAAAACTCCACATCCGCCCCTGGTGGCATTGCACTAGTGTTTGTGAGCCCAGCGTCGGTATAAAAAGCCGGCGTCGACGTCGACCGAGCACAGTCGAAATTCGAAAATTGAAGGGAAAAGTTGACAGGAGCTTCAGAGAAGAAATAAAAGAAAAAAATATTTCCTTTGTCTAGACAGGATTGTGAATTAAAGAAAAAAAACAGCAAAAATGTCGATTGTACCACTGCTGCACTTGGCCCGTGAGCTGGATCACGACTACCGCAGCGACTGGGAGCATCTGCTGGAGGATGACTTTGGTTTCGGAGTCCATGCCCACGATCTGTTCCATCCCCGTCGCCTGATGCTGCCGCACGGTTCCCTGGGTCGTCGTCGCTTCCTGCCCTACGAGCGGAGTCATGGCCATCATCACCACCACCAGTTGGTGCCACGTCGCCAGTCGGGCGGTCCGAATTCCCTGCTGCCCGCCGTGGGCAAAGATGGCTTCCAGGTGTGCATGGATGTGTCGCAGTTCAAGCCCAACGAGCTGACCGTTAAGGTGGTGGACAAGACCGTTGTGGTGGAGGGCAAGCACGAGGAGCGCGAGGATGGACATGGCATGATCCAGCGTCACTTTGTGCGCAAGTATACGCTGCCCAAGGACTTTGACCCGAACGATGTGGTGTCCACCGTGTCCTCCGACGGCGTGTTGACCCTCAAGGCCCCGCCGCCGCCCAGCAAGGAGCAGGCCAAGGCGGAGAGGATTGTCCAGATCCAGCAAACGGGACCTGCCCACCTGAGCGTCAAGGCGCCTGAAACTTCGGAGGGAAAATCCGAAAATGGCAGCGGCGAGAAAATGGAGACTGGCAAGTAAGCCAGAAGAAGAAGAAAGAAGAAGAGACCGAGATTCGCTGGCGAAGAATAAGAAGAAGAATTTAACGGAGAGAAAGGAGTGTTGCAGCGCGCTGTTCGGAGAGTGCAAGACTAAAAAAAGGATACACCACTAACACACCCATTGTATTACTCTCTCACCATCACACACAACCCCACACACACACATCATCACATCTTAGACCTAAGAGATTTTAACTCCATTTATCATAAAGAAAAAAAAAACATTTTAGTCTGTATAATTAGGCTAAAAACTGGAGAATTCAATGCTCCCTTTGAGTTTATATTTTTGTAACAAGAACAGGCGCAACACTCGGGAGAACTTATATTTCATTTGCGAAAAAAAAAAACAATAAAATATACGAAAAAGAAGTCAGCTGCGAGTTTTTCTTTGTTTTCTTCCCCTTTCCTTAATTTGCAATCTGCACATTTGCATTTCGGGTAAACCGGTTTTCACTGGGTGTTGTTCACTTCACTGAGGGCTCATTTGCATTTTCTGTCCTTGCCCTTGGTTCTTACCCAAAGAACATTACTCTTTTTATTAACCTTGTAAAGTGATTGATGCTTTAAGAGATTTTTTATCATTATAGATTTTTCTAGAATGATAATTTTAAGATTGTTTCCATTTCGAAACCCCGAAGTTGAAGAAATTTTACTTTATAATTTAAATCAGGGACCAAAAGTAATCATCTGTAATTCTTATTTTTAAAAATAATATTTTACTAAACATTTTTTAGGGCCTTCTTCGATTTTTTTTTTTTTTTTTTTTTGAATTTTGAGGATTTTATGTTTTAATTTTAGTAAAACGAGTGAAAATAAATATTGATAAATAATAATTATTCTCGGTCCCCAGTCTGCGGATGCTATAAACTAAACCCCAATAAAAATAGCTCTCCCATCTAATTTAATCAATTGTTTGCACATATTTATTTAAATATTTAATACATAATAAAAAATTTAGTTGCCCGTTCTGGTTTCTTATTGGGTTTTTATGCTCGTAACTTGTAGCGATCATAAGTATTTACTGTTTATGCTATGTCTATATCTAAAACGGCTTTTATTCATATTTCTCAGCGGGGTTTTTAGATACGGATATATCTTCATTTCTTGGCTCCATGGAGCTTTCGCTGTTAACCGCGAAAAAGCTTTTAGTGGTTGTCATGTTGCTGTTGTTGGTTTTATCTTAGTTAGATGTTAAGTAAAAATGTTTGTTTTTCTACTGCTGCGGCTGCTGTCAATATGTTTTTGCTTGCATTTATGCATGTTATGTATGTATGTATATTCAATGACGCTTAATCACAGATCAATTTTTTAAAATTTCATTTGACTTAGAAGTTAAGAAACAAAACACACACTCTACGCTTGGACTAAATAATTACTGTCTCTGGTTGGTTTTTGGGCTTTTTGGCATGGACAACTTGCTGAACAGACATATATATATGGAATCAGAGAGGCTGGATGATAGCATTACACGAATACAGGATAAATTATACATCGATTTAGCGGCTAAATCTAGATTCCAAACTGCCGGGGGATTCTACATATTTGTTTTCTTTTTTTGTTTTGTGTTTTGTTTTAATCATTGCAGTCTCAATTGTTTATGGGTTTTGCTATATAAAGAGGAGAACATAGGGATTGTTGGGCCGCTGGCCACGATCTGTTCTGGCTTTTGAAGCCCCTTGGTGTGCGGTATAAAAAATAGTATTTCCTTTTTACTTTCTATGTGGATCTCGGGGTCCCCGTCGACCAGCGGTGAATACTTGAGAGCAGAGGGTTTCAAGGGGGGCAGAGAGAGCACGCAGATCATAGTGGATCTCACTTCTGGAGAAGACTTTCGCAGCTGCTGCTGAGATTTGGCAACGACTTGAAACTGAGCCGCGATCGATCCACCTGGGCGTCCGCAGAACCATGACCCCGGCTGCTCTTGCTGCCACTGACCCCATCAACTCCCCGGTCAAAGGATGAGGAGATCACAAGCGGATGCTGTGGATGCTGCTTCTGCTGGCAAGCGTAGGCGGCCGGGGGCGATAGTGGCGATGTGGGCAGATCGATATCCAGCACGGTATCCGCCTCGCCGGGCTTCAGCTTGGGATCCGAGTAGCGGCGAAGCTCCTCCTTCGGCTGCTGACCACCCAAACAGTCGGTGGTGCAGCAGCCAATAGGTAAATCTACGCTCATCATGCCCGAGTGGCGGTAGTCGATCTTTGGCGGCGTGCTGTAATCGTAGGGATGTACGGCAGTGTCTGGACCCACACTCGTCTGGTCGCTCAGCACATCGCGGTTCTCCAGAAAGATGGACGAGTTGGAGTAGCGCTTTGTCTGGTGCGGCTTGTAAACGAATCCACCGAGTCCATTGGCCACCGCATGTGATACTCCTGAACTGATGGACGGCGCCTTGTGTTCGCCACTGCCTGCAAGCAAGAAATGTTGTTTAATAAATTGTTACAATTTAATTTTCTAATTTTCCAGCCACTCACCACTGAAGCTGCTCAATTGCAGGGCATGTTCGCGGCCTGTGTCCGTCGAGATGCCGCTGGCACTGAGATCCTGCCGTGATCCGGCACACAGATCCGTGGCCGAGCCGCGACTAGAGCCCTCCGAGTGCTCCAGCACGTTGTGTATGGAATCGTGGAAGGGTGTCATGCTGCCCGATCCCTGGGGACAGGGCCGGAATGAGGAGATCTGTGAGACAACGTCATCGAGGGCCCAGTCGCGGTCGTAGTTGTGCTGCGACTGCGAGCACTCGATATTGGCGGCCACCGCCACTTGGCCCAGTTGCTGGCCACTCTGCTGCATCTGCTGGTGGTGCCGCTGGTGGCCATGTCCGTCCTCCGTCTGCGTGCAGGCACTGCTGCTGCTGTGTGGCACCTCCAGTTCGGCTGCCATTTGCAACATATGATGCGGCGATGCGTTCAGAAGGCGCTGCATCTGCTGATGCAGGCCCAAACCCGCGGCGCCGCCACCGTTTTCCATCGAAGCACAGCTCGCCTCGTGGGCACAGTGTCCTCCGGCCGCACCGGAGGCATTTATTTCAACCGCTCCGCTGGCCGAACCGGCATGAGCCAACGGCTCACTGAAGTGCTGATGATGGGCGGCCACTGGGGATGGCGGTGCCAGGGGGTGAATCTTTTCCGGCGCATTCTGAATCAGCAGAATTCTGTAAGAGAAAAGTTAGATCATCAGAATATTTTCAAGACTCTTATACAAAACAATTATTAAATTTACTATGGAAACAATCATCGCCTAATTAAATTTTATTTATGGTAAATTAATTGAATTGCCCTATTTGGAATATCAGTATCTAATCCATAATTTCTGATGAATAGATGAAAAAAACCTATGATTTTACCTCTTAATTTGTAAGTGACTCAGAGTTTGTATACATTTTATCTGAATTGGAAATAAAATCAGGAAAGCCCCTAAATGGTATAGAATGGAAAATATTCAGGTTATTAAAAAAGCAAATAAAGTGCATTGAATATTAAACATTTTCAAATATTTCCCAATAATTAAAACCAATAAAATCGAGTATGTGCCGAATATTTGTCTATAAAAACCACTGCGATTCAAATTATATTTGTTTACACAATACTTGCTTCAGACAAGGTCGATTTACAATTTGGCGAAAAATGAGAAATCACAAGTGCGAAAGGCTAAACTAAAACAACAATAATTTGCATGAGGGTACTGTTAATTGTTTATGAGAATGCAATTAAGCCTTCAGTGTTTTATATGGCAGTAAAAATGTAAATAATAGTACAAAACCAAAACTGGCATTTAGAAACTTTAGCTACATTAATCAGAAACGCATACGAGCACGATTCCACTTAAATATCAGACTACTACTAACGAGACTTTTAACAATGAGCTCATTCAATAGAATATTCTGATTTTTAAATACGGATTTATGATTGTCTCTGTTGCATAGAAATGTGATTTCTCTTTGTCTGTAGAACACAAAGAGATAAGAAACTTCATCCGCTTGTATGGGATAACAAAAACATAAATTATAAATTATTTCAGACTGTAAAATTGCTAATTTCTCACAATTCCTTCTATTAACAGTGAAAACTACACCTTATAATTGGTGTTAAGAAATGTTTCTCACAGTTTACAAATTTCTTAAATATGTTATTCAAAACAAGAGAGAACGCTATAGTCGGGTTGTTGTCCCGACTATCTAATACCCGTCACTCAGCTAAAGGGAGTGCGAACGCTGTGTCGGGTTGGTGTCCCGACTAATAATCGTAACTCAGCTAAAGGGAGTGCGAGGGAGATAGATATATAATTTTTGATTGCGTATAACTTTTTAATGAATGGTCCGATTTGAAAAATGTCTTCTACATTTCGGTAGGTATAAATATACACAACAAAATTGCATTTATACTTCTCGGAAATCTTTAAAGATGTAAGTGCAGGACCCATTTTAAAATCGTTAGTGGGCGATTGTGGGCGTTAGAGGGGGCGTGGCGCTCGGCTAAAATAAACTTGCGCTGCGTAGGAAGCCAAAGAATATGTGTGGGAAATCTCAACCTTCTAGCTTTTGTAGTTTCTGAGATCTCAGCGTTCATACAGACGGACAGACGGACAGACAGACAGACGGACAGACGGACAGACGGACATGGCTAGATCGACTCGGCTAGTGACCCTGATCAAGAATATATATACTTTATGGGGTCGGAAACGCTTCCTTCTAGCTGTTACATACTTTTGCACGAATCTAGTATACCCTTTTACTCTACGAGTAACGGGTATAAATATACCTATCAATTATACAATGCTTGAACATTTTAAATAATTAATAATCCTACGTTTAGCTAAATATTTGGATTCTATTACATGGAACGCATTATCTAATTGCAACCTGAAAGCCTAACATTCATTCAACAGTTTAAATCTCGGGTTATATATCCCTAATTAGCCATAGGAATTTTCTGATAAATGAGCCCAATGCATAATCCTAATTTTTCGAAAAATCCCTAACCAGTAACCAATGATCTTGACCTGTTGCGTGCCTTCCAGCGGTGACAGAGATGGAGATATGCCTTGCACTGGATGTACATGAAGACGATGCCGCCGGTGAGGCCGACGGTGACAACGGCCAGCTTTGTCCAGAAGGGCCAGTCTGAAATGGCGAGAAAACAGGTAATTAGAATCCGTTAAGAGCAAACACTCGGTCTAATAAGAGCCCAGGTTCAGGCAGGTAAGGCAATTATATAATTACGGATTCCGCTGAGCGGTTATTTGACCTGCCCGAACCCGAGACTGGAGTATACTAACACCCCGCACCTATTAGGCCACGTTGCACATCGTCGGCGGCCCGCTCGATGAGCACACAGAGCGACCAGATGACGCACAGGGCGGCGGCACAGTGGAACAGCACGGAGCAGCACAGCCGCCGCCTTTCAATGCCGGAGATGTCAAGGCTGCGCCACTGCAATTGCCAATCCAATCCAATCGATTGATTCCGAAGCCAAACAATATAAAGACAAAATTAAATAAATTAGCTGACTTTCGATGAAATACTACAATGTGACAACTGCTCACCTCGTTGAAGGGCTTGATCTTCGTGTGCATGATGAAGGGGAATTTGCAGAGCTCGCAGGAGTTGGTCTCGGAGGCGGTGAGCCATTGCTGCAGGCAGGCCTGGTGCACGTACTTCAGACTCCCGGAGCAGTAGCACGGCGTGAGCAGCGGGTTCTGCGGATCACTCTCGCAGTGGCAGATGCGGCAGATGTCGCCGCTGTTCTGCGAGGCCTGGCTGCTGCCCGATCCGAATCTGGAAAGGATTAGGGGAGGATTATAGTCTTTCTATGACACTATAAAAATAGATTTATTTATATAAAATAGTTCTTAACAATTAGTTGATAATAACTTCCACAATGACATCATTAAATCATTATTAAAATATAACAATTTTAGTTTCCTAATATTTTTTGGATTTTCCTTTAATACTGACCACAAACAGCCCTAAAATTCCAAATTACTTATTCATAAAGTATAAACATTTAAGCAATTTGAATAATAAATAACAAATAAAGAATGTAATTATTAACTGTCTCATAAAATATGAATATTTAGGTCACCGTATCCATGACGTCTTCTTTTAGATCACTTTAACTGAAATATTACGCTATTTCGTGCGCGTTTAGATATAATTGAAGACTAGAAAACATTTGTTTTTTACGGCAACTTTAAAAGCATCACGAAAGCACTAAATCAAATCGATTATTAGATATCAAATAGTAAAAAATAGAAAACTTTTTCAACCCAATTTTGTATTTATGAATTTATTTAACAGTCTTAGTACTCGCACATGTGTAAACCATTAATCAATTGTTATCGAGGCAGATAATGATGTATAATTGAATTATTACATCATTATTTATGGGAAAATTGATTGAATTAGATAAATTTCTAAAACAATCCAAACGAATGTAACTTGCAAACAACACAAGCAGTCAATGAATATTTATTAGTTCTATTATGACCAATGCAATCATTCTAACTATTCCCGGTATAATCAAAACTTCAATTAAAAATATAATCGAATTAAACAAGTAATTAAATGTGTGCTAATCGTACGTGTGAGAATTGCTCTTATCTTAACGGCATTTTGAATTTATGTATTTATTTTGTGTTTATCGTTTAGTGCTGGCTAACATTGCGTCTGTATTAGTTAAATCATATTGCATGAAGTCATTCCTCATTTTTCATTCATTATTAAGCTTGAATTTAAATAAATGATGAGGCAGATGCAGTTTGATGCAAGTGAAAATGAAAAGAAGTCATTGACACTTGCTGGTTAAGTGGACAAAATGAATGAATACAATGAATCACAGTAACAGTAGTTATCAGAATTTTTAGAACACTCTATATCTCACGTTCTTACAATGGGAGTGCTATAGTAAGATTAAAATTAAAACACACTCACTTTTCCTTCATAAAAAAATGTTAAGTTTTTTCCAAGAAACTTTTTCTTTACATTGTTTTAGGATTTCTTATAAAATAAATTGTTGATTAAAGAGTGAGCAAACAGTTTTCTTAATACCTGGATTTTTTTTATATGTTTTATTTCTAGAACTTCCCAGAAAGTCTATATGTACGTTAATTCTTCAGCTAAACCTTATAATGCTGCTATATCAGGGGGAAATTTAATAAATTTTATTACTTTTTTTGCAAAATTATAAAAGAAGATAGAACGATGGGTGAGTATTATGGGAACATTCTACTTTCCCTGTGAAAAGTGAGCATTCTTATTCGCACCCCTTCCCCAGAATGGACACATATCAATTAAGTTCTGATGCGGTTCCCTTTGGACTGCGGCAATCTGGTGCTGGTTTATGGCCAAGGCAATTAGCTCCGTTGGCCGCCCTATCATTATGGCTGGCGAACGCCCACTCAGCACCTGCGAGGGGCTTTCGAGGGGTCCGGGGGGTTAGGGCGGTGTAGTAGTGTAGTATCTAATCTAACTAACGGCGAGTGGATGGTAAAACTTTTACTTTCAACCTCATGGATGGATGCACAGGAGGAAAGAAGGATATTTGCGAGCTTGTTTTATCGAAATAACCTAATCATCGTGCTGATATAAAAGTTTATATGTAAAATACGTTGTTCGGTACTTTTAAAAACACAAAACTTTTTTACAACAAATCCATTTTGGAGAATTTTAATGACTAAATACTTTGTGCTGACCAAATACTTGGAACTTTTAATCAATTTCAAACATATTTTTAAAATACTTATTTTCTGTGAATTTATTATGTTATTTCTACTAGCTTATCAAAAATATGATAAATGAATTATTATATTTTAAATTAGTAATACAAATTTCTTTCCACATTCTTAATTTTTATAACGTTATGATAATGTGTCGAAAGTGTAGTATACTTTTTCCCTGCCAATCTGCACTATCTCGAGTACCTCTGTACGTGTGTCTGTCTGCCGCTGTATCCTTTTCAGAGTTCAGGCAACCAGTGCGTGATTGAGGCGAAGGACAGCCCAGTCAAAGGCTCTGCCAGCACATTTGTTGTGGCTGTCGACATGGTCAGGGACATGGAACTGGACACGTCCTCTTTACTCCTGCCTTGTTTTTTTGGGCCAATCGACTGACTGACTGGCCTTGGATCGATGAAAGAAAGTGGAAAACAGAGAGCGGTTCATAAAGTACACAACCGCAAGTACACATGTTTGTCTATCCATCTATGCATGAAAGGGAACATTATCCTTTTCTTGGCTCTTCTTGCAAGTTAAGGACATGCGTAAGTCGCAAGTTTTACGACTTCATTAGACGGCAGACAGTCGCCGGCTGGCCATTTCATTTCCACACCTCTTGGAGCCACTCAACCGAAACAGCCTCATGACTTGGCATTTATGGGCCTTTCGGGAGGGCAAATTGCCGGTTCGACATGGAGAACAACAAATTCGAACTCAATTAGAACGGAAATGTCGATTCAAATCCATAAATACACATTGTACATATGTAAATTCTTGTCGATCACAAAATATAAAGAGAACTCTCGGAAAGGTTTCTCACATTATTGATCGGCGTTTTTGTTCTGTTTGCTTTGTTGCCCTCCACAATTTGATTAAGCGACATCAAAGGGTATATAGATATGTGTTTGGAATATATATACACATATGAATCGCTATCGCATTACCAGGTAAGAGAACGCGAGGCATGTGCTTTATTTCAGCGAAACTAAAAATAAAAAACCTTTTCTTGTCGGGTTTAGGGTTTCAAGTGCAATTTGCATTTAAGCATTCACTGCTCATCGTAGGTTTTTTTTAAAGCCATTTTGTTGCTCCTGACAAAGTGCTTCCGATGAAAATTTCCCCGAATCGGGTCTTTTTTGGTAACCGAATATCGATGTTTGGTAATTTAATGTGGGATTCTACTTTCCTTATTATAAAAAACAATTTTTAATTATATTTAGAACGATGACGGTAACATTTATTACATAAAATTAAGAAATGGTTTGTTTTTATCAATTGATGGAATAAAATATTATTTAAGAGACACTAAACTGTAATTATTTTAAGCAGAAATAAGTTTGTTTCCACTGATACTTTAGTAGTGCTAGTGACACTAGTTACTTTACTAAATAAAACCATAATACTTTATTGTTCAACTTAAGGTCTGACCCACAAAGAGATCTTTATAGTTTAATTATTCAAGGGTCTGTCGGTAATTCCGCAGTAAACGTTTTTATCTCAGGGCTTTCCATGCTTTTTGCGTAAGATTTTAGCCTTCTGAGCAGTTGATGCCCCAACCGTGCCCACTTTTAATTACAACTAAATTAGCGCATTTTATTAAATTCCACGCCAGAACAACGGAACAGGGCACGCCCTCTGCTCCTCCTTCCCCTTCTCCTTTCTCCGGACCAGATGAAACAAGTAATCTTCACATGGCGCAAAGAACCGGGTAATTCCGGGGGATATCGAGGGAGTGGTTCAGAGGGAGGGGAAAAATCGGAGTCAGGCGGGGTCCAATTCAACTGTTTTGCGCTTTGTTTTCGCTGCTCCGCTTTGTCCCAACGCTTTTTGATATTTTGCGCATTATTTTTGTGTGCGAGCTGTGTAAAACTTATTTTTAAGTCCCAACTGGTTTAAGTTCAGGGTAATTAATGCAAAAGTTATACCCAATGGGGGCGCCAAATATCGCCTTTGTTTATGAAACCTATTCCGAACTGCGGGCTGCCAATACACACAGAACTTGGGGAAAAGCCGCATCTTATCAGTGGTATATTTTCCGCTTCGCTCCATTTTACATTTTCATTATACTGGACAAATATTTGATGGTAATTGCCCAAGCCGCCACACATAAACAGCAACAATTGCCAATGTTGATTTAGCAACGACACCTGAAATAACAAAAATACCAGCTAAAGGGAGACACATTTACACACTCCAATGACAGATTAGATTTGCGATGGCCGGGTGATAAGCCCCAGCAGTCTGACATCGAGGGTGTTGACTGGACTGGGGTGTATTTGTTAACAGTGCATACATAAATATATAAATTATAAAGCTTCGCAAGAGCTTCAGATATTTATGAACACAAAAAAACACATTTCGCTTAATGCACACGCGAGCAAATATTACTGAATATATTTAAATATTATTTGTGTATTTAAATAACACATTTTCTTGGATAATTGTTAATAATAACAGTAATATATAAAACTAATATAACATTGCCAAATTTGTTTTATACGATTTATGGTACTTAAGATTTATTTTTAACAGAAACGTTAGCTGTTTTATACGACTAACAATAATTTAATATTTTTATAAAATATTAAAAAAAATGGTCAATGCTCCACCGACACTTCTGATTAAATTAAAAATAAACCGCGGTTGATTTATAAATGTATAATTGTTCAAACAGATAACAACTGGCGCCTCGTGTCAAGTACTTGTCAACTTCCCAGCTACGTAAAGCCCATATTTGCATTTCAATCGAAGTGCCGATCGGCTTGGAACAAGTATGGTAAGTACAAGTCAATGTTATTAACTGATGTTTAATGGTTGTCATTAGCAGGTGTTAAGTGCGGATTAGAGAGATAAAGATCTCAGCTTTTGCTAGAGAGTATAAATTAAAAAAAAACTAATTTAATGGAGCATATAACAGTGATATCATCTAGGGATGAATCATTTTCTGCTTAAAACTGTCGTATTTTTGTTTTCATTTAAAGGCATATCTTATCTGGATTTGGCTCAGAGTATGGACAGCTGGGTTTCGAACATACTCTACTTTTTAGCAATTACAATCTGCGTTGAGAACTTAATTATCTCGGTTCCCCAAGCGACAGACAATCAAACATTTAAATCATGTCCGTTTCAGAGAGCTGCAACGAGTCAATCATTTTCGGGTACACCCGATCATTTACTCGTATCCGTTTTGATTAATCGCTTCGGGTGAGCGAAATGAAATGAGCGGTGAGCGAATGCGATCGTGTCATGAATGATCGTTTGTGATCGTTCAAGTGTGTGATCTGATCGTGTGTGAACGTTCGGCTTGAAGATTTTACCCGTTTGTGATCGAATATTTTGTGCAATCGATTGGTGTGATCGTGCTTCGCGCCTATCGGTATGACAATGCAGTTCGTGTTATTGCTTTATATTTGGCACAACATATTTTTATATTTGCACAAAATGACAACAAGTAATAGATTTTAAAAGCGTTTTAGAACTAATATCAAATGGAAGCTACACGTTGTCAGGCCACCGGAAAGGAAAAAGTTTCATATGGAATAAATATTTCTCAATAAACATATATGTACACACAAAAATAAAACTTGGTAAAATCAACTGTAATAATTGTCAAACAGGCCCTAACCAGCAAAATTGTCAATTCTACTAAGTAAATAGTCATTTCACAATAACAAAATACACACAATTAGCAAAGACCAAACCAAAGCAAAAACAAAATACACGTAACCATTTTAATAGTTACGTAACTATCTTTGTTGGTCAATTTTACCAAGTTTTTTTTTTTGTGTGTAATACATTGAAGTGCACTCTCCATCTATTTTATTTCGTCGTCACAAGAAATCATATTAATCCGTTCACAATCTATTCATGTACAACTGACTCGAGGTCGCAATCATCGGGAACGATTGAGCGCTTCGGAACGATCATTTTGTTCACCTACACCCGAAGTTCAAAATCACATCATTGATCGTTACGAAGCGAGTCGGGTAGTTGATCGGATCGTACTTTGGCTTTCGGGTTTGTTCGTGATTATTCGTTGCCGAGTGAGTTTACCGGATTAAACGAAAATGATCGCGCGATGATCGATCGTACTCGATCATACTCGTTGCAGCTCTCTGGTCCGTTTCCTGGCTATAAATAAACAATGGACAATGCCAAGAAGAATGTCAACCATCCCACGATTTTTCAATTGCGTGCTTGCACTTGCGTTTTTTTTTTCTGAGTGGTGTACTTGAATAATATATAGGGTTTTCTTCTGTCAAGGGCATTTAAGACCCCAAAAATTAAGAAGAGAGAAAAAAACGAACACTCACCTGACATTTGCATAGTGCTGGCCGGAGTTCCAATCCACATGCTCGATATCCGAAGAGGTTTTGGCGTTGTCGCAAGGCATTTTTTTCGTAACTTTATCTGTGTAAGCTAGATTGCAGGGTATTTCATAGTCGTGGCGATCCTAGTCCGCTATCTAAAAAGAGGGGTTTTCAACCCCAAAAAGGGGGCTCCTTTGTCTTTTATGCTGGTTAGTCTTGCGCTTTTGTTATGATTCTCCGCTGGTTATTTGTTTATTCCCAACGATAAACAGAGGCTGTCGCCGTCTTTATTTTTAGCGACCCTGTTGGCAGGGGCTACTTCGATTTTTGCACAATGTAAACCGAATCTATTGCACTTTTATTTTCCTTTCTTTTCGTTATTTTTCCTTTCAACGCCAACGAACTTCTGGCCGTGTGTGTTTGTTTGTGTTGGTAGGTCTATTATTATATCGGTTTGCTTATGCGCGAAGAGCGTTGTTGCGAGTGATTGGAAATTTGTAATTTCTGACCCCACACCGACCCGTTTAACTACCCTACGCTTAAAGGCTATGCTTTCAGGGACTACACATATTTTTCATGTATTTTAACAAACTAAAAACAGAGACACATCCTCTCACTCGATTTCACCAAAACGACGCGACCAGTGTGACTGCTGGTGGGACAGTTGGAACATACCAAGAAGTGTGCCCGCACTCGAATCACGGAAATAATCTTAAAGATACTTTTTTTCAGAAATTTCATTACTAATTAAAATAATTATACAGCTTATTTTTTAAATAATATTTATATTATTATTTTTATTACATACCATTACATTTAAAACGAATATCCGGGTACCATCTATATGTCAATGCCCCAAATCTTTTGGTCACCCTAAAAATTGCTAACGTATTCTTTAAAATAAATTCAATTCCATTTTAGGTAGTTTTGCAATTCGGTCCATAAAAGGATGGCCAACGCCTTAATGAAGAAAATAATTGTATTCAAATATATGGTTTAAGCTTCTCCCAAGTTCAATAGAACATTAGAGTAAACCAAACAACTTTTATCCGGTTTTAATGTAGGTTTTTATTATTATACTTTTCCGTTAAATCCATTATTGACAATGACTACAAAAAGCGGATCGATTTAATGCTGCCGATTTTTGATAACAAACGGGGTTCATTTCGGTTTCGTTACGCGGGTCTTGGACAAGAGTTACGATCAATCGCTGCTGTTGTTTATAACCATAAATAAAGGCAACACAAACTAACTAAACTCTGAGGGATCGGATCGGTTGGCGGGCGTGGCCCGGCAGCCTACAAAGTGTAGATCGACTTGACGTTGGAGCCCTGCTTGACCATCGTGTCCTTGTGCAGCTGGTACTGCAGCGAGTTGTTGCGTCCCAGACGCAGGGCATCGCGCAGCTTGTGGCCAATTTCCAAAGCAGCCTCCTCGTTGTTGCCGTTGGCAGTCCAGATGGCTAAAAAACAGATCCCATTGAACAAAGGAATTTGACAAAAGTTGGGGTGTGACTACTTACAAATCTTGTTGCTCTTGCCGCGAATGTTTACGACAGCGCCACAGATCTGGTCGGAGTGATCGAAGGCCTCGCCAATCAGGCAAAGCAGCTGGAGGGGAAAGCAGAAGTAGTTAGTCATGTGAAATGTGTAATAATCTTCTGATTACTTACCACATCGAGCCAGAGGTTATCCAGATCGCTCTTGGAGCTCTTATTCAGTGTGATGACCCAGCGACCGCCCTGCTTGTTAGCAGCATCCTCCCACATGGGACTTTATATAAAGAAACACAGTTAATAAAGTAAATCTAGTAAGAGATGCAATTCAAAACCCACCGAATGTTCTTCTTGAAGAGCGAGTAGTCACTGCCCAGTTTGATCTCCGATGGCGGCTTGATGTGGTTGTACAGGCTCCAGAAGTCCTCGACGGTGTCGAAGCTGGTGATCTCGTTCTGCATGTCCTCCCAGGACTTGGACCGATCGTTTTCGAGGTACCACAACGTCCAGACGTTCATGAGCGGGTGTTTGAACAGGTGCTCGGTGCGCACAGCATCGTCGGCGGCGACGGCACTGGTGGGTGCCGCGGGCTCACCAGCCTCCTGGGCATCCTCCTTCGGTTTGACCTCCTTGACCTCGGCCTTGGCGGGGGCGGCAGCCGATGGAGCGGATGGTTCCGGACGACCCTGCTGCTCGCTGCTGGGGGCGCTGGTCTGCGGGAGAGAATATCAAGATTCAAGGAGGAATTCCAAGATTAGATTGGCTTGGCTTAGCGACTGAGCGCACTGAGATAGTATTACTTTGAACATGGACTTGGGATTGGCAAAGTTCTTCATTCTGTGAAAGTCGCTCTGCATGTTGGCGGCCGTGTTTATTGGATGCGTTTGATGGTAGGATCAGTTCTTATCGGTTCCGTAGAGGATTCGGATCGGATTCGCCGTGATTCACTTGCCGCTCTCTCTGTCGTGGTGTTTGTGATACTTGTGGTGGTGGTGGTGGTGGTGGTGCGTCTGTGTGCGCGAGAGAGCGAAGCTTTTGATTTCTGTTCGAGTGTGTGTGGATTTCGGATTGTTTCTTGATATCTTCCCTGCAGTTCGCTTTTCACTTGTGTTTTATTAACCAAATAACTAAGTAATGATAATACAAAAAACTCGTTAAACTTGTTGGTATATTGAGTGGTTGGTTGGTTGTTTGGGGGTGTAAGTATATATTGAGTATATGTGGAGTTTATCCTGCTTCACTACTCTACGCTACTGGTAAAAAAAGGCGAACAAATGTTCCTAGCGAACTCCGAATCGAAAGTGGCGATGGAATTACAGCACACACACACACGCGCACGTACTTGACATAAAAACACAGATTGCCTGTTGAAATTGAAAGAATTGGAATTGATGTTTTATATTTGAGTTAAAGAGTTTCAATTTTAGTTTAATTTTTTGTTGCGGCTAAAATTCGAGACTGCGTGTGCGAGTTTAAAGCAGCGGCGCGATTAACTGAAAAAACGTCAGAGAAAGGAGGTGGAAAGTGGAGAAGGAAGGAAAACCAACGGTTCTTGGCGATGCTCGCGACTGCGACTGCAATGGCCGACAAAAATATGATTTAACTGTTGTTCGCGACTGCTTAATTGCAGTAATTCACTCTTTTTTCTTTTTTAGTCTCTCTGGTTCGCCTATTTATGTAGCAAAAAGAAACAGAAACCCCACACACACACGCGCGACGTCTTGACAAATTCCAGCCACAGAGAGAAACGAGCGAGAGAGAGAGAGAGAGAGCAGTGAAATCGTGTGGTATGCAAATGCGAGAGGAGAGGAAAGAGAGCGAGTGACCGCGAAAGCGAGATAGCTAGATAGAGACAGACAGAGAGAGCGATAGCTATGACGTAGACAACAGCGTGCAAGTAGCAATTGATATTTAGCAATTATTGTGCGCGAAATAAAGGCTTCTGATTTGGTGGGGGAACGAAAATAACGGTGAACACAATGATGATGATGCCACGCCAACTGCACACTTTTCCACTCGACTGTCGCCTCCCCCTCTTGTGCAACAACCCTGTTTTTGTTGTTCCTGCCACGGCTCAGCCGAAATCGAAATCGAAACCATGCGGCTTGCCTTTTCTCGCCTTACCTTCTCCGTCTCCAACACTACCATGATTTCGATGGCAAAGGTATCGAAAGTATCGCGGTTCGGTTACGCACTCGCTCTGCGTAGGTGACTGGGCTTAATTATTATTAGAATTATTAAATTCTTTAATTAAGTTTGGGTTTTTGGTGGCCAGACAGTGTGACCAGAGCAAGGAGGGAACTTAGTGATGGGAGGGCGAGGGCAGCTGCTGTCGATTAATCGATGCGGCAACTCTGGTCATGGCTGTCAGTAGCTAGTTGCTGTAAAACTTGGCATACCGTTAAATTTAAATACTCGCCGTTTGTGATAAAAGCTTTCTGAAATCTATGACTTTGAATTTAGTGGCTAATAATAGTTATGCAGTATAACCATTTTAATCACTTTGATAAGCTAATAAACAATTGCATTGTTGTGTAATTTTATTTTGTTGGTTATCGTTCAAGAGAACAGTAATTAAACAAAGTTAATTATGTTTTCTTTGTGGTTATTCATTATCCATTAACTTCAAATTTAACATAACGAGCTAGCTTTTATAAGTATCTTGGCAATTAAGATATTTTAATGGCTATGGTTTTTTGGCCGTAACTTCTTCTTCATTCTTATTGTTTAAACTTAACGATCATAAATTGCTTACATGGAAACTCTTTAAATAATTTGATTAAAACCCACAAGGAAGTTAGATAAACTGACAAAGCCAATCTTAGAGCGTTAATCGAAAATATGAATGCAAATTTAATTGACATTTCGTCTGTTTCCCACAGCACGATCGCCAGCAACGTCAGCGCCATTTATCATACGCAATTATTTGATATTTTAAAGGCAGCGCAAAAATAACAATGTATTATAAATAATTATCAACCAAATTTAAGACGGAGAGGCTCAAAAAACCTGATTTTTGGTTGGAAATTAGGTCTTCGTTTTTATTTAGACACTGGCATCATCAATTGGAATTCAATAACAAAATGACAAACTTAAGAATGAATCAATGAGTTTTCCATATAATAAGATTCTAGTTTGTTTATTTGTTTTCAAGGCGGTTTCCAGAAATCACCAGAATAACAAATTGAATGAATGAAATAACAAAGTATCGAAATTGTTTTAGCCAGAACTGGGACGTCAGAGGTTATGTTTTTGCCACATACATAAGTTTGTTTAACCTGTTGATGAATCATAAATAACCCAGAACCTTAGTTGTTTTCAAAGCTGTTTAGTATTAGGAACCAACGAAATTCTATCTGGAGATTGGCTCGCCTTTGTCTGCTTTAAAAATAGCCAAAAGATCCCAAAAACACAGTGGGAAACACTCGGCAACAGATGAAGATGCGGATGATGATGATGATACTACTTATGAGGGATGATGATGGCGATGATACTACCGATGAGATGATGATGTGGGGCTTTGGATACGCTTGACTTTCAAAATAGACTGTGTTGCAGTAGTCGCAATCCTAAGATTCAAGATGTTTACGGGCCTGGAACGTGAAGCGTGTTTATTATTTAAATAGTTAAGTCATTTTGTAAACGAACAACAACTGCGCAGTTGCCCTTGTAAGCGCCTAATAAGCGGCTTTCAAGAGTTCGGCACGATCGGAATCCCTTCCCGAAAGCCAAAGATCCGTGGGCTCTAATTACACTTGAGCCGGGCTTATTGAACTGACATTTGATCGCCTATCCTACCCGTTTATTACCCATCGCATCGCATCTAATTATGCAGCACGGACTTCAAGTGCTTGGCGCATGTCTAAACAAAAAACTTCCGCCGATCTACAGGAAACCCGGAGCCAAAGTTAAAGCTAAGGCAGTCAACTTTGCATTAATTAGAAGTAAAAAGTGATTGAGTCGCTCAAAGATGCTTAATTGTAAATAAATCATAGCCAAGTGGTTAGTGAGAAAAGTATAAGATTTAGAGGTTCGACTAGGGGGTATCTTATTGATACCTTATTGATCTAAAACAAATAAAATATGTGAAACTCAAAAATAGAATTTTTAATTTATTGAAATCTAGATTTCTTGCAAATAAAAAAATAAGGGGAAACCATCTAGATAATATAAACCAAACCAGATTTGAGAAATCCAAACGTCGAATATGCCTAACAGAGCAGCGAATTCCAAGAGGCAAAAAAAGTATCTTAAAGATACTCGAGAACTGACAGCCAACGAGCGCTGAAAATGCCACTTGAACCGAGTCGAAAAGGGTTCTGAAAAAGGCAACAAAAGATGGGTAGACCGCAAAGCTATTAGATAACTAATTGACCAAGCGGCATACATACAATTAATGATGTTTTCATAGCATCTCTCTGAATATATATCCGTAGAATATATCGGCAGCCGAGTGAGAAGTGTGAGAAGTGCGAATTTGAGCGACGTTGATAATGAACTTCAAATTGCCGCCACTGGCTGTGGGATTCGAGATTGCTTGATTCTCAAGCTGAGTAAGAAACCGGACAGGTGAAGCTCAGTCTGCTGGTCAGCGGAACACAACGCAACCAGCACATCTTCATTCAGATTTATGCAAAACGTAAAAAAAAACAATACCGAGCCGAGTTGAAAGTTAGTATATAAGCAGTGCCTACGGATATTCAGTTATTAGTAGCCCGCCAACTGCAGAACAGCGAAAACGTAGTGATACCTGGATATACACAACCCCTTTTAAAACCCATCATATTTCGATCGGAATCCATAATGAAGTGCTTTATCTTGGCTGCTTTTCTGCTGGTAAATGCAGAGAATTTGCATAATTAAGCTGATATTTACGATCGCCTCTGAATAGATCCGAACCATTCAATTAAAATCCGGGTTATAAATGTCAACTGTGTGCGAATCGGTTGGCAAAGTGCAAATATAAAAGTTATACAATGTGCAAAAATTAAGCAAACCTTGGGTTACATGCGAGATGAGACTTTAATCTAATGATATGACATCATCTTTATATTTTGTGATCTCTCTGATACGTTTCGTTTCTCTAAAGAACTGTGTAGCGTGTTAAATTGGCCATAAAATTAAAGCCAGAATTTTATATTTAATATTAACATTCATCTCTTTTATTTAAGGCCACTTTAGCCAGCGGCGAGAACATCTTCAAGATCAACATTTCGCCCGAGGAGGCTCAGCAGTTCTTGAACAGCGCCCAATTGCGTGGCATTGGCGATATCGAATATGCACCGAAAACCGGAGAGAATCCTTTGCCCGAAGCCCGCAACGAGCAGGGACAATTCGTGTACATGGGCCGTGTGATCGAGCATCCCGAGGATTATGTGGAGGAGCACTACGATGCCCATCAGTACCATGGTCAGGATGGTCTGGGTCAGTTTGCCTACGGCTACAGGGACTGGAATCAGGGCAAGAACGAGAAGCGCGATCACGAGGGCACCGTCACGGGATCCTACAAATATGTCCAACCGCATGGCCGTGACTTTGTGGCCAATTACTATGCCGATAAGACCGGTTTCCATGTGGAGGACAACCGTCCGGCTCATCTCAAGCAGCCGGCCACCAAAACCCCTGCCGTTTTGAAGGCCGAGGAGGAGCATTTCCGCCTGTGGGGTGAACTGGCCGCCGCCGCCGGTCACAATCCCGATCCCTATGCCGCCGAGTACCAGCAGGAGGGTCGCTATCAGCCCACCGAGGACGAGATCAAGCCCTACGTCCACGAGGAGCAGCCATATGTGCCCGGTCCCGAGGAGACCGGCGAGCCCAAGGGATTCTTCTACGCCTTCGACTACAATGTGCCCCTGTTGCGCAACAAGGAGGAGCGTGCCGAGCTGGAACGTCTGCGGGCAGTCAACAACAAGGACGAGTAAGGGTCCTTCGGGATTTTTAGGAGATCCATCGCATCCATGGATCGCCTTGTATAGGTCGTTCTGTAGAAAGTAGCAAAAAACATTCCACATATTTATTGAATCCTTCGCTAAATAAATAAATCGCAGTTTCAAATACACTTTTGTCAAATACGATCTTTTATTATTACATACATATACATATAAAAATGTGTGTTTTTGTGTATTGGCTTTTCATTCGCAAATGTGTGTGTGTTTGTTTGTTGTAGAAGTTTTTCCAGGATGTTCCGGAAAAATCTAGATAAACATAGTTGGGTATATGAAATAATCAAAAACTCTCTTTATTCTAGAGTTTTCTAGAACCACCCATATTGCTGTCAACTCGCCACACGCATTTTCATTATAATTTTCTTGCCCGGTCTCTCTTTTCAAGTAAAATTATTGCTTTTTGCTCTTCGCCTAGAAGACTTTTAATCTTAAACTAGTTTAATTTGTATTTATAGTGTTATGTTTGTTGCCGTTTCTGTTGTTGGATTCGTGCTTTAATTAAATTCTAATTATGCACGAGCATTTCTCATTTACAACCAGTTAAAAACTAGCATATACTTTAGGGTTTATTCGTTCCGACTCACAATTAAGGAAACTCTGGGCTTTAAGTATAATACCAATTGGATGCGATCAATTTTGATTAATTCTCATACACTCCACCTGTATGGCACCTTAAAAAAAAAGACTAAACACAAATATTAAAGTAGTTTACGTTTTGATGGGATTTCCCCGTACTTGAGGTTTTTCCTAGCAAACAAAATTATATTTTATTCGGTATACGTTGTGTATGTGTTTTGAGTTCATCAGTTAAATTCTTCGATGTGGAAACAAAATTAGATTTTCGATTGAATCACACTAGAAATTTCGTTCTTTTATGGAAATACGTAGCTAACTTTATATACAAAGTCAGTACATGTATATACTTTTATATGGCAGCATTGTTCAGTCCGATATTGCAGTTGAAACTTTTTGTTTTACCTTATCGTTTTTTTCAGTGGAGTTTCCCGAATATTTATTCGAATTCTATATTATATGAGTCGTGAGTGGTTTCGTTTGAAGTTGAGGGATCGGGTTAGCACAAACAATAAACAATAAACACAGTAAAGGGTTAAACATTCCAACAGTATCAATTACAACACAACAAGCACGCACAGAAAATAAATAGAAGGTACGGTACTCAATAAGAGGAACTAAAAGTTAGACTTTAAAAAAATAAAACATAATAGCGACATTGCGGATCTGTATACTGTTTTTCTCGCACTCGGGTGGTATACTAAGGTACATAAGTTAGTTGTGGCCTTATACAGCCGGCTTTAAAACTTTAAAAAACACCCCCCGTTCTACAGCCCCTCAACTTCAAAGCGTCGAGATCAATCGATCCAGGATTAGGGTGTTTGGATCTGCTTCAGTTTCTTAATACTTTTGCACGGATATGGATATGGATATTATGGACTGGGAAATGTCTGGTGGGTTGCTCCCCGATGAAGTAATGGATGACGATCTGGGAATGGAGCTAGTAGTTAGTCTAAGATGTGATGTGCTGGGATGTTCATTTGGCGCATGAGTTTCATTCGACGATTGTGTGTTAAATACATTAATTCTTGCTAGGCTCTTGTCGCTCTTTTGGGCTTGTTGTATATAAGGCAAACTGTATGCGAATCATACATATATTGAACTATGTAAATACGTTTATCGTTTTGTCAGTTAAATGCCGGGGAAGATCCTGGGAGAAGCGCTGCATTCGTCTGTCGTCTATATAAATGTCTATGAGCTGGAGAGCATGGCACAACTGTTAGTGGCTATCCAAAAAATTGACCAACGGTGTAAACGGGTGTGTGAGTGTATACACTATATACTATATATATATTCTGTATATATAAATCTTGTATATGCTACACGACTCTATCCGCGACTCTAAGCCCTAAGTGTGGTGCCCTCTATACTGTAAATTCAGGATTATATCTACTTTGCAGCCGCTGCCGCTGCTGTGGCATTGGCCGGCGAAACTTTCAGCTTGATGAACATGCCGTTGTCGCCATTGCTGCCGCTGTTCAGATCCAGCTTCTGCACCTCGCACTCCAGATTGTTGATGCAGTTCTTCTCGTACTGCGTGGTTCCGTTGTCCGAGGCGGCGGCGGCGGCGGTCTTCTCCGACGGCTGCTCACTGGGCGCCACCTTCTTCTCCTTGCTCTTTTTCAGCGCATTCAGCAGGGTCTTCTCTTTGCTCTTGCCCTCCTTATCCTTGTGCTTGTTGTTCTTGAAGCGCGGGAAGATGCAGCCGTTGGGCAAGAAGCCGCCCAGTTTCTCCTTCTTGGTGGGCGCAGCGGGCGGAGGAGTTGGTGTGGCAACGGGAGCAGCTGGAGCTGCAGTTGGACTGGGAGTTGATGCGGCTGATGGTGGGGGCGTTGAGTTGCTGGCACCATTGGTGGCTGCCGGTGGAGCAACCTTTACCTCTGGTTCGGCCTCCACCGGAACTGTTTGATTGTCCAGCACCATTGCTGATCCATTCGCCGAGCTTCCCGCATCCGTTTGATCCACACAAGCTTCCTCCAGTAATGCTCCCGATGGCTCCTGCTGTTCCGCCTGCTCGCTGGCCACCTTGTTGTCCAGTTGCTGGGCAAACACGGCCAGGGTGATGCCATTGCCATTGCCATTCTCTGCCAACTGGGACTCGGGCAGGTGAGCTGGTGGCGAGCCCGCCTCGCTCATTGCAGCACCAGCAGCACTAGCCGCCCTCGCCGCATCCGGCGACTTGGGAAACATCTGCTGCGTGGTGATGTTCTGGTAGTGCTGCTGCTGGCGCTGCTGCATCATCTGCTCCTCCCGCTCACGATCGCGCTGCGCCTGCACGGCGTTCCAAACGTCCTTCAGCTCGCCGGAGATGTCGCGATCCTTGAGTATTACGGCGTTTCTGGGGAAGGAATTAGATTTCAATTGGGAAAAATTAAAATGGTATTTTATAATAACTACCTGACTAGTTTCACGCCTGGATTCATAGCCTCCACAAAGTCACACATCAGCTCCACCATGGCTCGTCGCTCCTCGGGATCTTTGCTGTGGCGTCCTGAATCCTTCAGAACCTCTGGATTGGCCATTACGGCAAAGACAATGGGAGGACTTCGCGGACTGCCAGGTGGCACCTGTAGCGATACAAATGATATAGATAATTACAATGTTGATAGCATACAAAATTTATTTACCTAAAGTAATAGATACATTATAAAATGTAGGTAAACCAAGAAATACAAATTGTTGAATAAATAAATATTTAATTATTAATATCCCTTGTATTATATATGTATTTCAAAATGAAAACCAATAAAAATTAACGAAAAGTACCTAAAATAAACTTCTTTAAAAAAGCGTTTATTCAAGTTGTGACTTAAAAATTGCAATTAATCATTTAAAAGAATTTAAGAAGTCTTTATTGACAAGTTATAAATTGTGTATCCCTAACTACAAATTTAAAATAAATAAATATAAGCCAACTAAATAAAATGGAACTACATTGTGACCGCGTTAATAAATAAGCGTTGGTATGATTTAAAATAAATATAAATACAAATACAAACATCCAGAAAAAAAATTCTTAAAACAGTTGTAAGATCTATTCAATTTTAAATAAATAAAATCCAGATAAACTGTTTTCAACTTTCAAATGAAAAAAACGTCAAAAAATTTTGTTTTATATGAAGTTTGTTGTTTTGGACGATTTTTTGTTGGGTTGAGTACTAGCCCTTTAAAACGAAATCTGACTACTTTTATCTTTATTTCAAGAGAGTTCTTACGTCTTGATTTCAAGAACATTTCTTGTTGGGATTGACAACATTTTGATCTTATCTTTTTCCGCCCTAATTTTTTCTCGGAGTTTCTTTTCTTATCAGAACTCACCCGCATGCCGCCGTAGAGGGGAATGGGATCGCTGGGCTCCTGCGGTATCACAATGCGCGTCCAGCTGAGGACGTTGATGAAGAGCTCCTCGCCGGACTCCGTGGTGGTGCGGATGCACATGTGGGGCTGCGGCGGGTTCTTGAAGTGGCGATAGGCCCGCGAGTGCCGATAGCTGTGCGGCGGCGGGGAGGAGTTCATCAGACTGAGCCCGAGTCCTGTGATGCCGTTGCTGTTGCCCTCGAGTTCCTGTTGCTGCGGATCCTGGTGCATCGGTAGCTGGGTTTCCTGGGTGTCCAAATTATTGTTGTAGCAAATTGTTTCGGTTTGTTGATTCTCATCGATGGCAGTGTTTGTATTGGTTTCCCCTCCTTGCTGTTGTTGCTGCGGTTTTTGCTCCTGGGCGGCAGCCTCGGGTTCCAGTTCCGCCGCAGACATGGTCTTGGAGTTATAGTTTTAATGTGTAGAGCTTAGCAGTCTTTAGTTGAATCAGTTTTTAGTTTCAGTGAAATATCCTTTTGTTTTTCTTTCGGTTCCTGGTCTAAGCTTCAATTCGCCTTGCGGCGAATTCGATTAGCCGTGTTTTCGTCCTCTTTGTTCTACCACGCACTCACACCAAAACACCAGCTCTCTCTCTCTCTCGCTCGTTCGCAGGCTCGCCGCCTTCTTACAACATTATTATTGCTCCTTGGGTCCTGGCTGCGTGCCTAACTTTTGACCTTTGGCGTAATTAATGGACTTGCCTGCATATTAGGGGCTATTGCGTATTATACCCCCCCTCGGTTGACACTAATATCCTCCAGAAATTCAAAGTCTTTTATCTGGCACGCACACAAAGGCAAAACACCCTTCTGCTCTACACACGTACAAGTGGGAGTTGCTCGTCTGCAGGGGAAGGGGGAGGAAGAGAAGAGAAGACGAGGTGAAAACATGAAAATGGAAAAGTTCAAAGCGTTTGCGGTGCCACACTTACACATTTCACTGCTTTTCATTTATAATAATCACTTTTCCATTGCACCATGCACACAAAAACACACACGCACACACAAACAAACGGTCGCAGTTACATACTTATTTATATATGTACACACAAGATGCGTTTTTCTGACTCGCACTCACATAATTTCCCATTAAAATGGGAAAACAATGCAGCCAGCCGAACGTGTGCGCTGCGCTGATTTTTATATTTAGCTTTTTAGCAGCTTTTCATGGCAGACGGACACACGGGAAAACAGCCGATTTTTCCGACAACCCAACATAAACAAAAAACTAATGGGCCAGTGTTGCCAGATCGGCTGCAAGAAAAGTGCAGAGTTGCACCAGTTACTAAAAAACAATTCCTATTTTTTAATTGAATTACAAAAACTGAACTAAAACTAAACCAAAAACTAAAACAATAAATTAAAAAAACAAATATATTTGATTATTTTTTATATCCAAGTGACAAATCGATAAGTTCCATTTATGGAACTAGTTCCATGAACCTATCGGAACCTAATCAATACATTTGCATCCCTGGTCCAGCCGGTTAATTTTTTGCACAAGCGCTGGACAGAAAACTGAAATAAAACGGCTTAAAGTGAGATATAATCAATAGCCACCATTGTAAATAAACAGTTAGGCAACGGGCTATTGTTGGCAAATCAGTTTCCAGCGCGCAACCCACTGAATTTGGAACAAGTCGGCCAGTTCGGCCCGCAATTTTCCCACGGGGGTGTGTGTATAACAAAATGGCGTCCTCGCAAGTCTCAAACAAATCGGGCTCCGGTTGGCCGCGCCGCGGCAGCCAAGGCCAAGCGGACGCAGCCAGCAGCAACAACAACGGCACCCAGAAGTACACCAACCAGGCGCTGACCATCAACCGAACGATCAATCTGTGGGTATCATCTAAAACATAGGAGATCTATGGAGATGATCAACGTACTTTTCTTTTTAGTTACCCCCTGACCAACTACACATTCGGCACCAAGGAGCCGCTCTTCGAGAAGGACCCATCGGTTCCGTCCAGATTCCAGCGGATGCGCGAGGAGTTCGACCGGATCGGAATGCGCCGGTCCGTCGAGGGAGTGCTCCTCGTCCACGAGCACGGACTGCCACATGTCCTGCTCCTGCAGCTGGGCACCACATTCTTCAAACTGCCGGGCGGCGAGCTGAATGCTGGAGAGGATGAGGTCGAGGGTCTGAAGCGATTGCTCTCCGAGGTGAGCTGAAAATAGGAACCCTAAATGGGTGTTAAAAATGGGTCATCCGGGTATTCAGGTCAAATTCTTGTTTCAGAAGCAAGGTTTTCAGTTTTATAATTATATAATCATTTTTTCAAGTCAAGTTTTAAATTCTTTAACCCAAATATTATCTTTAGGATATCATATTTATTGTTACATCTACTAAAGCCTTAAATCAAAACTATTTTCTTGAGAAATAAGTTAAACTATTGGCACCAATTTGATTTCCCATACGGTTTCAAGGTTTTATCCCTACCTTAAATTTAACAAACGAACGAGAAAACGGCCCTAAAACTTTTATAAAAGTCTTCAAAATTTTAAGGTTCAGATTTTCAGATTAAAATGTATCTAATATAAATTGTAAAAATGTAAGGACCATATTTTTATGTAAACTGCCTCCTAACTATTTACTCTACCTAACTCTCATTGTCTTTTAATCATTTTCCAGACGCTGGGTCGTCAGGACGGCGTGAAGCAGGAGTGGATTGTCGAGGACACAATTGGAAACTGGTGGCGGCCGAACTTTGAGCCACCGCAATATCCGTACATTCCGCCGCACATCACCAAGCCCAAGGAGCACAAGCGGCTCTTCCTCGTTCAGCTGCACGAAAAGGGTAAATATCCGCCAGGGGGTTCTTTTCGGCCCCTACGCGTAGGTACACATATATCGAGCACACCGTGTGTCCAGAATATCCATCTCTCCATGTATACTTATAATATAACCTATAGATTGTTTTTGTTTTGCCAAAAACCGAATACGCTAACAAACCTCATGTCATATCTTTTCAATGCTGTTTAGATACGGACGGGAACGCCAGTTACGATGTACCCTGAGCTGTTCCATTAGCGCCGTGTGTGTGTCGTATCTACCCAACTCAATTCTCAAGAGTGCAATGCCATAGAACAACAATCGAGCAAACAGAACAAGTCAAAAAGAACAGAAAAGAAACAAACAAACAAACAAAGAAACAGATCGCAAAGCGGGCGCAGGCGACATCTTAGATAGTTTTGATTCTAGTCAAGTTTTTAAGCCAAATTGTTACCATATTGTTGCTCAGGACGGCGTGTTGGCATATTTTGTTTTCTCCGACTCTTGTCATCCGAAATTCAAAGATTGTTCTTGTACTTAATTTTGTAAATATGTCGACATACTTGTGAGACTGAGCGCAGCCTACTTACCTATTTATTTATCTGCTAACTTCTACTCTTACTTTTGTCAACTGTCATGTGTTGTTCATCTTAAGGTTGTTGTGTAATTGGTTGTACCAAACCGATCCACCGGGCAGGCAGCAGAGAGCATTGTAACGTTGCTGGCTGCCGCAGTTATGCGCACAAATCTCGCGTGTCTTGCAGATTTGCGTGCATGCAGTGCAGCCAGGTCGCCAGTCGCTCCTTAAATTAAGCACTCGTTTATGTAAACACAAGCAAAATACTCTGTTTATACTTTCTTTGGCCCATATTTGCTAATGCTTACCGCCTTCGCTGTGCGCTGACATGACTTCAAGTCCATTAGCTGAATCATTTCGGCGCACAAAACGAACCGCGCACATATCATGTAAAATGTTGCTCTTAATTGAAATTATGTTGATATCTGAAACTAGAAGACTTTGCTTCACAGCGAATCCTATTCATTAGTCTAACGAATCCAACTATGAATGTAAAACATAACGCATACGGCAGCGAATCGATTTTTAATATGTAAATTGTACAACCGATTGTAATACCCCTAGATAATATACATATATTCTGTGAATTTGAATGCTCGTTGCTATCTATCTACATACATGAATTCTGTCTCTATCGTTTTCTGTAATCTAGCACTATTTGCTGTACCCAAAAATTATAAGCTTGTTGCTGCGCCATTGTTCGAGCTATACGATAATTCGCAAGGCTATGGACCGATCATCTCCTCCCTGCCGCAGGCCCTCTGCAGGTGAGTTAAACCACTTGGATCTCAGTTCCCAGACCTTTTACTGAAATATATACTTCCCTCCACAGATTCAACTTCATCTACATGTAAGGGCAGACAGAGGGATCCGCGCATCCAGGTCCAGCAATATTTAAGCACCAGCAGCAGCAGCACCAACAGATTTCAGCACCCCAGATCAATCAGAGCCCGTAGATTTCCATTTCATGTGTGTGTGTGTAAACGTACATAATTGTATTGCAGATAAAATGGAAAGAAAGCCAGGCCCTTTCACTTGGCAAATAGAATCGACAAAATGTGTGCTTTATTTGTATATCTTCATCTTTAATCTATTTGCATTTTGGGGGTTGTGTGTTCTGTGTTCTATCAACTAAACGTTAGACAATGTTTGAGAAATGTTGAGTATAGTTATGAGATGGGTTCTGGCCAACTGGCGCTGTCCCTATAGCATGTACTCGCCATAGATTTGTTCGAAATATTCGCGTTTTCTGTAATTGGAAGATTAAGGGGTTTTGAGATACCGAGAGGTACAAAGCAAAACGATTAGTAAAACATATCTAGCTCAGTACCAACGGCAATTACTCTACGTACATTTCAATTTGCTATTGTTAACATTAAATCGTGAGACTCTAGTTTACGGATGCTCTTCGGAGTGCGTGGCTTGTAACAAATGAACGAATCAACAAAAGTCTGACAAGAAGCTCACAACGAAATCATCGAACTGAAGTACAGGAACCGTTTGGTGTGATATTTTTTGATTAGAGTTAATACATTCTTAGTGTCTAGATTAGATTTTGTTAATTATGCTTAATGCCACACGTACAAAAGATGCTACCAAATATTGCGTGGTGTTGCGGTTTTGTGATCGATTTGAGATCTTTACCACAACTTATTGTGATAGAACTTGAGATCGTAGTAGCCCTGATCGGTGAGGCCGCCGCCACCGCCGCCGGAGGAAACGGTGGACAAGGCATCCGTGTTGTCCTGGCCCGGCGAGGTGGCATCATGGCCGGGCGGACGGTTGATCTTGACCACGCCGAAATCCTCGCGCTCCATCTGATCGAACTCCATTTTGGTGCTGGGCATTACGGCCATGCCGACGCCAAAGGATCGGTTCTTCATGCCCGTGTGCTGCTTGCTCAGCTGGAAGGCCGGAGGTCTCCGGTTGTCGCCCACAATGCTCTCGGCCACCTCGGGCGATCGCACGGACGGGGGAGTCGGAGTGTGGCTCTTTGGCGGCGGCGGTGATGGTGGAGTAATCACCTCCGGTTCGGGTTCGGGTTCCGGCTCGACCTCCGGCTCAATTTCCAGCTCCGGCTCATAGCTGTGGGCCTCCAAGTCGGCCAAACTCTGCCGCTGCAGCTGCTCGGCAATCTCTGCTAGATCGTGGTTACCATTGCCGCTGTTGGAAAATTTTGTTTAAGACTCGTTAAAACTAGACTTTATTTTACTAAAGAACAGGGTTCGTAAATATCACCCATTTTAAATATCCCTCAAAAACAAGCCGACTGTGATGAAAATAAATAAATATCAATCACGATACAAACAAAATTGTCATCGTTGCTCATTTAAATACATATCGCTTACTGATGAAATAATATTCATAATAAGGAATAATAAGGAATTTGAGGGATATTTTACGAACCCTGATAGAGAACAAACAAAAAACAACACTCAAACATTGAATTAAATATCATTGATTTTATTGCTCGAGAAAAAAAAACGAAAATAAGTTACGACCAACAATTATGTAGTTAAATGTTAAATGATAAGTTATATGTTGTAATCACAATTTGTCAGGTATTTTTGTATGTATGTCTTGTGTGTAACGGTTCCGATTTAGTGGCTTGATTTCTCTATTCTTTTTTTGCAGTGGTTGTTTTCTTGTGTTGTGGGTGGTGGTTTTGTTTTTGGTGGTGGGTGGTGTGGCATGCGGCAAGTGCAGATCCTTCTGCTTGTACTCGTACATTAAGTAAATTCATCGATTCTTTAAATTAACTAAGCGAAAGTATAAATAATTGGCTAAAATCAAAGCTTTGTACAATTGTTATATATGCTGATAATTCAGTTTATCTAGTTTTGATTTATATTTCTGATTTTTTTGTATGTGAAGTCAGCCGTGTGCAATTTTTGTGGGTGGGCTTTATCTATTTGATTCTGAAAGACAAACGAAAAGAACAAAATGAAACCCAAATGAAGACCAGACACAAAATGATAATGCTATTGAAATTTACTTAGTTAATTTAAAGTATTTACCTGTTCGATTCTGCACTGCCATTACCTTTTCCGCCCTTCGAGTTGCCGGCATGAATTATCTGAAAATAGAGAGATTTATTAGGCCAAATTTTGGGGTCAAAATAATTAGAGATAAGATCGGTCTATTAACTTGTATTAATATCCATTTCGTGGGCCATACAATTCAATGAATTTCTTTATTAATTGCTCTGTATAATATAAATCCTAGTTACAAAACGCAAACTAGTTTGTGTTGCCTCCAAAAAAAAAAAAACAGCCCCTTAACACGCAGCCAAAAGTAACACCCCTGATTTCAGTGCTATTTCACCCCACTCATTTAACCGGAAGTGAAAGCCAAAGTATAGCATTCAAATTTCTCCATTTGGAAGAGTTTAATTTACAGATTTGTCCTGAAATTTATCGAATTGCTGATTTTCTAACCTAATTGAAGGTTATTTTTCAATGGTCGGTACTGTTAAAACAAAAAACACAAGCTTCAAACAATAAATCTTGGGAGTTTTGCACTCGAAATTTGGTGCACTTCACTCGGTTTTGATTTTATCATTCTACTGAACAGGTAAGCCGGCATCGCCGTGTCCAAGTTCCGGGGATCGAACCAAGTAAATGGTGGTCTGGCAGTTGGGGCAAGTGGTGCACATCTCGGCATCCGCTGGTGCTGCACCTCCACCACCGCTTTCCCTTGGAGCATTGCCACCTGCTCCTCCTCCTGGAGCAGCTGCTCCTCCTCCTCCGGCAGCTGGTGGAGCACCGGCTTGTGGAGAGCCAGCTGCCTGCGGCTGAGAGGGCTGTGGGTCAGGTGTATAATTTAATTGCTTCGAAGGTAGCCCATAAACCTTGTTATATTTACATATCCATGCTGAGGCATCTGATGTTGCGGCTGCAACTGATGTTGCTGCTGGGTTGCATATTTGTTCTGCATTTGGGCATCTGGTTGAATAACTTGCTGCTGTTCATAGACCGTTTGCGGTGGGATTTGTTGCTGATTTTGCATTTGCTGCTGGAGGACATGAGCCCGTCCCGAGGGCGGTGGATCCATGCGAGTGGGCTGCCCTGCAGCAGGTTGTTGCATGTATTGCTGTTGCAATTGCTGCTGCGAGGGCACAGCTGCCGGCGGGGGCATCTGCTGCTACGGCATCCCCTGGAGGTATCTGCTGAAACTGCTGCTGCTGATTGGGATCCTGACTGCCAGAAACTCGAAGGGGAGCCACTGCTGCAGGATTCGCTCCTCCTCCTGCAGCTGCCTGCGACATGTTCTCCCTCTCCAAACCAGAATGGCGAACTCTAGGCGGTCGGGCAAAGGCATTGGAAGCCAGGAAGGCATCATCCACATCCTGCAAGCCAGAACGACGCTGGAAGGGATTCTGATTGCGTACAGGGCCACTGCGGCTGAGGGCATCCAAAGGACTCTTGCGAGGCTGTGATTAAGATTGTCATTGGATTTCGTTTTAATGATTGCCAACTTCAAGAGGCATCTTACATTTTCCGGATTCCTGGCCTGGCTGGGTGTCAGACTGACCTGACTGGCCTGCTTGTGACCTACAGCTGCTCCTGCTCCTCCGCCACCACCGGCATGGCGTGACTATAGACCAAGTTATACACTCATCATCTGAAGTAGAGTTTTATTTGACCAACTTACAGCAACGCTCGTCTTGGAGGCATGATACCGCCACCACCACCACCGCCTTGGCGTGCCCCGGAGGCATTACTACGTTTGGCATCCATAAATTAAATCACTGGAAATTAGTAAGCCGCACGAAAAACTTGGCACAAATCGCGTCGAAACTGGTTGATGATTTTTTTCAGTTAAAAAAAAAAAGTATAAAATACAAATATATTTTTGTATACAGGAAGTCGAAAGAGCTATCCGACTGCTAGAGAGTATAAATTTGAACTGAAGTAAAGTGGGGTTTGCGTGGGGATCTTGCAATTGACAGATTACAAAACAGAACACCCAGCCAACTAGGATAAGGGTTTTTTTCAAAACCATTTATTTTTTAGCTATCTAACCAAATATTTTCCCAAACATAGTTCTTGACCTTAACATTCCTTTAAAATTTCTTATATTTATCTCTTAGGTTTCCTTACAATAAATATCCTCAAACTATACTAACATCTGTGGAATTTGACCTTAACATTTTTTCTCTTTTTAAAGAGCAATTTCACTAATCACCAATATCAAAATAAAAACCCCTTGCCATCTTTTCGGTTAAGTTAAGTAAAGTGTCTCAGTACCTCGGCCATGCTGCAAGTGGGACGTGGAGCCCCATATCGTCCGGACGGAGAGATCTGTGTTATCTGCTGGAGCAGCACATTCGGGCCCGACTGCTGCTGCTGGGAACCACGCCGCCGGTTAGAATCCTCGCCCAGGTAAGTAGCACCAAAGAGCTGTGTGTTAGGACTGTTGACGATGAGGTGTTATATCGTTGGTTATCATTGGTTAACAGTTAGGGTTTCATGTGGAAAAAGAGTTAAGCGACCATTAGTGATATATTTAGGGTATGGTAGTGGAATAAGTAATTTTTAATCTCTGTATAGAATTGGTGACTTTATAGCAATGATTTTAAAAGAATTAGGTTCGTTTTTCGTCCCTTTGTTAAATTAAAAGTGTGGTTTAAACCTTGAAATCGTATGAGAAATCAGAGTTGTAAGCTTCCATTAAATTTAACAGGCGGATGAGAAAACGGGACATATTTAGGGCCGTTTTCGAGTCCGTTTGTTAAATTTAAAGTAGGGTTAAAACTTTGAAATCGTATGAGAAATCATTGATTTAACCCTACTTTACATTTAACAAAAGGACGAGAAAACGGCCCTTAATCTAAGATTAAGATTTTATAAGGTCGTATTTTCATACCTTTGTTAAATTTAAACTGGGGCTAAAACCTTGAAATCGTATGGGAAATCAAAGTTTTAAACTTCCTTTAATTTTAACAGGTGGATGAGAAAACGAGTCATATTTAGAGAATTAAAGAAGCGAAGCAAGCAACAGGCCACCATTAAAGCAATGTTATTAATCAACTCGGGCCGAGTTTTATCGATCAGCGGGCTTCCTTTGGCAAATAAACAAACAAATCTAGAGTCCGATTTGCATACGATATGCAAATGGGGCCAAAAGAAATGGCCATTTGAGGCCGAAAGTGAAATGTTTCCTGCAGCGGCGAAAGCAACGCCTTAATTGCCACGAACTGCGACGGACTGTGGGGTTATCAGGAAGACCCACGTAACGCCTCCTCCGCACCAGTCCAATCCCATCCACTCACCTGTTCGTAATGTGCAGGCCATTCGGGGTGCGCTGCGGCGACTGGGCGTGGCCGTGTCCATTCGCGGAGGCCGCATCGTTGAAGAATCCCTCGTAGAGTACGAAATTGTTCGCCTGCGGAATGATTCGCTGCAATCCGTAATGTTTGCTGAGGAAACCCAGTAGTTTTTCCGACGGCCGGTCCACCGAGCACTTTAGTGGCGTCCACTGTTCCTCGCTTAGCATCGTCTGGAAGAGACGCTTTCCCAGGCCGGCGCGCTGACGAGACTCGTGGATGTAAAAGTCCAGAATGGATGGAGCCTGCTCCACCTTGCGCGTCTGTCCGGACTCGTCAAACAAATACAGATCCTTGGTGCCCACCTTCAGTAGACCGGTGACAGCGCCGCTGGAGAAGGTTAATAATTATATTAGTTTAAAATTTAAACTTTAAATTATTGGAATTATTCAAATTTTACATATATTTAACCATTTAAGGTTGAGAACAAAGTGCAAGAAGAATGTAGAGGTAATTCATATTTGTTAAATGAAATTTTACAACATAATAATAGAACTATAGGGAATTTTGAATAAATATATCTTGTGCGGATCCACAGGGGTGACATGGGTGATAATTTACAGACCCCTGTTAGTAGTAAAAAAATGAAAGGATATTTTGGTATATATAAATACGTATGCTGATCAAATATTCCTATTTATAAGAAGTTTTAAGCTCTGATAAGATATATACTACCCCTTCACAACATTATAGATCCCTAGATTCGCTAGATCTGTACTTATAAAAGCATATAACTATAGACGTTCTGAAGATATACCTATGTAGAAGCGGTTTTATGCTCTAATAAGATTATATAGAACCGTCCCTTTATCAAAATTATAGACCTTTTAATTAGATAGATCTGTATTACTCACTTGTGACCCTGCTCACTATCCGCCAGCAGATAAATGGTCTGGTTATCGGACATCCTCAGGCGCTGGGCCGTGGTCACCGGCTTGCTGAGGCCCTGCGAGGTGGCCGACAGCTGGCCCAGCCGATCGATGATCTCCGACATCTTGGTGGTGGCATCTCTGCGTGGGTGGTGGAGTGTGGAAAGCGTATCGGTTAGTCGGATCGAGCCACTCGGATCAGCACGCCGCGTACAGTTTCAATACTCACAAACACTGACGCCGATCGCCACGAAAGGTGTGCGGCAGGAGGTTCGATGTCACCTTGATAATTGGCTGCGGAAACAGCGGCTTGATATCGAAGCGGAACTCCACCATTATGCTGCCCCTCGATTGTTCTTTTAGTCTATTTGTTTTGTGACTGTGAGTGTGCGCAGCCCCTGCAATTGAGAAATGAGAATTGCGAATTTAATGGAGCGTTGCGAAAGCGGTGCGCAAACAATTTGATTATCTGATGCCGCTCGATTCAGCCCGACTTTGGCTTTCAGCTTTGTCTATTTGGCTGTGGGAATTGCTGCACATGCAATCAAGCCAATCATTGCTGCCTTTGCCCGCGGCCCGCCTTTGTCAATGATTCAGCAGATGCAAGCCCACACGTGGACACTCTAAAAAAATGTATCTCGAAAATATTTGTAACTTTATGAAAATTTATGACACTTTTTAGAATTTTCTAAGGAGAAATTGTATGACTAGAAATCGGACTACAAAACCCTCTTTTAAAAGTGATTGTATCTTGAATTCTGTTGTGTAATAATGACTATAACTTGTAGGATAGTGTAAAACAAGAGAGATCGCTATAGTTGGGTGGAACCTCGATGAAACAAACTTGCGCTGCCCAAGAATATGTGTGGGAAATCCGAACCTTCTAGCTTCTGTGGTTTCCGAGTCACTGAGTGACTTCCAGAAGTGTCGCCGGAGTCACCTCCAGGCGTTACTTCCAAGTCACTTTTGAGTGACTTCCAGAAGTGTCGCGAAAGTGACTTCCAGGCGTTACTTCGGAGTCACTTCCCGGAGTCACTTCTGCGTGACTTCCAGAAGTGTCGTCGAAGTCACTTCCAAGCGTTACTTCGGCGACACTTCCCTGAGTCACTTTTGAGTGACTTCCAGACGTAACTTCTCCCTGTTACATACTTTGCACGAATACAACTATTCTCAAGAGTTTCTATTTTAGGGGAAAAGGAGGATTTGAATACCTGAAGATTTCAAATACAAATTCTTTTAAAACTTTCTACTGGTATCTTTTAAATTGCAACTGAATTTCATAAGATACAATTTGTTTTCCAAGTGTACTTTTGGGGGCAAAGCCTCGGCATCAGCATTTGTTTTGCTTCTGTTGCCGACTCCGCCTGTTGACCTAAATCATCGCATTAGACTCGGATTACAATCGAAACTGTTGCGTTCGACGGGGATCTTTTGCGACGGGAATAGAGAATAGGGACGTGGCTTCCGCTTTGGGGGCGTGTCTGTCAGGACGAAACGTTAGTCGCTTGCATGCCACTACCGCCTTTGTTAATTTGCAAGTGCAACGAACTCTGCGAACTGAGTAGTCGGAGAACAACGATAACGCAGAGCAGAGCTTTCAATTGTAATTACCTTTGATGGGGCGGGCAGCAAAACTTTTTCCCTTTGTTACGGTTTTGTCAGGGGATAAGTTAAACAACTCTCTGCCGGCGTCGCAGTTAGCAGCGCTGCTCGAATTTCCAATGCGATAGCAACAGAAAAGCCATTGTCGGCAAATGACGTGTTTTCATTTCGTTTTTACATATCAACAACACCTACAGCCGAGCTCAAATTAGAAGTTCTTAAAATGAAAGTGAACCTTAGTCCAACCTTCAATAAATCATGTATAAATCTAAATTATCTGAGGTGTCATTTAGGGACCTATTGTACTTTCGTTGGATGAGTTAACTGAAAAACCCTCAATATGATGTTGATACAAATTTTTAAACTTTTGGAGTAATTCCCAAAACTTTTTTTTTAGCCTATGGGATCTTTGAGGAAAAGAAAGTTCCTAAGACAGACCTATGATATTGTAGGATTATTAGTCATTAATTTGTATGATGTAGCTTTAATGATATGGTCTATGATACGACTGCCCTATATAGTACATATGTACAAAATGTATTTTTGTACATTTAAGCGGAAGAAAATAAAAGAGAAGGTAGGTTTACAATGTTCAGAATATGAATAATCACTGAAACGACATTTAAACCACAGAACAAATTCTCGGTGCTAATTTGATGTCCTCAAGTGTAAGTTGCACATGTACATGGCCCCCAGCAAAGGGGACTACCTCGTTGTTGTTATTGCAATGCCTGTTTATTTTTCCAGTGCATAACCGTTGACGTTGCCATACACAATCAGCCCACTTTGTAACTGTTTATGAACCAACAGCAAGCGATGCAAAACAAAAATACAAGACGACAAAAAAACTGACTAAAAAAACGAGAACAACAAAGAAAACCACGCACCGCACCAAAGGAGTGAGAGCGAGAGGTGAACTGCAATTCTTGTGCTCCCCTTTTTGCTCCACTTGTAAATGTGTCAAGTGAGCTTGTCTCTCTTGCTCCTTCGTACTTACATATGTATACGTATACGAAGGTGTGCACTGAATGTGAGAGCGTGAGAGAGTTAATCAGCGGAATTAAAATCGCGTGCAGCCGTAAACAAGTCGAGTGTGTTAGAAAGGAAGGGGGATCGTCACATCTAATTTAACGGTTAATCAGTAGACAGCACAAAAACAATGCGGCATGGAAACAACAGTTGAAAAACAAATCAATCGAGAGGTGCAGACAATTGGCAAGCCGAATATAAATAGTCATTTCCCCATTAATCTGCCTGGTGATGAAAATTAATACAGCAATTTCACACTTTCTGTCTAGAACTATAGCTACGAAGCCGAGCCTATCAGCTGTCGGCTGGAAAAACAATCCCACAAAGTGTCGTGTCATTATGCAAGCCTCCAGCAATTCCATTAAAAGTGGGCGGTAATAGTCGAGGGCGTGGCCTCACTAAATTCAATGTTGCTATAAATGGAAGTACAGTGGAAGTTCTATAATTCTTACTTTTCAGAGATGTTTTCCAAAACAACATACACGCTCCTCTTCCGAATCCCCATAATCTTCTGGGTTTTGTAGAAATTCCCTGGACCTCTCTTTATTTATCAATACAATTTAAAGATTCTATAGTTTTTGCAAAATAAATCATAAAATGCTTTTCAAAAGCCCTGATATTTATAATTATACACGTGAAATACAATTGGTCAAAGGTTACTGTTGTTTATAACTGAAATCTATTAGTTTTGTTAATTTCAACCGAAATATTACAATCGTTAGTTCAAACTATCAGTTCCTAAAATACTCCATGGGTGTTCGAGCTAAAGAAGTTGGACTGCTCAATGATTTTTTTGGTAAATTAGAAACCATTATCGCGTCAGGCACTCAATGGGCATAATAAATTAGGCAGCTCGGAAACCATGCGATTCGGATCAGGTGACGAGCCTACCTCTATACTTAGTATGTCCATGGAAGGTATACAAAATGGAAACGGACTTGGTTGGAAATTTATGCAGCAACAAGGTCAATCGATAAATGCAGACCCGAAAGGAACACCCAAAACCCAAGACGAGTTGCCAAGGCAAGGGAAAACTCAAAATAACGGCGAACGACAGGTGCCGCAGCCGCTGACAGGCTCAGGTAAAGGTACAGGTGTGGACGGTGCCGCTAGTCCCCCTGGATTTTCCTTCTTCCTTGGGTTCTATGGTCGCTCAAGGCAACGGCAATTAAAAACAAGTCAACTGTTTACGGCTTTGTTTGGTGGAAGTCGTTGGCCGAAGTAAGCTTTAAATATGCATGAGAACATGTTCAAGCATGCACATGCACGCACAACACGCAATGAATTGTTTATCGTTATCGATAACGTGGCAATGAAATACTTTTTGCGGTCTCGCCGCATTCATTTTGTTGTTTTTGCCGTGTTTACCACAAACGAACGATCGCGAACGGTCAAAACAACTTGTTATTCTACAATTGCAAAAAAAAAATTGCCATAGCAACGATAACAACAACCAGAAACCGCAGAGGGAATTGCATTTTGAGCCGTCACTGTTGTTTTTGTCGCTTGCATTGCACGCGCCTCGTTTTGTTGTTGATTTGTATCTAATTGCTGGAGACTAAAAAAATACGAATTATGAGTTATTGAGAGAAAAAAAATTAGAGAAGATTCTACACTCTACTTAATACGCTGCAACGGTAGCTTAATATTGCATCAGAAAATCAGACTCGAAAAGTTTAAATATAAATCCAGCCGTTTTAAAAATACATAGAGCTTACACCAGCGGTAATCAGCTGAGATTTCGGTTATTTTCCACATCAATGATTAATGATTAATGCAAAAAGGAAAGTATTGAAAATAGGGGGATCAACCAGACACAAAAAGTACACTGCGCTTTGGAACTGATAAGCACCTTTCGAAATACAGTCTTACTTAAAGGCCTACTAACTTGCTATTAAATTAAAAGCGACCATGATAATTAAATAGATGAGTGGGTGAATGTTATTTCAAAAGATTATCTATGGTACGAACCCGTAATCTTAATACGATCAAATGGTATACTTCAAGTAGGTTTTAAACCTAAGAACGTTTACAAATTTAAGAAAAAAAAAATTGATAAAGAGAATCTTCAGCTTCAATGAGAAGTTCGTGTTATGGAGTTTGGTCTGTGCCTAGATTTGACCAGCCAACCAATTCCTAGAACGTGGGTCATAAATGCCACACTTGTTATTTGTTTGTCGATAATTTTTGAGGTAGTCTTCCGATGTCTGGACCGAAACCCCGTCTCCTGGCAATCTCGCCCAGTGTTTAATGGTGCCACAAACGATAAGGCTCGATGGTCTGCTGCTGGTAAATCCAGTTCTAGGTGGTTCTTCTAAGCACTCGAGTGTCGCGGGTTTAATGACAGCTAAACCATAATTGTTCCTATTGTTTATATTTTTTGTGATAAGCAGACATTGTCGCATTCATGCAGCACATGTTGGGTTCAAAGGTTCATGTCCAGCCAAAGCAATTCACTCGCAATTGAAACTGATTAAATAAGAATTGAGCGTAATTCTCGGATAAAAAAAGGAAGGAAGGGTGATTTGAAAGTCGTGGTGGACTCACCGAAAAGAAATCACTTGTAAATTTGTTACAAACATACTTTTTTCTCTCGCTCTTTTGTAATGCTTATCGTTCGATCGATACACAGAAAAAAATCAAACCAATATGTGCTAATCAAATAAATGTCATTTACAAAATATTAATTTTGAAGTACGAATTTTAAAAGGAAAATTGGTAGATTAATAAAAAGTTTTTATCTTTTCCGTTATCCGAGAATTAAATTTTTTGTTGTATCATTTTTTTATTTAAATCAATTTTTCCAACAATTTTTTCTTTCAGTGTTTGTGGTCAGTGAGAAAAGAGAGAACAACAAAGAGAGAAACCGCATTTGTGTGCGTTGAGCGGGTTTTCTTAAAAGGGCGATCGACTGTTTTTGAGTCACTTGTGAAAAATCAGTCATCGCGAGCAGTTCGACCAAAGAAAACCCGCTGACACAACACAACGCTAACCCAAAACCCACTTATCAAACAAAAACAAATAACAGCTGGGCAGCAACGCGAAGCGCGTGTGCAAAAAGAAACGAGAAAACATACACAGAAAAAAGCACAAGATATAAGAGATACACAAAAAAGAAACGAAGCAAAGCAGCGGAAAATTTTGGGGACCAAACAAAGCCGGAGCTTTTGCCGAAACCAACAAGAAAAAAAACCCCAAAAATCACAACGTGTTCGCCGGTCAAGATGAGCGGTTCCGTTTTAAGTTTGGCGCGTCCTGCAGCCGCAGCAGCCACAAATGGCCATAATCTTCTGGCCAAACAGCTAAATTGCAATGGCAATGGCACCGCGGGCGGGGCGGCCAAAACCACTGTGGCCTCGGCCATAACACCACCCAAACAACCCCAATTGGCGGCCAAGGTCATCCAGCAGTCGCAGATCGTTTGCTTCGATGTCGATTCGACGGTGATTTGCGAGGAGGGCATCGACGAGCTGGCCGAATATTGCGGCAAGGGCAGCGAGGTGGCGCGTGTCACCAAGGAGGCGATGGGCGGGGCCATGACCTTCCAGGATGCCCTCAAAATCCGGCTGAACATCATAAGGCCCACGCAGCAGCAAGTGCGGGATTTCATACGCGAACGACCCAGTACACTGAGCAAAAACGTGCGGCGTTTTGTGGCCCACCTGAAGGCGGAGGGCAAACAGGTTTATTTGATCTCCGGCGGATTCGATTGTCTCATCGCTCCGGTGGCCAATGAACTGGGCATTCCCCTAAAAAATGTCTATGCCAACAAGATGCTGTTCGATTATTTGGGCGAATACGATAGCTTTGACATCACACAGCCCACCTCGCGTTCCGGCGGAAAGGCCGAGGCCATCGCCCTGATAAAGCAGGAGAACAGCGGGGATTCCCTCATCACAATGATCGGCGATGGAGCCACCGATCTGGAGGCCGTACCGCCGGCCAACTATTTCATTGGCTTCGGTGGAAATGTTGTGCGACCGGAGGTCTATCGCCGGGCCCAGTATTACGTAACGGACTTTGAGCAGCTGATGGCGGAATGAGATTTATACATATGTATACATATAACAACGGCGGGGGAGTGGCGAATTTAGTATTTGAAATCAACGTGTTATAGCTCTTAGTGGATGCACATGTTATATATATGTCCAAGTATGTGTGTATTGAATGTACTATATAGTTCGTAATTAAATAACAATAAAAAGCGATAGTAAAATGATGGAAAAAACAACAAGTGAAATCGCACGAGGCGACTTTGTTACTGTTGCTCTTACAGAAAATGTTAATCACGCACTGTTAGTGACGCAGCACAAGTTGTAAAAATACCGGGTGCCCCGTTATTTAAACCATTGAAGTTCTTAGCATTTAAGAATATAAAATATAAACAAATATTTAGATTGAAAAGATTCTAAGCAAATAAAATGCACATGAAAAAGTATTTCGTATTTTTTTCCGGAAAATAACTCTTTTTCCTTTGAAGGTGGGTCACAAAGTTTTTATTTGCATTTAAAAAGTTTAATTAAAAAATACAAATCAGATTTTAAAAATGTATTAAACCAATAAAATAAAAAAATAGAATACTCTTATGGTGGGAAGCCAACTTTAAAGCACTCAAATAAAAATTTTGCTTTTATTTTATAGAACTATCTAACGGCGATGTGGTGCCCTCCTTTTGATTTTTAAGATCTTGCAAGTAGGTTAGGCAATTAAGTATAACAATTAAGCTTAAATGTTTAATACTCTTAGCCTTGTGGAGCACTTAACAAACGTTACAATCGTCATTTATGTTACAAAAATAAAGGCAAAATATTTTTTTTGTGATTTAAAGTTTTAGAAAGTCTAGCATAATATGGATTTGCCTTGTACCTCTGACGTCTATCGAGAACAGTAAGCCCCTTACACCCAAAAGCTATAATTATATGCCTTATTGCAATTAGAAAATTTGGAACGGCCATAAAGTTGGGTGAATAGTAAGGGAACCAATAAAAGTTCGTGAGAAAGTATACCCAGTAAATATTTTGTGTGGTTACTGAAACAGACAAATTTTAGGACGTTTTTTTTAGTTTACCGCAGTTAAAATACCTGATGCTGTTTTTCAGTTATCTTTAATGATCCATTACAAAGAAAAATTGTGTTTTGTATGTGAAAGAAAAGCCATAAACCATCATCATTGTGGCTAAGCATAAACAGCCTTTTCTGCACTTGCGATTGAAGACCAACCGTTTTATTGCCCAAGCTTGATTTCCTTTCGATTTTAGCACGAAGGTGCCAGCAATTGGCGGCTCCAAAGGCCGTTAAAACCAGAAAGCAACGCCTTCCGAAGCAATTATCAATTGCTGTAATCGACTCCGGCGGAGTTAAAAACAGTTGGAAACCAAAAAAAAAATACAAAAAACAGAGGCAAGGCCGAAGCGTGGGTGTCAAGCGTGGGGCGGTAAACCATGAATGGAACGGGGGGTTTGGCGGCCAACGTCATCGTGTTTAATTGTCGGCGGGAAACGCTTTGAGCCAGCTTAAATGTGGACCATATTAGGCGTGATTCGACTGCCGTTTGAACGGCATAGGGGCGTGAATTAAGGCCAGGCTGCAGTCAGACGCAGAACGGGAAGAAAGCAGCCGCCGATGAGATCAGCTGCCTAATGAACTGGGCTTAAATGGGATACGTTATGCCCTGCAGGTGTAATGAATATCTTTTTGGGAGCTACAGTAGAAATTTTACAAGAGAGACTTGTCATATAACTTTAAGAAATTTAAATACAAAATTTTAAATACTTAAATGAAATATTTATTACATAAAATAAAAATAATGATTCCAAAAAAATAGTTCTTACGAAACAATTATTTGCCTTTATTTTAAAGATTACATATTTTCTGTAAAAATTAGATAAAAATTTATAAAAATAATATTAAAAACTATTTTTTTTTTTGGAAACATATAACCATGGCCGCTGGTGTCTTATGGCAAAGACTTTAGAACAGAAAATAGGAAAGTCAATATTCCCATAAAGAGCAACTTTTTATAATAAGTGGGGGTTGCAGATGTTGATACTCCACTGTACTAAGCTGCTGTCTTTTGGATATGACTAGAATAGATTGGTTACAGAACTACCCATTGCTTGGAAACATTTGAATGGCCTTTGCTGTGACTTGGAAGGGAACCCGAAACTGATTGAAAACTTTGTGAAGAATACATAATAGATACAAATGCCAAGCCAATGACGCACTCTGTGACCATAGCATAATGGCCGCTGCTGTCTCTTGGTAATGACTTCAGAGCCCGTCGCATGACGTAAAGATGTTTTATTTATGTGCCCACTGAGCCACACGGCAGCGGCACGAACGCGAAAGCGGTGGGCAGCGGAATGGAAATGGATATGAGAAATGGCATAAACGTAAACAGAAAGCTTGACGAGGGCAGGCTTACCTTACCGCAACGATGGAAACAGTAAAACTGAAGCGGCAACCTCGGAGGGATTGGGCTTTGAAAGTGGTCTCTCGGAATATCTCACGGCTGTGCGAATGCTCGTTCCAGTTTCCAGTGGCACTACGGAATGCACTACTCCGGCTTTTCTGCTGCTGCTGCTACTGCAATTTTCGCCTACGGATGCTGCGCGTTGCGATGCGGTCGTATCTATGTGTCTCACTCACACACTCGCGGGGCGGGGGCGTGTATATTGATTTTGAAATTTGTCTCAATGCGGCCAAAAAAATGTTTACTAGAACTGGGTGTCGCTTGTATTTCCGTGTTTGTTTTGCTCTAACACATAATTCCACACACCTGGTAAATTCGCCGCTGTTTGTTGCCTTTGTTTGTTTGTGTATGTATACGCGCCGCTGTGGAAAATCGGAAAATCGGATTAAGGAACCGGATGGCCGTTGCCGCGAAGCGTGGGTATTGCACGAAAGTCGGTTAAAAACTGAGCAGCGTTTGCGGCGAGCACAGATTTTGGGGGTGAAGGTGGCTAACTTGGAGCCAGACGCGAAGCTTTGGCTTGCAACACAGTGGTGGCAAACTGTTGATTGGTCTATCGATAGTTTGGCGATGGGAGTTTTCTTAGTGAGGCATGCGTTTTTCATAATTTATATTTTTAAACCTACATAGACATACCAGTATTATTTAATTAAACTCGTCTAAAATTAGTATGAAATTTATTAGTTTTGCTTGTTTTTTTAATTATTTATTTATTTAACAACCCCCTTTCACACACCATCTCGGTCTAACCCCACCTTTGTCAAACTATCGATAAGTTAAATGACCTAACGGCCACACTTTCGCCAATACGGTCCCACCTTGAGTAATATCAAAAATTACTAATAACAAAGGCTGCGGCTGCGGAAAAAGGACCCAGCGAGAACGCCCGAACGCTGAAAACGCCACAGCCAGCGCAGAAATGCCGAAGAATGGGGACGCCGGCAACCGGAGCGGTTCCGGGACCACCAGCGACGGCTGCATCTACCCGGACGACGTCATAATGGGCGTGGGTGTTGCATTCAACGTCCGCTACACGGGCTGTGTGGAGGTCAAGACCTCAATGAAATCCCTCGATTTTGAGACCCGCACGCAGCTGGCGCGGTAAGTAAGATAGCTAACCGATGAATCATAAGTGAATAATCATGTGTTTTCCACAGGGAGTGCATCAATCGGGTGTGCGAGGCGGCGGGCCTGAAGTCCGCTGGCAAGCGGCGATTAACCAGCTTCATATCGGATCGCCCCAGCATGCAGCACGCGGGCACGAACATAATCATCAACGTTTCCAGCCGAGCCCTGTCCCTGAGCAACGTGGAGTCGGGCGAGGTGATCGCGAATCACAACATGCCGCGCATATCATTTGCTTCCGGCGGCGACAACGATACTCTGGACTTCCTGGCCTACATAGCCAAGAACGAGGATGAGTGGCGTGCCTGCTATGTCCTCGAATGCGCCGGCGGCCAAAGCGAGGATCTTAATCGTGACCATTGGCAAGGCCTTTGCCCTGCGCTTCAATGCGCTCAGTCGACTCAACGAACCCGCCGCAGATTGCAACATCAATCAGAGCTGCAAGGAGAATGTGAAGGAGTACTACAACGATTTGCCAAACAAGCTGCCGCCGGAATTGCCGGAGCAACAACAACAGGTACAACAGCCATTGCATCCGCATGCGCCGCGTGTGGCCCAGCTGAATCTGAAGAAGCCCCGCGATCGTCTGAGCAGCAACCTCATCGACCTCAACTCCCCGCCACCCGATCAAACGACCAATAAGCTGGGCCACTTCGATCCCCTGCACGCAAGCACGGCGGCCAACTCCGTTTTGGCCACTGTGCGCGATGTCTTCGATGGACCGCAGTGCCCACTGACGGCGGAGGTGTGGTTCCATGCGGGCATTTCAAGGCCAATTTCGGAGCGCCTGCTGCAGCAGGACGGCGACTTCCTGGTGCGCGAGTCGCAGGGAAAGCGGGGACAGTATGTGCTAACCGGATTGGAGGGCAAGACGCCGAAGCATCTGCTGCTCATCGATCCCGAGGGCGTCGTTCGTACCAAAGATCGCATCTTTGACAGCATTAGCCACCTGATCAACTACCACTGGGCGCACGCACTGCCCATCATATCGGAGGATTCCGAGCTGGTCTTGCGTAATCCGGTGCGAAGACCCCAGCAAGATCAGGCTGCTACTCCGATTGCAACAGCTTCTTCCTGAACCCGAGGGCACAATCATACGTATACTTACTACCACCCATCATATACATAATACTTATATATATACCGGCATCTGCGTACACGCTTAGATTTAAATGTTGTGCACTCGTAGAGAATATCTTTTATATATCGTCTGTGTAAAAAACGAAACCATATATTTATGGATTGAATATATACCTACATATTTACAAATATGTGTGCATGTCTACAGTATTTTCCACTCGAATGCGAATAAATATGATAAACTGGAACAGAGATTTGGGGTTTTTGTCTGCAATTGCCAATAAATAATAGAAATACACACTGCAAATGCACTTCACACAAGAGTTGGTTTATTGTGATCCCATGCAAATCAGAACATCATCATCTACGCGCTATACAAATCTTAGTTGCGACGACCAAAGTTGTTGGTGTTGGGCTGGGTCAGCTGCAGGCCACGGATGTTGTGGAAGTCCAGCAGCTTCAACATCTCCTTGGTGTCGGCGTCGACCTCGATGATGTCCTGCTCCAGAGCGGAGACGGCCGGGACGTAGTTGTCGCGACGCTCGCGCTCCTCCTCCTGCAGCTTGATGGAGATGCCGCGGACCTGCGAGTGGCGCAGACGGCCCATCAAATGGGTGACATAGCTGGGGGAGAAATTAAGATTAAGTTAGAAGTAAATCATAAGAGGCAAGATCCTGCGAAACTCACCCGGCAATCTTGTTGCGCAGGGGCTTGGTGGGGATGATGGCCACCTCCTCGCAGATGCGCTTGTTGGTGTGGAAGTCCAACGTCAGGCGAGTGTAGTACTTCTCGATGATGACCTTAGCGGCCTTCTTCACCGTCTTGGTTCGTACGCGACCCTGTGGAGGATGGTTAATAAGATTAGTAACAGATTTCACAAAAATTCACTCAATTCCTTTGCTTCTAAGCTTCACATTTAAGCATTTTTAGCAAGGTTTTCAAATTGTTGCGGCATCTGCTGGCGTGCCTTTTAAACCAGGATACACATGTTTATTGTTTATTAGTAAGTATTCCGTTATATTGCTCTCCGAATGGGTTTTTTAGACCCACAACTAAGACGCGGCACATAAATAATGCTTTTTTGGGGTAGCAATATTTGACTATGCACGTGGGTAGCAGCTTTTGGCGTCCACTTTTTTGGGTTATTTGTCCGTTTCCGTTCCGATTTTATCCGGCATTTCGTTGGTACGTACCATTCTGTTGCTCGATGGATATTTTAATCACCGCTAAAATGAGAAATTATCAATTATTTTAAGGAAAACGTGGAGAAAAAAAATTTGTGAAACCTACCTTGCCGGAAACGAAAGAAAAAGAAGGACGCCGTGTGACCAGACGGGTAGTGTAGAAAATATACTAAAACATACCAAAATATACTGAAACATACCGAAAATATACCATTCAAATAAATGTCCCAGGGTTGATGAATTGGATAAGCATTGATTTAATAGAGGTGGAGAAACATCGATGAAATCATCGATGTTTTAAAATTATTCAGGGTATTCCCTAAACTGTTGAATTGTTGAAAATTCAACAGAAAATTTCAACAGGGGGATTCCCTAAACTGTTAAATTGCTGAATTGTTGAATTTTGGTCAGCTGTTAATCAGCTGTTCCATACAAAGTCAACTTTCAGAAATTTCAGCAATTCAACAGCCTCGGGGCTGATGAAAATTTTGTTGAATTGCTGAAAAGCCAGAGTTGTCACGTTTTGTTAAAAGTCGTGGCATATCTGTAACATTTTGATATCACCAGTACGCATTATTTATTTTAAAATAAACTTTGAAAGCATATTTGTGGTTCTTTTTACCTTGGTAACACTTTTAGACAGTAACTAGCAATAATAAATCAAATTTTACATGCTTTAGATTCCGTGAAATTTTTCAACAAATAACAGCTGTTTGAAAATTTAACAGGAACCATTTTGGGTCGTTCCCTTAATTGCTGAAATTTTTTGTTGAATTTTCAACAATTCAGCAATTCAACAGTTTAGGGAATCCCCCTAACAATTAAGGGAACGTCCCAAAATAGTTCCTGTTGAATTTTTGAACTGCTGTTATTTGTTAAAAAGTTTCACGGAACTTAAAATATGTAAAATTGAATTAATTATTGCTAGATACTGTAAAAATGTTTGGCTAAAGGACACCAAATATGCTTTCTAAAATAATTTTGAAAAAAATATGCGTACTGGTGATACTAAAATGTTGCAGAGTAGCCATGACATTTACTAAAAAAGGTGACAACTTTGGTTTTCAACGATTCAACAAAATTTTCAACAGTCATGAGGATGTTGAATTGCTGAAATTTCAGAATTTCTGAAATTTCCCCCTAATAGCATATCTGGATGTCACTGCAACCGTTTGAAAATCAAGTAATCGTCCTAGAAACTCTACGGATTCTGTGACACCTACGAGTATGAACTCTCCACTTTGGTATGAGTCCCCGCCAAGTGGTTGTCGACTTTGGTGTTTCAAGATTCTTGGTATATCTGGAATAGTTTAGTATATTTATTAGAGCGTCGGTAAATTTAGAAGATCCCGCCGCGGCCACACTGGTTCTTATCGTTGTTGTTGTTGTTTGTGCTTTTCGATCGCGGATGTGTGCTTTTCGATCTCGCGATCTCTAATTTCTTTAGCAATACACACATATATATATATTGCACAGTGACAACGGATAAAGAGAACAACAACTGCATATATGCGATTTAGCAGGCGTGTTCTACAGAGTGCGTGGGTGTGCGAATAAATAATAATACGAAATGAACGACCAAGAAAGACAACAACTGCAGCAGCAGCAGCAGCAGTCGCAGCACCACCAATACTATCAAAGCGACTGGAAGACGGTTAATAGTAATGGAAATTCGTTATCAGACAGCCGGGATTATGATACCAACTCGTCGCGCAATTCGCTCTCCGGTTCCCCGCCCGCCGCCTCGAATTCCTCCTGCTCCGGATCCCTGGATTTCGACAGGCCGCTCACCCAGCTGCTCACCCCGAAACTGGAAACCGATGGTCTGGGCATTATCCACGGCGATAGCTACAGTATCTACGGCAGCCAGGCGGCGGAATCCACCAGTGGCGAGCAACAGGTGCTAAATCTGGGGCCATCCCTCAACTCGGAGGACGTCCAGGCGACCTATGGGGCCCTCTTCATCCAGGAACAACTCACTCCATCCGCACAAACTCACCCACAAGTTGTTCCTGCGGAGGCGGAAAATGTTTTTCCCGCTCGAGGATCAACTAACGCCCATGCCCATCACGGTCATACCCATCACATATCATCATGCCACCGAAAACCTGAGCTCCAGCCACGCTGAGGTTCCCCTGATAGCCAGTCTCAGCGAAAGCAGCGCCCAGGTTTTTAATCTGGATGACATCTGCTTCACGCTGGAGTACCAGTTCGAGAACCAGAAGCTCGTCCAGGTCCAGCCGCCCACGGTGGTCTCCTTGAGCATGGTGTCCACCGAGGGTGCAAGCTCTGCAATAAACTGTGATATTGACCAGGCAGCTGGAAACCCAAACTCCAGGTGCTCCGAATCCAATTCTCCGGCTTATTTCACTATTGAGACGAGGTACTCCATTTGCATGTTTACTCTCCGCTGCATGTGCTTTCTGTAAAATAGTTATTTCTGGAATGATTTTGGCCTAGAATTGAATTTAACTAACTTTTAGATCAGTTTGCATAAGTACCATATTCCCCAGTAATTTAAATTCTTAACGTAGACAAATAATTTTATAGGCTTTTCTGGAATAATCAAAACTATAAATATACATACATACATTCTTGGCAATATATGTGTATATTTTTTTGAAATATTGATATATTGATATTGATATATTAATATTTGAGTGCATAATTAATTAATTAAATTTATAATAACCGCAAAAAGAGAATATTCCAAATTCCACAGTAATTTAAATTCTTAACATTTAAATATAATTTTAAAGACTTTTCTGGAATAATCAAAACTATAAATATATTTAGCATACATTCTTTGCAATATATATGAATATATTTCTTTAAAATATTGAAATTGATTCTATATTTGAGTGCATAATTAATTAATTAAATTTATAATAACCGCAACAGAGACTATTCCAAATTTAAATTGAGGGTTGATTGAATTATGATTAGGATACAGAAAGTAGAAAATATTTGAAAAATATGCTTTTTGCCAATATTTTATTTCATGACAGACCTTGAAAGCGTTCGATTGCCTTGGGGAGCAAAATTCTTAATTTTGATTTGCAATCGCAAAAAAATTGTTTGAAACCCCGAATAATTGCATATTTTTAGTGCCATTTATGAGTAGATTAAATGCTGCTGTTTTTGTCGCATTTGGCCAATTATAGTGGGCCGTCAGGTGTGCCCTCCGCATTCTGACCCCCGCCCAGGGACACGACCGCCCCTCTTTTCTGCTAATTTTCCACTGCCCACACACAAAAAGACCGAAAGAGAGAGAGAGAAAAAAGGAAAACATTTGCCTAGCGTCTGCCGTGACGTGTCCGGCTTTTTTCTGTTTTTATTCCGCTTTTTGTTTGGGCCCCCCGCTCGAAAAAAACGAAAATCGAATTTTCATATTTTCTTCCTTGTCGAGAATTTTGTTGGCAAATTTCAACCATTCCAATGTCCACTTATTACAACGCGGTGTCCGAATCGCTTTCAAGTTGTTTGCTAATTGCCTGATTTGTGCTCTTAGCCAGCTCGATACGACTATCGTATACCCTCGTTTTTGACATCATAACGGCTGGGCCTCCTCTTCGGCCGATGATTGTATCGAAATCATTTGTTTGGGCTATAAATAGTTGCGCCGATGAACGCATTTAGATTTCTACCCCCACCCCAATCGTCGAGCAGAATGTATAGATGGATATATGCATACATAGATGTATATTTGTACAATACAATGTGTTGGGCGGAGACGGTGGTCGAAATTTTCCCCAAAAACTCATTCACACTTGGTGTAAAGAAGCCGGTTTTCAATTTATAGCGCTGCCATTGTGAAATTCTCCCCCGATTTGGCATTATAAAGAGTTCTCGAGTTCTCTCGATCTATTCTATTATTTCTATTATTTCAAAGGGCAAAGATCGTATATGTGTCACAAGGCTTTGTTGTCTAGTACAAGTTAAATAACATGTATTGCTGATAGGGCTTATTTTCGAAAAAAAAAGTATTTTAAATATAGCAAAAGAAATCTGTGCGACGGAAACCGAGTAAATAACGTGGTGATAAGTCAGCAAAGCTGAAGGGTTTACACCATGTTTACTCGAATTTCAATAGATATGATACTAGAGAATCGACTGATTAGAACTAAAGGGTAAATTGAAAGATTAGAGTTTAGTTGGTCTAGCTGTTCTATGTGTAATAAATGGCCCCTCAAAAGGTATTAAAATAGTCATAAACTTAATTTACCTGTCCTTAAGTCTAAATGATCTGTTGTGATGGGGTTAGTCCGGTCTTTTCAACATTGTTGTTGCTCTTGGTTTGTTCATTATTCTGCGGTACAATAATTTTTCAATTTTTCATCCGTGCCTTGTGTGTTGTTTTGCTCCTAGCCCCCTTTACCCCTCCACTAAACTCGACGACGACGACGCCTTTTTGCTATTTTTACCGCCATGAGTAGTGTTCCCTCAATCATATTTCTCATTTTTCAGCACTCCCGCGATTAGAAGGGGGCATCTCGATGGGTGAGCCTGTGTGAAGGGAAGGGAAGGGAAGGGTCTGGGGGAGGCACGCCGCCCGTCACTCAGCCTGCCAGCCGTCTCAGCACCCACGCACTTGTTTTACTATTTCCCTCGAATTTTTCTTTATAGTCTCGGTTGCCGCCTGCTATTTTCCTTTCGGCATTTGTTGTGTTTTGACCATGACAACATTAAATTTTAATTAATCTGATTAATAAGGACCGAAGAGCCTCCAGTTTATTTCTACTCTGTTTTTTGCTGTTTATGTTTCTGCTGACGCTCTAACCCCACTAATCGCAATCTGTGCAATATACATATATATATGCATATATACTTGTTGCGTTTATAATTATATACAAAGATCTTAACGGCCCACTGACACACAAATCGGGTGGAATATACATATGCGCCCCGCCCGATGCGATTTTCTGTTTGTTTCCAACTGCAAATTCGATAAATTCCTCCCCCTTTTGGTTTTTCCCCCACTTGGTCTGATCTTCCAGCTATGTGGATGAGTACGATCCAAATGAACCGGACGAGGACGAGCAGCTGGCCCACTGCATCCAACCGGGCTTTCTGCACCAAGATGTTGATGAGGAGGAGGAGGAGGAGGAGGGAAGGCAGGACGAGAACGACCAGCTCATGGCGATGGCCTACGAGGTATCCACACCCAATCACCCAATCCGCTAGCCAAGTGTCTAACGTGCCTTACGTTGCCTAACGCTTTTTGTAGCGACTCGCCATCCTAATCCTAGTGTTTAGTGGAGATTCCGATTCCTGCGATTCCGCTGTAGGCGTGTGTAACCAAGTTTTGTTAACCATCTAGCGGTGCGTAGTGTCTGCTTACATCGAGTACTATAACTGGCTGTTCCCTAACGTATCATTCGAAGAGTCCCGCATGATTCCATCTGATCGTAATTGTCTTATTCCGAAGAACATACATCTATTAACCTCTTAACCAAGGACCGTAAATAATCGTTATCTGAGATTTTTATTTTAAAAAGAGTTCTAAAATATATTGTTTTAAACGTCAAAAATAACGTTCTGCATGTCAACAAATCTGGAAAGCAAATTAACTGTTATTTGTTCATGTCTAAAGTGCATAAAAATCTGTTAAATTGTTTATTAAAACTTGAACAAATCTCAGTAGGCCTTTAAAAATCTCAAAAAACGATTATTTACGGTCCCTGCTCTTAACTACTTTATTGTACCGATCTAACTGCCATGTTTTCCCACGATCTAGAGTTCGGATGAGGCTCTCAGTCGCTATAGATGCAACTACGAGAACTGTTATCGCAGCTACAGCACAATTGGAAACCTGCGAACGCATTTAAAGACGCACACGGGTAGGTATCCTTACAAAATAATTATTTAATTTGAAATGTACATTTTAAGGATGTCGAAATATTTAAAAATATTGTATCGATGATATTTTTTATTGAAACAAAAAATCGAAATGATATTTGATATATCGGAAAAGAAATATCTAAATATCAGATATTTTTGATATTTTTGTTTTATTATTATTTTTTATTAATTTTAAGCTGCATAAGGCATGGCACCCAATTATAGCGTTCTATCTTGTTTTTAATGCGTTTTCTTTGATTCTGAATGCTATGTCTTGTCTCGATGAAAAGTGAATCCACTTAAAAGTATAAAAAAAATGTGGAAAAAAAGATCGATGATACCTGATAATTATTCAAAAAAATATCGATGAAAATATTTTTTTTAGGCTAATAAAATCGATGTATTGATATTTTGATATATTTTTGACATCCCTAGTACATTTACAATGTACATCTTCACATCCGCTTCATTTGCTCATTAACAAAAATAAGTACTTTAAGTTGCAAGTCTCTGCGAGAGCTTTCCTCAACGCCACTTAGAATATCCTCGAGATATTTGTAGAAAGGATCCTGGGGTGGTTCCGCTGGCTTTTCTTTCAAAGCCTTCTCGATGAGATTCATCACATCCAGAAACTTTACTTGAGCCTGATTTAGATTATCGCCCGTTGAACTGGGTAAACATCCACATGTTGGGTCATTTGGCAATTCGTTGGCATTATTGCACGCAGATTCATCGGCAATAAACTCCACGCTGCCGTTATCCATCTCACCGAGATATTCTCCCTCGTTTTTATACTCAATTATGAACTCTTCCTGGGCAAATTCGTTGTTCTCGTGGCTCCGTTTGGCTGAGGGTTCTTCCTCTGGATTACTTTCCTCAGTTTGCCCAGTTTCCGATGAGTTAATGGGATAGGAACACCTTTTCTGCCTTATGTGATACCTAAGAAAGCCGAGATTTTCAAATATATAAGTGGTGTTCTTGTTGTTTTTGGGCTTTTGAATTTCCCGCACGTAACGGTCTCTTAGGGTTTTCCACCTAATTTGGCAATGGTCGACTGTAATTGTAAAGTGGAGAATAGATGAAATTGGAGAGAAGATGGTTTATGCTGCATAAACAACTTTATTTACCCGACTTTTGACAAGCATCGGCTACCACAGTCCAAGCGAGCTCCCTTTCGGATCTCGTGGCCCTTTCATACAAACAAGGGTTCTCCTTAACGCTCTTAATTAACAAATCGTCAAAATGTTCCATGTTGTTAAGATTATTTTCAAAAATCACACGACTTTCGCAGAAATCCGACGCGTTCTTGCGCTGCGTAAAATAAGTAAACGCGGAAGAACAGCTGACGCGCGTCAGGTGTTTTCCAACACTGATTGGCCAGTGGCTCAGCTTAGCAGAAGGGAAAAGGGGGTGATGATTAAGCTTTTAAGACATTTTTTGAATTATTATAAGTAAAAATTTATTTGTTTATATAAAGCTAACTTACAGTGTAAAACTATGAGCTAACTGAGAAATTTAAAGCGCTAGCAACTAAGGCTTTCCGCTCAACTAGACAGTTTTCTTAAATGGTATGTGCTAAATTATGTAGTTATACGGGAGAACGAGATGATTTTGTTATTAAAATATAAAACATTTTTTGAATCAAAAAAAAGTTTTTTTTCATTTCATTAATTTTTTTTCTTAACTAAGAATGTAGGTACAATTTAAGATTATATGGGAACTGTATCCAGATTATAAATTTTCTTTTTATTTCAAAGCTTGCAAAGAACATACATATTTGGGTATTTTTAATTATTTTTTACCCTACGTAATTTGGAATTAGTAAAGGTACTAACCAAAAATAGAAATCGCTGTAACTACACCTATACGTTTTTAGTGCCATTCATTGTCATACATATGTACATATGCATGTCCATACATGTTCATATATTTTCCTCCTAATAAAACGCTTACCCGCTTTCCTTTCCAGGCGACTACAGCTTCAAATGCCCGGAAGACGGATGCCACAAGGCCTTCCTCACATCCTACAGCCTGAAGATCCACGTCCGCGTCCACACGAAGGTGAAGCCCTACGAATGCGAGGTGACCGGCTGCGATAAGGCGTTCAACACGCGCTACAGGTGAGCAATCATCCATCGATATATATATATATATAGACCAATCACCAATCTACCAATCCGCCAACAGATTGCACGCCCACCTGCGCCTGCACAATGGCGAGACATTCAACTGCGAGCTGTGCCAGAAGTGCTTCACCACGCTGAGCGACCTGAAGAAGCACATGCGCACCCACACCCAGGAGCGGCCCTACAAGTGCCCGGAGGACGACTGCGGCAAGGCCTTCACCGCCTCGCATCATTTGAAGACGCACCGGCGGACGCATACGGGCGAAAAGCCGTATCCCTGCCAGGAGGACAGCTGCCAGAAGTCGTTCAGCACGTCGCACAGTTTGAAATCCCACAAGAAGACGCACCAGCGCCAGTTGCTCAACAAGGGACGCAAGAAGAGGCCACTAAAGGGGCAGCAAAAGGAGCAAAAGGATCCCCAGCAGGAGGAGCAGGATGAACAGGAGTTCCTCAAGGAAGATCCGGCGGAGATAATGGTGCTTAATCCAGGCAGCCACTGCTCAGAAACCACCAGCACGGACAGCGGAGTGGTGCTGCAAACGCTTACGCAGCAGAAGGATCAGTTGTTCATCCTCCAAAGCGACGAACCTCTGCTGCTTCCCGAAACCTCACAGGCCTACCAGCTCTCCTACGCCGCCGAGGAGGAGATACCCAGTCCGTGGATCGACGCCGGCGTGCTTGTCTCCAAGCCCATCATTCCCATGGCCCCGCTGACGGACGCCTGCGTGGCCCTGCCCACCGAGATGCCCACTTTCGTGGACCTCAAGCCCACCTACGGCAATGCAGTAAGCGGCAACATGGCGGATCCGCAGGCGGAGACCATGGATGTGGATGCCGCGATGCCCACGCCCACCTTAGAGTTGAACCAGCAGAATATCGAGGAGCTGCTCAAGCAGGACAGCAGCTTCGACAACGAGGAGGACATGGAGACGGAGTCGCTGCTCAACGACATCCTCATGACCATCGACAACAACAGCGCCCTGTTGCAGGCCACCCTGCAGCAGGCCTCCCAGGTGCCCAGCGATGCCTCCGGTCTCGTGGAACTGGACATCAGGGACAACAAGCCCACGCTTAAGCAGATCACAGCGGATGCGGGCATCTGCAATTGCACCAACTGCAAGTGCGATCAAACGAAGAGCTGTCACGGCGGGGATTGCGGGGCAGCTGCAGCTGCTCAAAAGGCCACCAATTCCAGCGGTGGCAAACGCATCTGCGGCAGCGTGGCGCCCACCAAAAAAGTGAGTAAACGCGAGGCGGAAATGAACCAGAACATCGAGGATGTTGCTTTGCTCTTGCAAAACCTTGCTTCAATGGGCAGCGGTGGCTCCTCCGGCGGCGGCGGTTGCTGTGGAGGTGGTGGTGCAGCTGCCAAGCCATCACCACCTCCTGCTGGAGGCTGCTGTGGAGCGCCCAAGGCTGCAGAGCCCGTAAAGACAGGTTGTGGGTGTGCTGGAGGTGCTCCTGCTCCTGTTCCTGCTCCTCCGCCCTCGGGAGGCTGCTGCTCGGGCAACCAGAAGCCATCAGTACCTGCTCCTCCTCCTCCTGCAGCCTCGGGCTGTTGCTCTTCTGGCCAGGCGAAAGTGCAGGCTCCAACAGCTCCCGCTCCCGCTCCCGCTGCCGCCATCAAGGGCAACGCCTGCACCTGCAAGAGTCCCGCGGAGGGCGTGGCCAACGGCTGCTGCGTGGTCATCTGCATTAAAACGCTGCAAGCGCTCCGCAAAGTTCTGACGCGCCGGAATCTGAACCTAATGCTTTGTCCACAGCAGAACTAATTTAAGTACTACTTATGTACACTAATGCCGAAGCCCCCAGAAACCTACAAGAAACCAAATCAATCATGTAATCAATCAAGTATTGTGCCTGTAAAAAGTATTTCCCCTTTTTAAATAACCGGAAAGATAACCAAAAATGAACGAAATTGTCAAAGTGCATTTAAGCCAAACTATTCAAACAAATGTGATCCCAGCGGAGGCTGGCCGCGCTACAACTTACATTACAAAAAAAAGTTACCCTATAATCACTACGAGCCCCAAATTATCTAGAAACCCAAAGCAGCTTCCGGTCAACTTATAGAGCTTTTTGCAAACTGACAAAGATATGCCAACCTTATCGGGCAATAAAACATGGCAGACTACCTAGTATATGGCCAATTGATACATTTGTTTCACCAGACAGTTGATAAAATGCCGTCTAATCTAAAGCTCTTTGTTTTTGTACTTTTTTTGTTTTAATATTTAACACGTTAAATATCATTGAGTTGATCTAAAACTAACAATTATAATTTATTACTACCCCAGGGATCCTAAGCGATCCATGTCTTTAGGGACGTAATATTAATGAAGGGGTTCATTTGTTAAATTGTATCAAATATAACAAAATACTTTTTGTGTTTATGACGCTTTATATCATGCCAAATATGAACAGAAACATATTTTCTACTGTTTTCTTATATACCCAAAGTTAAATCATCTGTATAAAGTCGAATAAAACATAAAACTAAACTTGTTGTTACGATTCTTATTGCTGCAATATTGCTGTTGCCGCTGTTGCTCCTGCTGTTGCTGCTGCTGTTGCTCCTTTTGCTGTTGCTTTCGCTCCGGAATGTGGAGAGGCAGTTTCGAGACCGACAAACGCAGTTTACTAGACGCTATATACAGAATGTGCTTCCATTGACCCCTCTGATCCACTGATCCACACTTGTTTTCTAATCCTCGCCAGCTGGTATGACCTCCTCTAGACGCCGCACGAACTTAACGCGCAGTTCCGTCACATTGTCGCCCTTCAGTTGATCCTGCACACACAAAGCACACACACTACACCATTAGCGAACTATGAAAAGCGTAGGAGTATTCCACAAAGACTTGCCTGCACGAACCAGCACTGCACCTCCAGCTGCACCATCTCCAGGGCGCCGCGGATGCAGCCGCTGAGTATGGCGCTGTAGCGCAGATTGGTCAGGTCCGGCGGCAGCTCGACGAACTCCGTCAGCGGATTGCTATCGAACAGCAGCGAGAACTCATCGGAGGCCGCCGACCAGTTCGAGATGGTGGGCTGGATGTTCAGGTAGATGCGGAATGCCTGCTGCACGCGATCCGCCGTCTCGCGCATCTCCAGGCAGCGGGGCGCCGAGGTCCTGGCCAGAAAGTCCTCGATCAGCCGCATGCCCATGTTGTAGCCGATCCGCTCCAGCTGTTTGTTCACGTCCTCGGCGTTCTCGAAGTCGCGCAGCATCTGGGTGACGAGTGCCCCGTAGGTGAGTGTCAGGAACTCCGAGTTCTGTGTTTGGTTTTTTGTACAAATGGGGGAGAAAGGAAAGCAGACAGCGAATAAAAATCAATCCAGAACCAGAATTAAACGTTTTATGGGCCGGTACCAAATGTGAATCTATAGCCATTACAATAATCTACGCACAAAATTAGTTCTAAAGTTTACAAACAATTATTTGTATTTATTGTAAGTCATATTGATTTATTGGTTTCTTAGAATCGTTCTTAAGATTTGATTTTTAGATTATATTATTGAGCTCTGCTTGCTATGACTATTTAGACCTTGTTCCCAATTCCATTTCGAAAGGATGGGTGAAATCAAAAGTAATTGCACAATTTGTTAGTTGTTAAGTTGGAGTAACTTTAGTAAATAACATAAATTTTCTATCAAAATAATTAGATAACTCATAGCAAATAATACAAATAAATTCGAAACTATAAAAATTGAAAAGGATGCGATATACAAATCTTTAAATGTTAAATATAAAATAAAGGAAATTTGCAAATGAAATTGAATTATTTCGCAAATGAATAAAGGGAACAAGGCCTGGATATTCGAAAGGAATAAGTAAGAATTTGAACCGAAAGATGTGAGCCGAATAAAATCAGTGTTTTACAGTGAGGAGAAGATGGGGACACAGAGCGACTGGCTTACGACTATAAACTACGATCTAGTCTAGTTTGTATCTACGGCTAGGCAGCGACTATTCCGATTTGATCGCCGTTATGGTAATGCTTGGCGTTTGGTGGGGTGCGATCAGTTTCGGTGGGGCCCTCGCCGTTGCCCCGGCTGAGGGTGATGCCGCCACTGGGCGCCATGGGCAAGCTGCCGCCATCCGGACCCGAGGAATCCTCATCGCCCTTCTCCTGCGCCGAATGAAAGCGACCGCCCTCGCCACGCGCCCGATTCATGGCGTGCCGATGGCGAGATTCATGCAGATACTTGCAGCGCTCCTTGGGAATCCGTGACTCCAGCTTGGCCCTGGCCTGCCGCCGGATGAGGATGCGTTTGTACTGCTTGGCATTCACATAGAGCGGCTCCTCGTCCGCCTCGCCCTTGGAGCTCTCGTCCTCGCTGTTTGTATTCGTCCCAGTAGTACTTGTGCTGACATCGGCGCTTATATTATTGGCTGCAGCGCTGGCCGCCGCCGCCGCTGCCGCTGCTGCTGCTGCAGCTGCAGCCACCGCCTGTTGTTGTTGCTGCTGCTGCTGGGCTTGCTGGACTTGGGATTGAACCACCTGCTGCTGCTGTTGTTGTTGCTGCTGTTGGGTGACCACTGTACTGGCAGCCGCCGCCATGGCCGTCTGCGGCACCATGATGATCTGCTGACCAGCGCTGGGAGCCGCCTGACTGGCGCCAGCCGCCGGTGTGATCTGCACCAGCTGTCCGTTGATGTTGAGGTAGTGCGGCGTGGGCTGGGCGGCCATGGCTGCTGCTGCATTGGCCGCTGCATTCGGATCCAAGGCGGCAATGGTGGGCGTCTGATAGAAAATGGTCTGGCCATCGGGCAGCTGCATCACCTGCATCTGCGGCTGCTGCTGGGCCGCCTGCAGCATGATCTGGTTGGCCTGCAGCGGTATCAATTGCGGCTGCAGACCCGTCGCCGTCTGCTGGCCCTGCGCCTGTTGGCCAATTATTATTTGGGCCGCTCCGGCGGGCAGCATCGGCATGGGAATCACTTGAATGGGCTGCGCCGTGGCAGCTGCCCCTGGATTTGTGGCTCCTCCGGCTGACGTGTTTACATTCACATTGTTGCCGGCTGTTGCTGTTGTGTTGTTGCTGCTATTGCTGTTGTTGTTGGCGGCGGCGGCGGCGGTGGAGCTCATTCTGGGCGTGGCGGCTGAGGGGCGGCTGGCGGCGCTGAAATGGTTTTCCATTGCCCGTTTGCTGGGCGTTTCTGTGTCGCGTGTCTCAACCTCAAGCCCTCAACACACACACACACACTTACTGGAAAAGCGAATGAAGCCGATTTTGAGGGTGGTTGGCACGTCAAAGATTCGTTCTTAGGCGCTAGGCAAAAACTAACCTTACAACTAGAACTAACTATGTATCTTCTGTGGCTAACGATACCGATCCCCTGCTAGCTGCTCGATCAACTCACCACTTTCTTGGCGTCCAAACGGGAGGCTTGTCGCGACATTTTCCGGCTGTTTACGTTGCGAATTGTCCAATTGAAAAATAGAATCTCCTGTTTTTCCGACTTTTACAGAGCAGGGTTGTCAGGGTGCGTAATCACGACCAGGGCTGCATGCGCTTTACATATCGGTTGCAGTCACGGTGGAGTGCAAGTATCGGTTAAAGTCACTGTTTAGAGGGTAGGGTCTTTGTCATTGAACAACAGGGTGAGAATAAGTTCGTGCAAATCATTTCCAAGTTTCTAGTTAGTTATAAAAATATTATTAATCAATTTAAATTGTCTGAAAATTTGCTAAGCGAAGCCTGAATACCCTTATTAAAGAAAACAATGTTGCAGCCCTAGTGTAAACGATTTTGAATATTTCCTGATTAATTTTAACGCCATCAGTTGAATATTTAAAAATATGTTAATACAGTAAAACTAAATTAAAAACAAAAGAAAATTTCTACCATTCTTTAAAATTGGTGATGTGACAAAAATATCGATTGTCGCCAAAAAACAGCGATGTATCTAAAAAATTTCAAACCATCGACGCATCGATGTTTTCATCGATGTATCTCCACCACTACCGTAGACAAGTGCATAAACATTTGATCCAGGTGACAAAAAGTAAATAAAGGAAAATTTTAACCGCATCGCAAACAGTCGGCGAACAGCACCTAGAAACTGCTCCACGATGGCTTCATTCTTCAACGTTGGCGCTTTGGGAAATGTTTTCTCCACTCCAGTTGGCCAGCGCATAGGTGAGTTAGTTAGCGTATATACACCAACCCCCCACCCCCCGTCCACGAAAAACCGCCCACCGGAAGCGGGGTGTGTTAAATCGTAACATTTTCCTCAAATACAACGCATATGCGTTGATTTTTGCGCATTTGCATTGCCAGTTCTCCGATTAGAAGACGTTTCATGCCAGTCCCAATCAGACTGGGCCATTGGAAAATTGAATTTTCACAACTTTCTTCGTCGCTTTGTTGTTTTCTTGTTTTGTTGCCTTCTTTGCGAGTAGTACACAGACACACACAGGTATACCGAAACAAACTGATTTGTTGTTGCCACACTATTACTATGGCAAAGCGTTTATCAACCGCAAAATAGTCTGATAAGATTAACCCTTATGTGGGTGTACAGTCCAATTTGCAGGTGTGACAGGGCAGATAAAAGTTTGTGTGTCTTTTTATGGAATTGCTCACCTTTAACACGCACACACACACACACACTCGTCATTCGGTATTGTTATTGATGCGCTCTTGTTTTGTTTGATTGCTTTTTTTGCCCACCCCCTGCCCCCTTTTTTCACCCATAGTAAGGGCAATTAGTCATCGTTGCCTTTGGCCGCTAGGTTACATAAAAAAATATGTGTTAATTTATTTCGTTTTCCCCTTTGCCTCGCATTTTCGCCATAATTTCCATTTGCCGCTACACACACGCACACACCTACATACGTAGCTGCATTTTGGCACTAGTATTAGTGCCTTACTAATTTGTTGCTTCATATTATATTTTTTTTATTGCTCATATTTTGTTGTTGCCTTGCGGTTAGCTTTTCCGTTTCGCCTACCCGATCACCCGATCTCTTCTACATATCTCTTGATATCTGCTGTACGATATCCGATATCCGAGAAATGCATTTTGCCCGCCTGCATTTGTTTGGACTTAAACGAGTTGCATTTCTGCCTTTGTTTGCGCCTTCAAAATTTACGCAAGTCATTGCACTCGCAAGAGCTTAAATGATATTCGGAAAGATTATACTCACCCACCTGTTTAAAAACTCAATTCCAGCTGCCCATATAAACAAACAAAGGAACGCAAGTAATTAGCTCAGGTTTTCGCACAGTTAATGAGACGATCGATCATAATAATTAGATCTCACAGATCAACAGACGACAGCATTAAGTTTACATTATTTAAAATTCAATTTTAATTCTCAAATTGTTTATTTTTGGGTAAAATATCATAAACGGGTTGTTTTTAAATTTTGTATATTTTCATATTCAAATTGGATAATTAATAATTAAAATATATCTTTATTTAAAAAAAGAGTATTTATACCTATTTAAAATGTAAAAAACATTTTTCAAATCGGACCAGTCATTAAAAAGTTACTGCTTTATCAAACAAATTTTTTATACATGTCTCATAAAGACCCTTTAAAATATGTAGCTCCTCTTAGATTTTCGGAAATATATCGTTCTTTCTTGTATAATGTTCAATAACGTTTTAAATAAAAGAATTTAGCTCCTTTTAATATAAATAGTATCTTCATTTAAAATTTTAAATAAACAAAGAATTTTTAAAAAATTATTAAAAACTACTTTTATACATTTTTTAAAGTTCGAAAAGACCTTAAAATATGCAGCCTGTGGTACTCCTCTGTAACTCCTCTTAATTTAATATTCTTGATTTAAAAAAAGCGTACTTATTATTTAAAATAAAAAGATATTTTTAAAAATTTATTTAAAACTATGTTTATACATTTTTCGAAAATTTCGAAAAGACTTTAAAATATGAAACCTGCCATACACCGCAGCTCTTCATTCAATAAATACAAAATTAGTATTAAAGATCAATTTGCAAATGAAGGATGTTTAAACTCGTACAAGTTTAAAATATGTATTTCCCTATGAAATTTGTAATAACTCGTAGTATATTCCAAATTTCTCTATAACCTTTTATCCCTCAGAGGCCGCCACCGATGCCAACTTGGCCTCGGAGAACTGGGCCGCCAACATGGAGATCTGCGACATGATCAACGAATCCTCGGACACGGCACGCGATGCCATGCGTGCCATTCGCAAGCGCCTCTCCCAGAATGCCGGCAAGAACAACCAGGTGGTGATGTACACTCTTACTGTCCTCGAGACCTGTGTGAAGAACTGCGGCAAGGCCTTTCATGTCCTGGTGGCCCAGAAGGACTTTATAAACGAGCTGGTCAAGCTGATTGGGCCCAAAAACGATCCACCCGCTGCCATGCAGGAGAAGGTGCTCAGCCTCATACAGATTTGGGCGGATGCGTTCAAGAACCAGCCGGATCTCAATGGGGTCACCCAGATGTACATGGAACTGAAAAACAAGGGCATCGAGTTCCCAGCCAACGATCTGGATGCCATGGCTCCCATCTACACGCCACAGAGGGTGAGTTGTTAAATGTGGGATAAATCTTGGCTACTACAATTACAACTTCCATTGTCCCACCCTCCATTTAGAGCGTTCCCGAGCTGCCGCCCCAATTAATGGCCGCCCAGCAGCACACAATCTCGCCCCAACACATGGCTGCCGCTGCCGCCGCCGCCGCTGCAGCCGCTGCTCCACCCAGCACAGGTCCCTTGCATCTGACGCCCGACCAGGCGGCCAAGCTGCGCTCCGAACTGGAGATCGTCAGCAACAACATGTCCATCCTGAGCGAAATGCTCAGTGTCCTAAAGCCCGGCCAGGAGTCGCCCGATGACTATGCCCTGCTCAACGAGCTCACCTCCACCTGCAAGGAGATGCAGTCTCGCATCGTCGATCTGATCGGACGCGTCCAGGACGACGAGCTGACCGCGGAGTTCCTGCGCATCAATGACGAGCTGAACAACGTGTTTTTGCGCCATCAGCGGTACGAGAAGAATCGCTCGCAGAGCCAGGGATCGGCTGTGGTCACCTCGCCTTCGGCGGTGCTGGGCGCTGCAATGGGTCTGCCCACCGCAACGGTGGCCACGCTTCCACCTCCGCCCACAACCACGGCTGTCAGCAATACGCCGCAAAGCGACCAGCTGCTAATCGACCTAATTGAGAGCAGCGAGGAGGCAGCCCAGCTGCCGCAGAGCTTGGGGCAGCTCAGCTTGGGCGGAGGAGCACCTGCTGGGATCCAGAGGGGAGCACGACCTGCCGATGAGTTCGATATGCTGGCACAGTCGCGCACCGATGGCAACCAGTAAGTAGTAATAATTATTAGGGGACCTATATATAGCACTGCAGTTTTTTTCAAAATGCTTTCCAGCGTTGTCCCTTAGATCAATAAGGAATCGAGCTAGTTTTTTTTGACTTGGCACAGTTTTTTTACAATGTTCTTCTATAAAGTTAACAAAGTTTTACATTTCGGTTTTTGAATATCTTTCAAAATCGCGGACGATAGGCACAGTTTGGGTTTTGTTTTTTTAAAGACAGATATAAAAGAGCTTAACTTTGCGCATCGAGCACAGATAGCTGAATATGATCCGATATTTTATGGGAAACCAGGTTTATTTTAAAGAGAAAAGTGTATTTTTGGTAAACTGTAACTGAACTGTATAATATTCGTAAAAAATCGAAAAATACTCCTTTAAATGACAGTTTAGCAAATGTGAACGAACAAAAAGTTTTATTTCTCCGAAGAAAACTTGCCGGCTTTGCTCAAATTCATAAAAAAATGGATTTATTGAAAAACTTTTTAAAGTTAATGAAATTTAACTACTTCACAGGAAGGTGGTTGCTGTTCCTGGTATAGAGTCCAAAAATCAGTTTGAATTTCTTACTTGAAACTTTAAGGACACATTAGTAGTGAGTAATATCCGGTTCAAAATTATGCTAAATCAAGAAATTTAAGAGCTATAAAATTATATAAATTACAAATTTATATTTCCCTTAAAAATTCTTTAAAACCTATAAAAAGCTTCGTTAATAAACTCATTATCTTTTTAGTAAATCGGACTTGCTTAAGGGACATTCCCTCCGTGGACGCAGCTGCCGGAAGTGTGGCGGCCACCGCCGCCTCGCCTTACAAATCACCGAATCAACCGCAGCAGCAGCAGCAGGCTCAGCGCTCTGCCGGCGATCCGCCGCCGGTGGTAAGTAAAGTGAGTAACTAGCCGCCAGGCAGCAGGTCTAACTAATGGCGTTCGATTTGTTCCCTTACTTTTTGACCTTGTTTCTGGCCATTGATTTGAAACACTTTGAATTTACAATTTGAAAAACATTTTGGTTCTTTTGTTCTATGCAAATTGCGTTTGGTTTTCGTTTCGATTCCGTTTCCGTTTCGTTTTGTTGTTCGGTTGGCGCCGCCCACACAGTCGACGAAAGAGAATGAGATCGACGAGATGGAGGCGTGGTTGGGCAGCTCAGTAAGTAGCCATACGAATCGCATTTAGCCTTTTCCCAAGCTCATCTTACCCATGCACTCGGCTTTGGTTTCTCGATTTCCATAAACCTTCCTTTTTGCTTCTTTGCTTCTGGCACTAAACTCTAAGTCTTTACAACATGACTAATAGGTAATTTACTTTCCACAATTAGCACATCGAGGGCATTGAGGAGCTGACCAGTTCGGAGTTTGACAAATTCCTCGAGGAGCGGGCCGCTGCCGCCGAAAATCTTCCAACGATCAATGCATCGAACTCTGCCGCCAGTGCCACGACAGGATCGCTGGGAGCCGACAGCTTACGAAAGACACCAAAGAAACCGGGCGCCGAGGAGGATCTGCTCGCCCTCTGAGTGATCTCCGCCAGCAGCACCATCGGCATCATCGGCTCTAATTGTTTACTCTTTCAAATGTTATACACACCCTAACATACTTATGCATAACGTCTATATGATAGCAGCTACATATTAACACTTTATGTAAAATGCTTTTGATTTTTACAAAAACTGCAACGATAACTATTGATTATATTCCAAAAAAAAAACAAAAACGATCTTCTGTTGGTCTAATTGTAAGCCACGTCTACACATATTGATGGTAATTTTATGTATTACGTTACAAGTCTATTTGTTGTTTATTTATACATATATACATACATTTATAAAGCTAATTTATTTTACAAAATCAAACGATCGAAAAGATAAAACTAAAACAAAAAGGAAATACATTTCAAGCACATACCGAAAATGGGATGTTTTTAATGGTATTTAAGGGGGGCTTTAATCCGAATCGTTGTCTATATTCATGGCTTGAGTGGCGGCTCCGTAGGCCTCGTCCTCTTCATCGGACGAAATCCTTTGAGTTTTTCTCTCCTTAGGGGGTTTTTTCGAGCGCTCCTCCAACTGGCTCTCCAAATCCCTAATATAAGCCTTTTTGCTGTTAATGAGCAGTAGGAATTTCTTGAGGAGTTCCTCCTCCTTTAGTTTGGAGTCCTTCACGTACTTTTCATATTCAGCTAGGGATGTGCTTTTCTGAATTTGGTATTCCGGATCTGCATCTGCTTGAGGCTTCTGCTGACCAGCTTCGATGGCTGCGTCCAGTAGCTGGTAACAATTGGACACTTTTCTCAGGGGAACCTCCAAATACAGCGTCTCGTATCCTTCGCATTTGTACATCCTGAAGAATGGTTTTTCAACGTCCTCGAAGCTTAAAGCATAATCGAATCCTTGGAGACCCATGTGTGTGGTCATGGCGTTTTTGCACTCGGCAAAGAAGGCATCGTAGGACTGCTCCAAATCACTTGCTGCCGTCCGTAACTCCTCGTACTTGAGACTTCCTCTATAATTTGTATTATCTGTGGTCGATAGAAAGTCAAAATCCGCCTCGTCGTCCATCCAGTTGCTGCGGACATAAATAAAAGGTTTGGTGTCCTCTTGACTGTGTGAAAGCTGGGAGCGCTGCAGTAGTTTAACCACAAAGATTGACATTTTTAAATGTTTTTTAGTTTCACAATTAATTGTAAATTTAGCGGCTCTCAACAGCTGTTATTTGTTTTGATTTTGAGCAACTGCTGTAAATTAAGAGAAACTTAAATAGGGTATTCCCTAATTTGGTGAATCGTTGAATTTTGGTAAGCTGCTCACTTACAAATATAGAGGTTAAAACTAAAACTAAAATTTTTTTATTTTTAAATATAAGATTTTGAACAACTGGTGTAAATTTAGAGAAACCTAAATAGGGTATTCCCTAATTTGTTGAATTGCTGTATCGTTGAATTTTGGTAAGCTGCTCAGGTTAAAACTAAAATTAAAATTATTTTATTTATTAAAAATTTATTTATGTTTTAATTTTTAAAAGTATTACCTATCGGATATTCCCAAAATAATAAATAGTGGAAGCCAGGCATAACAGTAATTTACAGCCATGATGACAACCCTATTACCATAACCGTTCCGCCAGCATTGTCCAACACTGGGCTCACCCAGACTATCGAAATCGCTATCGGTCAGCCCTGTTTAAGTTAGTACAAAGCCAGTGGGAGGAATTAAAAAGTTAAACGCTCTGCACCCCTATTGTTTACCCCGTTTTTGCTGCTTTAAACGATTTGGAAGCCGCAATGCTCGACAACTTCGTGGAATTCGCCAGCTACTGGTGGTTCCGATACCTCATGGTGCGTAATGGCCGCAAAATTACGCATAAATTCCACTTGAGAAGCTGCGCTTCTCGCTATTCAGCATTCAATTAACTCTACTATATTTGTAGGTCACCGAGCTGTACATGGTGGAGAAGTGGGAGCGCATAACGATACGTGAGTGTTATTTATTGGCCAAATAAGCGGGGGAATATCCGGGATTCGTCATGCTTCAAGAGAATTTTCACGCTTATCGGGGTTATTATTGCTCTCGTCTTTTGCAGACGTCATTTTCATGGTGCTCTTCTGCGTGTTCTGGTACTTCAACTACTCCGTGCTGCTCTCCCTGGCGGGATTAATTGGCCCCAGTGCCTCGATGGCTGATATTATGCCCGGCGGGGTTCAAGGACAGGGCATCAAGGTCACGTAAGGGACCCCCTCTCCGTTCCAATATCCAAAATATACGCGTATCTGTACCGCGAAGCTTTATCTAATCCGCACGCGTTTATACACCGCAATCAATCAGGGGAACGAACGAATGGAAATTGCGGCGACACATGTCCAAAGAGGCGATCTAATCGCCTGCTGATCCGAATCTGAAGTGGGCAACACCCGGCGTTTAATGTAGTTATCTAGCTGTAGTTACACCTTACAATTCAGTAAAAGTAAATAAACCTAACGCTTACACAATGGCACTGTGAAATAGTTCAAAAAACATAACACAAATGTTGCATTGTTTTTCTGGTTTATTTTTTGTTTAATTTTGAAGAGGTATATTCCCTTGTTTATTCCGACTTAACTGGTGTGCCTTCCACTGTGAAATAGTTCATAACAACACGATAAAAATAACTCAAATGTTGCATTGTTTTTCTGGTTTATTTTTTGTTTAATTTTGAAGAGGTATTCCCTTGTTTATTCCGACTTAACTGGTGTGCCTTCCATTTTGTGAAATAGTTCAAAAAAATTAAAAAAAAAAAAAAAAATTTTTTCTGGTTTATTTTTGTTTATTTTAGTTTTTATTCCGATTAACTGTGTGCTCCATTTTGTGAATCATTCGTTAGCGTTAGCTAAATCCGTACTTCAATGCTCTAAGTGTTACAATTCATTACAAAAATATATAGATAGCCTATGGTGTATGCGTACTGAATATGGTAGAACTAGTTTTGTTTTGTTTTTCGTAGAAAAGAACGTGCGCGTTTTGTTATTCGAGCGAAGATCGCACACGGTTTGGGATCAAATCGAATTGGGGGTTTGCAAAGGGGCAGTTTGGCTGAGTTTTTCGGGGTTGTGGGTTCGGGGTTCGACTCACTTAGCCTACGCTACAAGCTAAACTCTTAGAACTGCTCTTCAACCGGGTTTTCCATCCATCCATGCAGGAAATAAATCAATGGCTACCATCTAACTTCCTCTTTTGCACTGCAAGCCTATTTTGTTGTTAGAAAAAGATCTTAGACTAATTACTTAGGGGGCGGGGGGAGCAGGCGGCGATGCAGTCACCAGGTGACAATCATCCCGTCCTGTCGCTCCGCTCGTTAGGTTACAGATACAGATAAAAACTGGCTACAACTAACTGTACAAAACTGGCCGCTCTTCTCATCCACCAGCGCTACATTTATGCGCACTACTAGTTAGGATGTGGGGGACGTGCCATCCAGCAGCACCGACGCCGCCGCCATCTCCTCGTTCTGCTCGACGTACACCAGTCGCGGATCCTCGCCGAACTCCAGCCGCCCGTAGCGGGCCACCAGCGGTGTCTTATTGCCGGTCACCTGCGGCGCCCGTGGCCACTTTCGCTTGGGCTTCGTGTGCGTCAGCATGTGCGACTTGAGGTTCGTTGACTGGGCGAAGCACTTGGAGCACCCATCGATGGGACAGTGGTAGGGTCGATCGCCCGTGTGTATCCTTACGTGCGTGCGCAGATTGAAGTCCAGCGAGAAGCGCTTGCCGCAGCCCTCGAAGGTGCACTCGAAGGGCTTCTCGCCGGTGTGCACCAGCTGGTGGCGCTTCAGCTTCGAGCTCTCCACGAAGCTCTTGCCGCACACGTTGCACACATGACCGCGCGGTCCGTGCGTGTGCATGTGCTTGCGCATGGCCGAGTGGTTGCGGAACTCCTTGTTGCAGCCGCGATGAGTGCAACGGAACTTGGGCTCCTCGTCCTCTTCGGCGGCGGCGCCTGCGGCTCCAGCCGTCTGATTCGGCGCTGCTGCCGCCGCTGATTTGGTCACAATCGCCGTGGGACGCGGGCGGCTGGCCACCAGTGGCGGTGGAGGCGTTGGTGTCGCCACCTGAGCTGCCGCCGTGAGTTGCCTCTTTGCCACCTTCGTCTGATTGCCCGCACTTTTCAGTCGCACATTGGTGCTGCTATTTTGGAGCACTAATTTAGGGAGCGCTGCCTGCGGAGGCGCCACCGGGGCAGGAGTGGTTGGACCTGGTCCCAGAGCCGCCTGCATTAGCTCCACATTGTTCGGCATGTTCTCGATTAGCTCGATGTTGCCGTAGGCCTCTTCCAGCTGGTTGTCCGCATAGATGAACTGCTCGCTCAGCGGCTGGCTGTCCTCCTCGCCCTTGACGTCGCCCATAAAGGCATTCACCACCTCCTCGACGTCCGTGACCGCCGAGGCGCTGAATGGATCGGGCAGGATGACGTACTCGTTGCCGATGCCATCGCTCAGCACATCGTGGTTGATCATGTGCTCGTCGATGATGAGCTTTGGCATGCCGGCGGAGGAGGAGCCTTCGTTCTGGGCGGCGGATGCGGAGGCAGAGGCGGCTGATGCGGATGTGACGGCTGCCGAGCCCGGTGGCTCCTCCAGCTCCTCCTCCTCGTCCTCATCCTCCGAGTTCAGCGAAGACCAGAGGGTGACATTGAACTCGTCCTGGGTGATGCGTATGGGCACCTTGGTTTGCTTCCAGCGCTTTGCAGCTGAATTCCCCATGGGCCTCTCCACGCGACTGCTACCAAAGAGCTTAAAATCCTGCAACTGACCATTCGAGCTGTTCGAATCCTCGGCGGCCTTCATGTAGAAGTCGCTCTCCAGCTGCTCCTCCTTGATGTTGGTGGCCTCGATGGTGGTCAGCATCTCGGAGGCGATCTCAAAGGCATTTGTCATGGCGGGCGCCGCGGCCTCATCCTCCTGCTCGGCCTCCTCCTCCTCCTCGGCATCCCCGTCGCCGTCGCACGAGGAGGTCATCTGCTGTCCATCCTCCTCGATGTAATCCTCATCGTCGCTGGTCTGCTGCATGATGATGGGCGGCGGCAGGGCATCCGCCGTGGCCACTGTGACCGAGGTGAGCCTGTCCAGCCGATCCACCGGATAGTATTCATAGTGCTCAAAGAACTCGCCGGTGTCCACAACGATATTGGCCTCGTCATCGTAGTCATCGATGATCTCCTCGATCAGGAAGCTCTCGTTCTCCTCGCCCATCGGATCGCCCGCCAAAACGGTGTAGGGATCCTGCTCGATTGTCGTGGTGGCCGGTAGAACGTGGGTGAAGAACGCCGACGAAGTGCCGGATGCGGAGGTTAAAGGCAGTGGCAGCGGTACCGCCGCCGCCGCCAGGGACATGTTCTTCACAATGGGCGCACGGAGCTGATGAAGAGGCGGCTGGAAGTTCCCACCGACGCCGATGTGATGATGATGATGACTTGTCATCGCGGCTGTCTGTGTGCGCGCCTGCTGTCTGTATCCGTGTGTGTGTGTGTGTGTCTCTTTACCTCCGAGTGTGTGTGTGTGTGTTGTGCGGGGCGAGCGTGCTGCGAAAAAAGTGGGCAATTAGTACCTGGCCAGAAATCGGCAATACGCAAATATATATCCAAGAGTCTCGAGTCCCGAAAAACGTACTTGTTTTTGTCGGTATTGCTCTTTCCCTCCACCCCTTTTCCTGTGGGTCTCTGCCTCTGCCTATCGTTTATTGTGCGACGGCGACGACGGCGGCGGCAGACGGCGAATGATGCGTACCGCTCGCTCTGGCTCCGCCCGCCACGCTCCTGCTGCCCAACGGCGGGTTAATCCTCGATTTCGCTGACCCACCGATCCCGCTCACCTCGGGCAGTGTAAATATTTTGAATTTTGCCGGTAAATATGGCGGAATTGTATTTTCCAGAAACGGCTCGTTACTTTCTCTCGCGCTGCGTGTGTGTGTTGGTGCGACTGAGTAGGCGACGACAGGCGCTACGAATGCAACCCTGCGCGCGCTTTGTGTATATGTCAAGCGTTGTACGTGCTTTCAGTCACTACACCTGCTCACTTTGCTCCCCAAAACAAAACAATTTAATGACAATTATTAACTAGTAATTGCATTTCAATAACCTGCAACTGGTAAACCGTTTATTAGCTGTAAATACGGCGGCGTTCTGTCTATCGATAGGCGATAGGTTTGTTGTTCTGCCAGCAGGGTTGCCACCCCACACGAAACAAATGCGCAATAACAAAAAATAAATAAATTAATAGATTTCATTTTTTGTTTGGCTATTTACAAATCTGTGCTCTTAAATAACTAGTTGAATTTCTTTAGCAACAGCACTTCCGGTAGATAAATACGCTTTAGTTTTGCCTCCACAAAGCGCTCGTGCTGGGGTTTCAATTGCTCGACGTTGTGGTTAAAATCAGTCTTGTTAAAATGCACCGACTTCCTGTCGGCACTCAGGGATATATTATAGTGCCGACATTGATCCTGAAGTCCTGCCGGTCCATCGATTAACAGTAAACGCAACAAGTAAGGAACCGGCACCGTGAGCTGTTTGTTGTTGTAGGCATGCGTGAAAATCTGCAGCAAACTCCTGAAAAAATTTTAATTACTATTATAATTCTAAAAATACAATTATTATAATACCTTCTTATCGATTGCAACTTGGTGGCAGCCAAGGCGCACAGAATGTGTGGCAATTGGGGCAAAGCCAAGAGAACTCTGTATAAATTTCCCTGCTGAAACGCTAAACAGATACCAAAACACAGCTTAAAGGTCGCATCCTGACGCACATGATCCGGTAGGATGAGGGCACGAGCAAAGGACTCGGGAGAGCCTAGATTGAACACCTGATATAGGCACTCTATAAAGCATCTTCGCTCCAGTTCACGTATAGTGGGCTCTACCGAGGATTCCTGGCCTTCCAGTTCGTCATAGCAGCAAAGCACTCCGGTGAGGCACTCCTGCAAATGCTGGTTGCAAATCTTCGGATCAAACTTCTCGATGGACTCCTCGCACAACCGATAGCGACTGTAGGCCAGGAACATGACAATGGGCTCCAGCAACCGGATCTTCTGACGGGCATCGTACATCTGTATCACAATCTCACGGCGTACAGCCCTCAAGCGATCGAAGATGAAGTCGTAGGCCTGATTATAGGGCTTCCGAGTGTCCAGTATGATGCTACAAAGTTAATTGATTAACTGTACAAGTTGATATTAACACCGAAATACTTACTCCTTGAGCAGATATTCCACCGTTTTGGTTAAAGCCGCCTCTGTGCGCATTTCCTTGGGCAGGGGCATCTTAACATCGGCGGCGGAGCGCGTAAACTCCTTGACCAGGACTCCCGGAGTATTCTTCTGACCATTCTTCAGTTCATAGTAGTGCAAAAGCTTCTCGCGAATTCGCCTGAAATAAATTTAGTTACGCTCTATGTAGTGCATATAAGGAATATTATTTGAGATACCTACATTTTGGCCTCTCCATCGGGACAGAAACTTTCGCAAGATCCTCGAACTTGGGCCATTTGTTTTTGTTTGATAAATGTTCCGTGCAAACAATCTCCGCCCGCACAAACAAACCAGGGCTGAAGAAATCGTTGATCAGGGGTGTAGGAAAACCTTTTTTGTGGGGTTCAAGAAAATAACAACTTTTTTCTAAAATCTGCAGGGAGACAACAGAAAGAAAGGCTGATATTTTTTAAAAGTGTTCTTAGAACATTTTGGGCTAATAACCCAACATTTCCAGAAATTGATAATGGTTTACAAAATTATTTTATTAAATCATAATTAATACAATTTGAAATTTTCATCCGTAATATTTTGAAAATTTAACGCACCTTGTTTTTCAAACCCCCCTTGCCACGCCGCTGAAGTAAGCAATCAGCTGTTTGGGCGGGCTGGGTTGTCAGGTTGTTTCGACTTTAAATTTTAGTAAATTTCGGTTTCGTTTTTCCTGGCCCCGCTCAAAACGGAATGCTTTCACGACATCTAGGAGCGTTTTTCCGAAACAAACGCCATGTTTTCAAGACATTCAGTGCCCACCTTCGGAATTTTCTTGCTACCGGCTTCAGCAACAGGTTTTCCCTGAGGGTGGCAACTCTCCTCCCTTTGGTAATCCTCCGATCGGCGGATTGCAGGCAAAAAGATGGTCAGGAGGTGAGGCGACCGGGTCGGAAGCGAACCATGAGCAAGGTCAAGTACGAGACAAGTTTGGAGGGCAGGGCTCAGCTGTATCTCAACGCCATGAAGACGCGGTGGGAGCAGCTCCACAAAATGCCCGGGCTGTTCTCCTATCAACTGCAGAAATCGCCTCAGGGCCGGAAAATACCAGGAAATTGGGGGTTCTACACGGAGGTGGGAATCCATAATCTATAGACACATAAATTAGACCCTTCTTCTCCTTTCAGCTCAATGCAGAACGATCCCTCAAGCGCCGCCGTCCACAGACTATTGAGAACCTCAATCCCACCTTCAAGCCCTCAATGTTTAACTTCAACAAAGTTGATGCTCGCGAGATAATCATGACAATTGATGATGCCAACGGCAGTCCCGAAGTCCAGATGATCATCAACAAGAGCCCCATCACCAAGTATCACACTCTGATCTGTCCGGAGGTGGGAAAGAATCATGTCCAGCGAATTACCCGCGAGGTACTGCAGTTCTGCATCACCTTTCATGCGGAGCATCGATGACAAGGACATGCGCATGGGTTATAATAGTCCTGGTGCCCTGGCCTCAGTGAACCATCTGCACTTTCACCTACTCCACATGCCCCAGGATCTGTATATAGACCAAGCCCCCTTGGATGAGCTGGTCGGCGGTTATGTCTATCGATTGAGCCGCAGGGCGCCCACGGAAGGCATCTGTATGGTATTCAATGAGAGCGACTGCGATGAGTTAGTGGCGGAAAAGGTGGAACAGCTGTACAAGCTGGCCATGTGGATGTGCCAGAAAAATATGCCGCACAATCTGTTCATCACACAGGATCGTAGACCTGGCCAAAGCGGTAACGTTCAGGTATTCGTGTTTGCCCGTTCCGAATACTGCGTTAACAAGGATTTGGCCGACTTCAATGTGGGATTCTGCGAGTTGGCTGGTTACATTCCCGCTGCCAGGTGAGAAAGTCATTCGTGGGAACTTTAAATCTAAGGCTCACATATTTTACAGATCCCGATAAAGTGGAGAATCTGACGGAGTTGCAGGTACTCTTCAGGATTCGCACTGTCACTGGCGATGCTCCAAAGGCTGTATATGAGGAAATAACGCATATTGTCGAGGGACGAGAACAATCGCTTTGGGACCTGCCCCTGACGATATAGAACACTTGAAATAAACAACCAGAGGCTTCTTTCTAGGCTAACTTTACTGTTTGATTACTGTCACACTGCTGCAGCTGCGAATCCTTTGCCCATGGTGGCCTTGCTGATAACCTTGGTGTTGGCAGCAATGGAATAATCCACCTGGGACTTGCCATTCTGATTCCTCACCAGCTCCGTCAATTGCGGCAGCGAATCGTTGGCCACACTCTGGCTTATTGCCTCAAAGAAGGCCATGTAGTGATGCAGGTTGTGACTGGAAGAGGTAAACATATAAAGCACCCTTAGATAAGTTAAGATAAGCCACTTACATCATTAGTAATATGGGACCTAGTAGCTCATTGGTTTTGTAGAGGTGATGCAGATAGGCACGCGTGTGTTTCTGGCAGGTCAGGCACTTGCAGTTGCTCAGAGGCGGCGTAAAATCCTCTTTAATAGCTTCATCTGTTACATCCAAGAAAGGCTTATGCTCTCCTGCATCGTGCACAAAACCAAATGTCAAAGCCTTGAAGTTCAAGGAGGCACAGTAGGCGTAAGAAGTGTCGAACACATCGATTCCCTGGCTGATGAGTTCTAGAACAGTTACAGGTGTATAAGCCCCTGTCATTAGCCTAGGCTTGTCCTCTTCCAGCTGCTTAACGCAGTGCTCCACAATGCTCAGCAGTTTGGAAGACTCCAAAGTGGTGGCCGACAATCCATTCGTGTGGAATCCCTCGAAAATATAGCCCCCATAGCTTCCCGCTGGCTGCTCCCGGGCATGCTTGATGGACTGCGTCCTGGCAAAGGTATTGTAACCGCCGACAATGGGCGCCAGCAGAGTGGACTCCACCTTGCCGCGGTTCTCGTAGATGTAGTGCATAAACTTCTCCGTCCTATCGACTGATTTCTGAACCCTCTTCTTTGCACTCTCCAGATTTGTGTCCGCATCGCAAAGTCCCTGGTAGATGTCCGGCTTAAAGCTGGCCACCATTTCCAAGTAGCGCTCGGGACTAAGCGATTCCTTGCCTCTTCTCGTGAAGAGTGGCTGAATGTCCCGGTCGTTGCCACCCGAAGGCGTTGATTCACAGGGATCTCGCAGCAGAAGGATGTTCGGCAGTCCGGGGAATCCCACGTAGTCGCTTAGTCCGCGATCTCCGCTGCTGTTCCATTGCTTCAGTGCCTCCGCCATTTGGTCCATGGTGGACAACGTGAACTGGAGCACCTGTGGCTTCCGGCTGACATTGCTCTCGAACACATCAGCACTGAGCCACGGAATACTGCCTCCTTTAGTCGTCTGCAGTAGAAGCGGAGTCCTTAGCTCGGGTCCTCCATCCTTGATCCGCAGTTTACCCAGGCGGCCTGAGTTCTTGGTGATGCTCTCGATCGTGAACTTCATGCCGGCTCGAGTTTTTATTTATCTTTGGAATGAATAATACCAACCGCACGTTTAAGCGGTCACCGATATCGATAGCCGATAGCCAACATTGCAGGCCTTTTGGCTTTTTATCTCTAGATTTGGCTACCAGTAATGACACTTCTCATGCTTTGTAGCTAAATTTAAATCAGCTTTATCTGTCCAAAATATTTTATTGACAGCATAGTAAGAGGCCATATATTAAGTAATCACATTTCCGGCGATTTTTGACCCCCTTTTGCTTCAATTTTCTTGACTTCCAACTGTTCGAATAAGAAACTTTTTCAAACTTTTGATGTGAATACGATCTGACAACCCTGGACAGTTGGCGCCCCTATTCTCCTCGTTCTTGTTGTTGTTTCCCCAATCCAATGCCCAGTTGATTTCGACTTTTCGGCGCTTCACTTCGCTTTCGGGGGCTTGTTCGCTTTTGGAGCTCCACTGGCGCTGAGTGGATGATTTTATGCTGTATGCGCAGCGCACTTGATGGCAATTGTTGTCATTGTTTTAGTCGTGTGTGGAATCGGATGTTCGGTGTCTCCCTCGCACAGCGGTAAAATGTGTGCGAGTGTGTTCCGTTCCGTTCGCGTCGTTCATTGATTTCCTAATTAAGTTTATAATTAAAATTAATTGAAAAATTACTCATGTATGTACGTATGTGCATGTACGGACATGTAAATTGGATGACCGCGTGTGAAAGCCTATTAAATAAGTTATGTTATGTGCTTACAAGTTCCCCTCGCATAAACATACAAACATATGAACCTACGTACATATGAATAATAAATTGCTTTGAATTCGAAAACGAAATTGTGCCAAAAACATCAGCAGCTAAAGAGGTAATTAGAATAACAATAACGCAGATGCAGCTTTTTAAATTGATGACTTCCTTGCGGTCGCCGTTGTGCTTATAATTAACAGAGTCTGCTGCGGCAATTACATTATTTATTCTAACAAAACGACTATAAAAATTCCTTGAATAAAAAAATTCCATCGCAAGTTCAGAAATCTCCTGGCTGCCAGTGTTGCCAACCGCCCGCACAGCCGTGGCCTTGGCGAGATCGCTACCTGTTCACGTATTTTACGACCCGAAAGAGTCGTAAATGTGAAAGAACTGTAAAAACTGCAATAAAACTTAACATTTATGCGCGTTCCAGGTGGTCCTGCCAAACGCCCAACGATGTGGCAACCCTAGGCAAATGAACTGTTTTACCTGCCCAAAACGCACAACAACAATAACTAAAAAGAACAACTGCAGGAACGAAAGAGAGAGCGGGCAGCTCAACGGATAATTTAGTGGAATTTTCAAAAATAGCAAAGACAGCAACAACGGCGGCGGCCATAATCCCCCAGCGAGAGCACAATAATCAAAGATTAAATCAGGTTTATATAGAAAGGGTTAGCATGGCGCAGGAAGAAATACACGTTTCCTAGCGCAGCAACAACAACTACAAACACCTACAACTGATTACACTCACACACGACGTGGAAAACGCGAGAGCGCGAGAGAAATATTGTTTATGCGGGGAGTCTTATGAATTCAGGAAAAGCTGTTCATGCGATATGGGATTTAATGAATTAATAAAAAATACAAGTAATCTTATTAAGTCGACCAACAACATAAATAATTATAAAAACGAAATTTTTAAAGTTTACATATAATTTAATAAAATAAAGCTACGAAATTAAAGAGATCTTAGTTCGTGAAACAACAAATTATCATGAACTGAAAGCCTTTTAAGGACTTGCCATAAACACAGTAACAGAGCGAGAGAGAGGCAGACAAAAGAGCGGCGACGCCGGCAGAGGCAGTGGAGAGCATAAATCGCTGTCGCAGCGCTCGCTTGCATGTTTTTCGCTCATTTTGCTTTCGTGTGCGTTGCGGCAATGTCGTGTTTTCTCGCGGCGGTGAAAACACTCTGCAACAACTGTAACAACAACAGCAACAACGATAAGATTTTCCGTTTTTCCGTATGGAAGCAGAAGCACTAGCGGCATTTGTTTTGAAAGTAAAGCAAAGGCTGGCGAGAAAAACGAAAATATAAAACAGAGGAAGACGGAAAAAGCAACGCCGCTGCCGACCGCGCCTCGCTCTATGTGTGTGTTGTGTCTGTGTGCTTATGTTTGTGCGTCTGTGAGCCTACCGCCTGTCTGTGTGTAAGTGGGCGCGAACGTAAAGCCGAAAAGGAAGTGAAAATAGTGCAAAAAGGCCAAGTAATAATAATAATAATAAAATAGGCAAAAAGACAGGCCCCAAAAGAGACCAGACCAGTTTCAAAAAGCGCCTATTTCCAGGCTCATTGCTGCCTATGTATTAGTACGTGTGTGAGCGGCAGCAGCAGCAGCAGCAACAACAACAACTAGAAGCGACCACATACGGTGGAAAAGGCCTTTTTTCAAGGAGCGAAAGGCAGTGCGCGAGCGAGCAATAAGAATAATAAATTACACTTTGCTATAATAAGAAAAATTTATACATACACACACACGCGGGAGAGGCCCACACAAACACACATGTGTTTTCCCTCGCTGTGTCGGAGTGGAAAATTGTAATAAAATATGAACCGCAGAAGCAGCGGCCAAACGAGAAAAACGAGAGAAAATTTCGAAATATCGCATGTGCCATTTTAAGCTTTAAATAAATTATAACGTACAGTATTACCCAAAAATATAAAAAAAAAAATAAACGAAAAATACAAAAAACAATCCAACAAAATGTCCTGCATATCGAGCAACTTCAGCTCCTTCTTCCTCAACTCGCTCAACGATCCTTCAGAGTTTTCCAAGTACTTGAGCAATGGCGAGCTCAAATGCACTAATTTCGAGGAATTTCAAGTGTTTGGCTGCGGCGCAGGCGCGCCGACGCAACAGCAGCAGCAGCAGCAGCTACAGCAACAACAACATTATCAGCAGTATTCCCACACACATTTACCCAATGGCAGCCCGGCGGCAACGGCAGGAGCGGATTTTCCCAATTACGAGCCAACGCAGACGTCGCACCGGGAAAATTCCTCCTCCGCTAACTCAGGTAGCTCTGTTAATCCCGCACACTACGCTTCCGCCGCTGCCTCGGCCTCTGCCGGCGTCGAAGCCAGCGTAGCCGCGGCGCCGACGTCGAGTGGTGGCGCAGCAGCAGGATCCACCCCCCTCACCGCCACCCCGCCGAGCAATCGCTGGCCCACGGCGGTGGCCACGCCCAATGGCCATCAAGCCACCGCCTCGGCGGCAGGATCAGTGCCCCAGCACTTCGATGGATCCTTTGAGTTTATCAAATATCTGCGTCACTCCACGGACTTTACACCCAGTTCGGCGAGCAGCGCCAGCGAAAGCATCGCCTGCCCGGAAAAGTCAGTTGTCAGTGGAAAGCCGGGAATCCCGGCAGGCACCACACCACCCCCGCCTGCCCAATCGCCCGTGGCCAGTGGTCTAATCGATCTGGATACCAGCACCTCGCAGAAATCACGCTCAGCTTCCCGCAAAGTGGCCGCTTTGTTGTCTTCCGTTTCGCGGGCTTCCAACAGTCTGGTGGACACCAGCTCCTCCGCCCTCGATGTCTTCGATCACGACTCGAAGCAGACGATCTTCGATCTGCAACACATGGCCTCCAACGGGTCTTCCAATTCGAATGAATCCTCGCTGGAGATGCTAGCATTTCCCAATTCGCACCTCAATGCCTCCAATTCGAACACCTCATCCGAAGGAGCGGCCTGCGGAAGTGCGGGCGAGTTTGGGGGGCTGCTAACCGGCGCCAGCTGTTCCTCCTCGACGGCCTCGTCATCCTCGCATGCCCCCAAACTCCTCGGTAGCTTTGTGATCAAGGAGAACTTCGAGGTCCATCCGTCGCACAAAGTGGAGGAGGGCATCTTCCAGCATATGAACAAGCTGCCCTCGAAGAAGAAGGATACGCTGAAGCAACTGGGCGTCCGGTTCACCGGACAAATGACGCTGACGGACAAATCGATTGTGGTGGAGAACTTCATCAAGTTCTGCGAGGTGAGTTACGAGTTACGCTTCCCGAATTAAAAAGGGGTTGGGTTTCAGAGGTTTTCGGGGTGTTAGCGAGTCAAATTTCTCTTGCCCGAGAGAGCTCGGTGCCCATTTCCATATGCAATTTAAATATTTGCACATATGTACGCATTACGTATTTATTTATAATGATGGTCGGGAACAGGGCTTGTTGGGGTCTAATTAGGGGTGGCCACCACCGCTTTCCACCAAATGTTCATCAGATGTTTTCAGATCTAAGGGAGCAATTTCGGAGGAAGTAATTATATGAATTTCTATGGTTTTATTTTGTTAAATAACGATCGAAAACTTTAATGTCGCGTAAGAAATATTAATAAATGGCTTCAAGCTGGGGGTCAATAGATAGTTATTTGATAACAGCAACTGCTGATAAGTCACTCAATTAAAGGCCTGAATTAAAGGTCAATTTATCATAGGTCTTATCTAACTGATACTATTTCACATAACTTTGATGATGTAGCGCACAAAACACTTCAAATAGGGTAATAATTTATTTATGTTAATTTGTTAGTACCTAAACATTTCTTTAGATTATTATAAAATATGTATTACTATCCCAAAATTAAAATGTAAAACTTTTTTCTGTGCAAGCGCCACCTATATAAATATATAGTACATACAATTTGGGATATTCATAATATAAACATGCACCCTATCTATATCCTATATCACACACACACTGGCGAATTTCCACCCACGTTCATGCCCATACACGCATTCAGGATTCCGTTTGCCCCCCACTCACACAAATGTCATTATAAATTGTAATAACAGGAGCAGTGATGCCGACGCCGCAGTCAACGTCGACTGCAGCCAACCACAAATTCAGCATACAACTGTAATCATGTGTGCTCAATGTATGTATGTCTGTGAGTTCTAAACACCTATACATGCGGGGGGGGTTAAATCCCCATCGCCCCTCGCCCTTCTACCCCCCTTCTGTACAAACACACATACGCAGACACGTTTGGCGCCCTTTTCAACACTATGGCAGTCAACCCCAAACACTCACCACGCTCATTACGCTCCGCTTTATCACACACAAACACATACAGAGTCACATCTAGATTTGTTGGCCACCCATCGCACCACCCAACCACCTCCCCCCCCCCCTCTCTTAAAAACTCGCACACACAGAAACATTCACCAAACTATGTACAAAATGGCATTGATGGCATAATACAACAAAAGCAACAACAACTACTAGAGGGGGGGAAATTACGAAGAAGGCGAAGCAGAGAGGAAGCTAAAACCCCACCGCTATTACAACATTTTAGTTCTAAGACGCTCTCTTTTACCTACTTGGCTCCCTAACTCAAAATTGTTGCGCTCTCTCATTTCTGCAGTAGCTGCTCTCTCCTGGCTCCCACTTTCTCTCTGCCCTCTCTGCTTCCCCAATTCAAAACTTACTTGAAGGCTGAACTACCAAAGTGTGTGTAGTTGGGGGTGTGTGTGTGTGAGGTTGGGGGTGTGGGTGTGGGCAACCCCCAAAAGCTTGCTATTGAGTAATTGTATGTGGTCCCCCACCTTCTCCACCTCCTCCTCCTCCCCTTCTTTCTCCTGCTCGTCCTTCGTCTTCTTCTTCTCCCTTAGATTCTTTGGCTTCCACTCCTTACTTTCTCATACATACAATCATCAAGTTACTTGCAGGGGGAGGGGGAAGTGGAGGGTGGGAAATGGGGAGACGTCGGACTGTCCGCTAGCTGCTTGGGCATGTCCTTTTCCTTTTCCGACTCTCTCGATTTCGGTGTGTGTATGTGTGTGTCTGTATTTTATCAACACATTTTATACATGTCTCTATCGGAGGGACCATTAGTACAGTATTACTTGCCTAAGATTAAAGTTGGACAAAGTTAATCACTTTTTGTGATTTAAATTAGGCTTAAGACTTTGCTCAATATAATAACGGATTGTAAACGATCGGTAATTATATGAACTAAACAAATTTGGATTTCAATTTTAAAATTAGTGAGTATTTTCAAGACTAACAAAAAATAAAAACTAAAAAAAAAAAAAAAAAATAAAATAAAATAAAAATTTTGAAAAAAGAAATATGAAGATAGATAAAATTTTATGACTGAAAAAAATCCTTATGAAAAGAGTTGAATGATACTTTTGAAAGGTCACTGATACGGAAGTTGGACTGTAAGTGAGGCTGTGGATGTGTGAGTCGCCCAGCGGCAGCGTTGAAGGCTACTAAGTGCGCATGCAGTCAGCTCACCCACACAAGTGCACTAGGGTTTGCCCAACTTTGCGGCCGTATGTGTGTGTGCAAAGGACAGCTTAGTGGATGGGAGGATGAGAAACGGTGTGGGGTGGTGGGTGGCTGGGCGAAAAAGGGGGTGGGGCTTGGGCAGGTACAATGTCTCGGCTTCGCACAATTTACGCGCACACACACACTCACACTCATACGTGGAAAAGCAGGCGCACATATGGGGCATTGATTATAATTTTAAATTATACATATGTATGCGGGCACATACAGATATAACTGTACTTGCCGCATATAGTCATCATATACCGGATTTTAGATGTGTATATATGTATGTATATGGAGGCGCACATATGTTTGTAGGTTTGTATAATTCTAACGCACACATCAAATATTTAGCTTTTGTGCAACGTTTTGTCGCCTTTTGGGGCACACACACACACACAACATTAAATTAGTGTGAGGTGTTTTTTTCCGGAATTTAGAGCGCATTTAGAACGGGTTTACCTTAATTAAAAAACCCCAAATTAGTTGCCTAATGAAAAGGTGGAAAGCGGGGAAATGGGCGAAAGGGGTGGTGAGAGCTGTAACCCTTAACCCTTTAAAAACCTGTTAAACGAGGAACACACGCACCAAAGAGTGAAAGTGTGAAAATTTCCCCCACTTTTACACACAAACGCACAGGCAACCCTCGCAAAAGGAATCAAAAAATCATGGCAGCAACAGTCAAACGTTCGGCTTTTGTTGCTGTTGTTTTTTCTCGGCACGCACAAGCAACACCCACAACAACATGGGAAACAACAACAGTAGAAAGGAAAACAATTCACACTTGTCTCAATACAAACAACAACAAACCGCATCACACCACAGACAACAACCGCAATCCCGCCACACACACACAAACACGGGCGCCCCCCAAACACTCGCAGACACCCGCACATCCACACTCACGTACACTACGTCACGCACAAACACAAACCATGTCTGCCAATAAGTTTGCAAAAAAAAAAAAGGAAAAAGAAACAAACAAAAAAACAGAAAACAAAAAGCGAACACTGGGAGACGCAATGAAAACAGAAACAGAAAACAGCAGCGAAAGCAAGAACAAAATACCGCAACACATTGCCACTGCTTTCATTCTTCTTTTCCTGGTTCTATTTGTTTTTTTTTTTTTTTTTTTTACATATTTGTACCCGTTAGTGGTGGATTACTAGGGTATATTGTAATTAGGAAAGATATACACCGATAATATGTAGATCAGTCTGCTTAAAATCTGTAAGTTGTAATACTTCTACAAAAACGACATAGGGTATAGGAATTCCATTGCATACTAAGCTTGCCACGCCCCACGTTTTTTTATTACCAAACGGGTTGATTTACGTTCTTACTCTTCTTTTTTTAGTCAATTAAAATAAAATTCTAATTAGACGAATAGGCAGTATCCTTGAAGTTAACCCTAATAAGTAGGCAATACAATTTGTAATTGGTTGTTTTTTAAAAACAGAAATTTTTCAAATTGAGGTCTCCATATGTTGTAATAATTGGAATGATACCTTCAAGGACATATAAATTTAAAACTTCTTTTATAAAAGAGGTTGTATCCACTTATATTTAGAACTTCGTGATATTTAAGGAATGATAAAATACAGGTCTGGTTTCAAATAAACTATTTTTAAACTTTAACCAAATAGAGGGTATCAAATAGTTGGGAATATAGTGCAGTATTGTAGTTTTTTGTGCTTTCTGACTGCGATACAGTTGAGTGGCCATGGACGTGGGCAGAAGGGGGCGTAGGGACGTACCACTTGGCCCATCGGCTTGACAGCAGCAACAGTGCGGCACTAGCCCCCAAAAACCACGATGTGCGCCACACCCCCCTTTTGGATCCCAACGCCCCCGCATAGTTGCTTGTTAATGAGACACCTGGAGAAGTGGCCAGGTGTCGGCTGCCTGTCATCGCTGAAAAGGAGAGAAAAAAAAAGCAGAGAGATTGTGGAGTGGCTGTCAGCCTGAGTTTTCCTGTTCCTCATCTGAGCGGAGTTTAAAGTTCCCGGTTACTATTTTCCCCAAAAGCAAGATGGCACGTCACTCCTTTTTGCTCTATTGATTTTTAACATAATCAAAACCCAAAATGTATGCAGGCACTCACACACAGAGACAGAAACGTACGGGAGCTGCTCAGTCAGCAATTCGCATGTGTGAGAGACCCTTTTTTGGGGGTGAGTGTGGGTGGTGGGGTGGTTGGCAACCCTGGGTGGGTTGGTGGAAACCCTGATTATGAGGATGTTGATAAGTTCCGACGACGAACGGAACTGAACTCTCTGCCAAAGCCGAAGACTCGCACTCACACAGTCGTCCATTAAGCCGCTGCCTGCGCCTACCATCCTAGCTGCTATCACACACAGACACTCTCAAACACAGACACTCACAAACACACATACACTCACACGAAGAGGCTTTCATGGTAACCCTTTGAAAAGGGGGGCTTTTGCAAATAACCCCAAACCCCCCGTTTTTTGGGGGAAAATGGCTTCATTGAAAATGTTGTTTGCTTTTCTATTTGGGTTTGCTTTGCTGCCTTTTCTGCTTCCTTTTTCGCTTCGCCCTATTCTATATTTTTACACTATAAAATATACATTGTAAGGTGTGGTGTGTGTGTGTGTGGGTTAGTGTCTGTATGTGTGGAGCTTTTGCTTTGGCATGTTATTCAGACCCATTTTCCTCCCATACCCCCCTTTTCTGCCCGCCCATCGTCCTTTTGCAAGTTTTTGGCTTTTGTGTAAAATTTTCGTTTTAAACTTTTGCGTTGTACACGAATTATAAGTTTTGATTAGTAGTGGGCAAAGTTTTCGCTCGCATGTGTATGGGTTTTTAAAGGGGGGTGGTGGGGGGTGGATTGGTAGTTTTTGGTTTCCACTGAACATATAGGTATTACTATACATTATGTAAAGCAAATACATATGTGCAGTCATAGAATTTGACGTCAATGAATACACATATACATTTACGTGGAAAAACAGCCTAAAAGTCGAGAAAATTATGCTAAAAAGTGGTAGAATGGGGGGTGGGTTCTTACATGAAAGGTGTAAGCGGGTTTAAAACTAATGGAAGGGTGGTTAGAGGGGAAGGGGGTGTTACCAACCCGTAAAACCGGTATGTCTGGAAAATTACCTATCAACAAGAGTTGGATTTCTAATTTAATTTTTATTAAATTAAATGGCATTTCTACTTGGGTGTCTGAAACTAGAATAAAAGGGATTTCAATGTTTTAGATAACACCCCTATCATACATTAAACTATTATATAATACAACTGGAATATCAACTCGATGGGTTAGGAATTTTAAGAACATATTAGAACATTTATGGCTTCTACATCTGGCATATGTACTAATTTTACCCCTTTATGAACTATCCCCAACAGGAATACGATATCAAGGACCACAGGCCATGGCTGTCGCTGAATCAGTGCGGTCTGAATAAGCCCGAGCAGATCAAATTCGCTCGATATCTGGGCCAGGGACTGCCGACGTTCACGCTCTTCTGCATTTATAGCAATTTTAAGAATCTGTTCTGCACCAAACGCACGGAAATGTGAGTATCATCTTCTCATCCTCATCCTCTCCCCCGATAATTGAATATCCTTGCCGAACTTTGAGTAGCCTAAAAGCATGCTATTATAATTGATGAATGTCCTTTTTCTGTAGCTACACGAAGGACGGCTACAATCTGCCTTACATACTCGACAAAACCAAGCGCTTCCTGGCCAACACAACAGCTGGTAAGTGGAATCTATATCTAAATATAGATGTAGATGTACCCCCTAGACTTCCCCCCTCTCCGCCGCCATCCCCGAATCCCGTGTAGTGCAAATGCAGCAGCAGGCATCATCAACCAAAAATGTATTCAGGCAGAGGAAAATTAATAAAAAAGCGAGACATGAAAGCCGAGAGGCGAATGTGCTAAATTTTAAAAATACACTCGAAACTAGAAGTGCTTACATTCATTTTTATGATTTCTCTACTTTGCACTTCTCATTTCTATTTCTATTTCATGCACTTTCCGTTTTATTTTCAAAAAAAAGAAGAAAATTACAAAAAAATCAGAGAACTACCTACAATTTGGCCTGCCTATTTTTGCAAAATTTCGTAAAATAATCAATTTTGTCTGCGTGCGCTTAAAGCGAACCAAAAAAAAAAAAAACAAGGAAAACAATTTTAATTTTTGACTTCAATTTGTTTGTGTTTCCTCTTTCTTCTTCTTTTTCCAACGCATACGCTTTCAATCACTAGGCGACAATACCAACAACAACAACAACATCACCAACAACACCAGTAACAAGACCAACAACAACACCAGTACAACAAGCACATCCACACCGGTCAAACAGACACCACAACAACAACAACAGCAATCCGAGCAAGATCTGCTGGCACCCAACTCACCTGCAACACCGAAACTCGCAGCAGCAGCAGCGGCGGCAGCGGCACAAGCAACAGCAACGGCGGCAACAGCAACACCAGTGGGAGCAGTCACGCCCACACAGACACTGCCACGCACAAGGCCTGCCACGCCCACAATGCCGGCAGGAGCAGCAGCCGGAACGCCCACCACCCCACAACAGCAGCAGCAGCAGCAACAGCACCTGCAGCAGCAACATCAACAGCAGCAACAACATCAACAGCAACAACAGCATATGTTGCAACATCCGCACCCTCATCCGCATGCCCAGCTTTCGCATCCGCACACGCTACCCCACTCACATCCGCACCACTTGCAGCCCGGAACGCCAACGCGCAGTTCGCATCCCCAGCTGCAACATCCGCATCACTATCCGCCATCGCCGCATGCACATCCGCACCATCATCCGCATGCCCATCATGCCTTTGCCTACGGCCATGGTCATCCGCATCCGCAGCAGCAGCAGCATCATCCGCACTACTATCCGCATCCGCACGCGCATGTCCAGCATATGGCGGCCATGGGATATCCGCAGGCAGCTGGCGGAGCAGGAGGTGTCGGGGGTGCCGGAGGAGCTGGAGCAACAGGAGCAGGGGCCGCAGGAGGAGCTGGTGGCGGGGGATTACCGCCCACGGCCATGTGAGATTGGGGTCGGCGTGGCGCCAAGGACAGCGGTGGTGGCGCCACCTGTTGACACGCATAGGCTGTTGTGCAGAAAGGACATGGCAAAGGATTCAGGATTTCACCTACCATCATCATCCTCCCATCCTGTCCTAGTTTATATAGTTTTCCGTTGATGTGCATCGTCATACCGTATTTTTTAATGTGCTCCTCGTTTTTAGTTTATGTTTCGTTTATTTTAGACTAATTTTACACAAGCTTTTTGCCAAATTTTTATAAAACTATGCAAATTTTGTATTACGTTTGACGACGATAAAATGTAATTGTTGGACAACGATCGATCATTACCCCAAAACTATGCAATGTTATTCCTTGAAAAGAGATTATTACATTTACACATTACATTAAACACACACACACATCACACCTTTACACACTCACCAACACACAAACACACGAGTATAGAAAATCATGCTAATGCTATTTAATATGGTAATATATATAAATATATATTTTAGTAAGCCAAGAACAAATGATATGTATGTTAATGTAAAACCTAACTAAATCCTAACTAAACACAACATACGATATATATGGAAATTGTTTGCGAACCCAGAAAATATATATACACACCTAGCAAGAAGCGATTGAGAGAAAATCGATTTGATTGTTGTTTTTACTTGAGATTTATTGCCTGCGTCGCGCCTCTGCATTTGCGCTAAGTCAATTAATAAAGTGGAAAACTTTCCATCTCTGCGGGTTTCCAATTAAAAAGCGATTGCAAATGTTGCAATGAATGGTTATAGATTTCTTTCACCTTGGGGCCATTTTTATCATCGATCATCCCGAGCCAAGAACAACATGCGATGAAAGCTGAAATTGGTATTTTATTCAAGTTTTTAAAAACAATCGGAAAATGTATTTTAAACTATTGAAAACCTACAACTTTTGTCTTACTTTCAGGGCAGTTGAAATGTTTACTTAATTATTATTTAGTAAAAGGAAATAATGGAATGTATATTAGTTATTTTCAAAGTTATTTTAAAATTTAACTATTTTTTTTAAATATATTTTTTCCAAAATTTGTTCTAAGCTCGAGGGCGGTTTTGAATAAAAATCGATTTTCACACATGCTTGGAATGCGGCTTCCTCAGTGTGTTGGCTTTACGATTCTCTCTTGTAGACCTCAAGAACATGGCGGCGGCCAACGATGGCTCCCTGGAGTTCGCCAGCGGCAGCGGCGGCAGCAGCAGCAGCAACAGCAACACGAGCAGCAGCAACGCGAACATCGGGAGCAACAGCAACAGCAGCAGCAGCGGCAGCAGCAATGCGGTGTCTGGATCAGGGATTAATCCGAATACGGTGGCCATGCCAACGGGCTATGTGACACCTTCGACGGCGCAGCAGCAGCAGCAGCACCAGATGGCCATGGATCCGCGCTATGGATGTGCGGCTCCTCCGGCTCTTCTGCCTCCGCCACCGATGCCTGCTCTGGGTCCTCCGCCGCGATCCCTGGAGCAGCTCATCATCTACGAGAACTTCGACGTGCACGAAACGCACAGGATTGAGGACGGGGTTTGCACTCACATTAGCCGCCTGCCGCCCAAGAAGCAGGAGCTATTGAAACAGTTCGGTATACAGAGTAGTAGCCAGCATTGTCTGAGCAATTATGAAAAGTACATACTCATCGAAAACTTCATCAAGTTTTGCAATGTGAGCAAAAGTGTATCGAAAGCAGTTATCAGGAGGCACCACTGTAGTCTAGCGGAGATTTGTTCTTTGGCCCACCCCCCAATTGGCGTTCGAAACATTGGCTCTCCATCTATGTAGATCTCAAAATTGCATTCTCATCAATCGATTAAGAGGGCAATGAACAAAACTCTTGCCCGTCTGGGAAAGTAAAACGATCCTAACGTCTTTTACCATCTCCTTTCTTTTGTTTTCTTTCTGCTTGTAACTTTTAATTCGATAGGAATATCAGATATCCGATCATCGACCCTTTTTGGACTTCCACGAGAGCGCTTTATCCAAATGTGAGCAACTTAAATTTGTACGATATCTGGGCCAGGGGCTATCCAATCTGACGCTAAACAAAATCTATGTGGCCTTCAAGGAGCTGCTGGGCAATGGAAGGCCCGAAAAGTGAGCCCTTCATTAATATTGCCAAGTAATAATTAATTTAAAGATATTTTTTCAGAGCTGGAATGGAGGGCTATAATTTGGATAATCTTTTAAAGAAGAAACGAAAGAATCTGTATAATCGCATGCATGCCGCAGGTAAGTATTTAGATCAGGGGTGCTCAGTCCTATGGCACACGAGCACAATTGTTTTTGTAATAGCACTAAGCATACGGCAGTGCACTCGCAATGCTTGCCTATGCACGCCCCGAGTCCTCTTTGTGTCGCTGTCCGCAATAACGTATAAGAGCGAGCCAAGCCAACAACAAATTTCATTGAACTTTTTTTTCCTCAACTGCACAGTGCAAAGTGTTGTTGTCTTTTTCATGACTGTGCCTGAGTTGTTACTTGCGTGCGTGTATTTTCTTTTAATTGTGTTGGCAAGGGCACTGCCGTAAGGCAATTTTGAGCACCCCTGATTTAGATCAATTAAAGTCCTTGTATAGGAACAAAATAACTTTTCCCTTCATTACAGCCCCCAGCATTGATTTAACTGCCTACGAATCGGCCCAGCATAATCCCCAAGCACACCTGGCCACGCCACGCCCCCATCACGCCTTCGCCGCCCTAAATGCGGCGACGCAACGCAGCGAAGTATGCAACGAATTGACACACACGGGTTTGCAGTACAGTTACGCCGGACCCCGGTAAAAGCTTATAGCCCCATCCAAAGGAAATGCAATCCTCATCGCCAGATGAGAACCGAACCCTTATACATATACATATACTTCTTCCTGGAACTGGACCAGTAACTGTTGTGTCTTCGAAACATAAAAAGAAAAACATTGAAAACTAAGTGCTAAATTAAAAGGGGGGACAAAATCAGGGGTCCCCGGATGGAAAATGAAAATACCAGAGACACTAGTAAAATTAGCCTAAATGTTAACAAAATTAAACTTAAATCGAATGAAATTCAATTAAGCCAACCAGAAATCAACACGCAACAGGCAGGAGAAAGATTAGTTTAAGCCAAAAAACCAGATATTTATACGCCAGGTAACCATATACAACATATACATATTACGAGTATATATACACATAAATATATTTCTGTAGTTGCCATAGCGCTTAGGGTGCAGCACACTTCCACATGGCCAAATCCTGGCCAGAACTATACAAACATATTAGCTTCGGTTTCCTTCCAGCCATATCCCATATCCCAGATAAAAGAAAGCCCAAAGATTCCCATTCCCCCATGAGCCGCAAATTAGTAGTAGCCTCTAGTTGATAAGCGAAAAAACACCAAAATTAATGAAAAACACTAAATCAAAGACCTCCCAATGAAAGTTCCCTAAATACGCATACTAAGTAACTAACTGTAGAGCCTAGTTGTTAAGACGAAAGACAAATTTTTAGCATAGAACTGGCGAGCGGCACAGACGATTAACAAACTAAATATTCCTATATACAATATACATATTATATACAACAAGCAGCATCAAATTCAAAGTGGATATACGCAAAAATCAAATGCAAAGAGGCAGAAATACAACCAAAACATAGCAATTGTAAATGATATATACCAAATATATTCTATACGAGCAAACACACTCCAGTTGTTTTCTTCTTTACGTTACCGAAACTGTTTATTTAAATTTCTCACTATAGGTATTTAGGTATATTTAGCTTAACACGCAGAGGTGCGTACGATTAACTGGCAGAGAGCAGGATATTGAATATAAAAACTAGAGTACAGTACAAAGGCAGTTTCATCTAACTACTATTGAGCGATACTAACTGGCGCTCTGATCTTTATCTCCTCTTTTATTTGAAATCGCGGCAATTTGGAATTGCCCAAATGGGGGGGATATATATGCGTTAAATGCCTAGTTGGTCTCCTTTTTGCGCTGGGCCTGCTCGCGATCCAGCGCCCTCTGCTTGGCCTTCTCGTAAATGGGCATCAACTGCCCGGTCTCGCCGAGCATCTTCAGCAGCTCCACGATGAAGGGCAAGTAGTTGTGCTTGCGCCGCACATTCTCCACCTTGTAGCGCTTCTTCTTCTGGATCTCGTACTGGATGTAGGTGCGCAGACTGCTGATCTCCGTCTGTCGGTCCTCCTCGGTGTCCATGGCATTGGGAGCCGGGTTGAGCAGCTTGTCGATCTGCTGCTCGTAGATGCGCTGCCTGTCCGAGATCAGGGCCATCAGGTTGAAGTGGATCTCGCCGTCGCTGTAGCGCTGCATGCGCTTCTCGATGATGGGACGCACCACATCGATCCAGTTCTGCTCGGGCCTGATCTCCCCGAGATCGATGGGTCCCTCGCGCAGGCCATCCAGCTCGTACAGCCGCCCGCCGATGGGCATGTAGCCCACAAAGTGGTACACATCCTCGTCCTTGTTCTGGTTCTTCATGTCCAGCTCGAAGAGCGTCTGGCGGGCAAAGGAGTTGTGCACCGTGCGGATCTGACTGGCGTTGCTGAGGGTCAGCCCCTTGTTGTAGGGATCGAAGCACTGGCAGAACTCCTTGAAGTTGGTCAGCGTCTCGCCCAGCTTGATGTCCTCGTGCTCCAGGTTCATCAGCAGGCTCAGGATCGCCTGGGTGGCGCAGGCATTGTTGATCACCTGCTTGGCAAAGAAGATGTTCTCCCGATCCAGGACCACTTTGCCGGCGGGCTCATCCTCCTGCACCCACTTGAACAGGAAGATCAGGCCGTGGATGGGCTCCAGATTCTTGAAGGACTCGCTGTCCAGGCTCCAGATCTCCTCCACCTGGGCGCCATCGCAGCCTGAACGAGAAAAACCCATGGAATTATTAGCTTCTGCACTCCCAATTGCCGGCGTCGCTGGCAAAGCGCGCCAATAACTCACCGAACTCGCGAATCAGCTCCGTGAACACTCCGGGATCGGATTCGATGAGACACCAATTACCAGCACCGTCGCCCATTTTTCCCAATAATCACTTAATTGTCCTTCTACCGTAGATTTTAATCCGAAGAAAATTTAGATTTTACTGCACAGTAGAAATTTTTGTCAACTCACAGAGTGCGCGGGGTTGCCAGATGCGGCGATTTCGACAGCTGCTTTTGCAGCCCTGGCGAACCCAACGGCAACCCAACCCTGTCCGCCATGACACAAAGCGGTGTAAGAAGAAGCAGAAGACGAAAAAAATATGTGCAAGCAAATCTCGCGAAAAAATGAAATTTGCAGCACTTGCCGTGTGTGAAATGTGAACGCAGAGTGCACAGCACAACAACGAGACAATAATCAGCATTTAGTGTTTATTTCGAGGGCTAAAACAACCGCTGGACCGCCGTAAAGATGAAGCGAAAGAACGAAAATTGCCTGCTGCAGCAGAGGCAGCAACAAAAACGCTATTTGTCGTAGATATATGTACATATATTTACCATTATATATATATGTATATGCAAATCTATACATAATAAAGAAGTGTCCGTCGGTGAATCGGATGCGCGATAATAAATAATAATAATAAACGCAATTAATTCGAACTAAGAAGGCGCGCGCGACGAAGAGGAAAGAGGCGAGAGAAAAAGAGGCGCGAAAAGTTCGCAACAAAATGGTTGTCTCCAAAGACAACAACAAGCGTCGCCGCAAGGAGACGGAGACGCCTCCACCGCCTCCGCCCGTCCCGCCCACCGCCACCTCCACTTTGGCTCCTCCAGCGGCGGTGGCGGCCATTGAGTCCTCCCCCGAAATGCCCAAGAGGTGAGTCTATCCGTCTATCCGATGGATAATGTTTATGGGGCTTATCCAATAGTACTTACGTGTGTGTGGCACTACGGAGATGACGTCGCAGCGTTGGGTGATTCGACTAGGGGGTTGGGGATGGGAGTGGGGGGTTAAGTAAGGGGAAGGGGAAGGGGCAGACTCAGTTCAGTTGTTGTATAAGCCAGCGTCAACAGCGTGTCGTGGCGTTGTTGTTTTCCCCGACGAAGGGGTGTTTCGCATCCGCCGTTTTTGGGGGGAAGGGGGGAGCTGGGGGAGATCTCCCCTTCGACCAGGTGCATGTGTATGTGTATACAGTGGTTAGTCACTAAGCTGAATATTCGGCCAAGATAATTAGGCGATATTTACCTTCGTAAGCTGTTCAATTGCGTCGTTTTATTCGGCTACGTTGTAAATTCAGCCAGATGTCTTATTTTATATATATTTGTTTATACCTTTTACCATATTCACATTTAAGGAGAATGATTTAAATAATTTTTAAAATAGTGGTTACTTTTACTAAGGGGTATATTTCTTAAAATTTGAAAGATTTTTAAACATTTTAATTTTTTTCTTAGTTTTTACAATTTTAATTTAAATTTTTAAAATTTATAATGTAATTATAAGTTTAACCGAATTATTTAAATTTATATTATAAATATCAGTTTAACCGAATTAATTAAATTTATAATATAGTTATCAGTTTAACCGAATTATTTAAATTTATAATAGAATTATCAGTTTAGCCGAATTTATTAAATTTATAATATAGTTATCAGTTTAACCGAATTATTTAAATTTATAATATAATTATCAGTTTAGCCGAATTTATTAAATTTATAATATAGTTATTAGTTTAACCGAATTATTTAAATTTATAAAATAATTATCAGTTTAACCAAATTATTAAAAAACAAATTTTGACCTCAATGATTAAGCTTTAAGATAGCCTTCAGATAGAAGATACACGTTTAATGCTTAAAGGAAATATTTCATATTTCTTAAAGTAATAATTTTGCAATATCTCAGCCTTTTAAGAAGTCCTATCTAAACTTTTCCTTTTATCGATTGACCACTGTTTATGCTCCCTCGTAATTCGAAGCTGCGATGCTTTTATTATGATCTTAAATTAATATTGACTCTCCCAATTAGTATAATGTTGCCTTGTTGCCAATTACAAATCGCTCACACCGCTTTTCTCCTCACCTTCCACTTGCAGAACGAAGGTCCAGGCCCAGCGGAAGTTCGCCCAGGGTCAGAGTGCGCCCAGCAGCTCCTCGAGCCTCGCCTACAGCGCAGCAGCAGCAGCGGCGGCGGCAGCCGGAAGCGGTCCCAGCACCTCCGGAGCGGATAGCTCCCAGCCGCCCATCGAGATCCTGCCCAACAAGTGTCCCAAGGCGCAGGACTTTCTCACCTTTCTCTGCTTTCGCGGCACTCCGGCGCTGCCCGCCCACCTGGATTTCCTCAACCAGGGCAAGTCCAAGGAGGCGGAGGCCACCTCGGCGGGAGCCAATAACAATAACAATGGGAAGAAGGCCAACAACAGTCGAGCGGCGGGCCTGACAGCAGCGGGCAGCAAAAAGAAGCGAGGACGTCCGGCCAAAGGAGGCGGCAAGAAAGCGGAAACCGAACCCCCCTCAAAAGCAGCCAGTGATAAAACCAATCTCATTGCAGCCGGAGCACCTGAAGCTCCTTCTCCTAATCCTGTGCTGCCAGGAGCGGTGCGCAAACGAGCGGAGGTGGTCACCGATGGCAATCGACGAGGAGCCAGGGGCAGGCTACCAGTCGGAGCAGCTGTTACCCCTGAGAAGACAGGAGGAGCAGCCTCAACCAACGATACAAAGCGTCGCTCCAATCGCGCCAGCACCAAGGAAAGTAAGCCCATTATAGACGACGATCATTCAGAGGACTTCGAGGAGCCAGAAGCCGATGAAGATGAAGATGAGTTCTTCTCCGCTCACGATGCCACCTCGCGAAATGGGGAGGAGGTCAAGGTAGACAGTCCGGTGAAGGCGGAAGCACCCACCAAACGAGGACGACCGGCGGCGGCGGGCAAGAAAGCTGCGGAGCCATCGGAAACTTCGAAGGATAAGGTGCCCGTGAAGCGAGTTAGGCAACGCGAGTCGCCTATATTCATACCTTCACCCGAATCCTCTGGTCGCATGACAAGACAGCGGGCTTTTTTCGAGCCCGTCAAGGTTCCGCCGCACCAGGAGGAGCCTTCCGTACCAGAGCCTCCCAAGGAAGAGCCCAAAAAAGAACCTGAATCGCCAGCTAGCAAACCCGAAAAGGAGCCGGAACCTACTAAGCTCCAAAAGGAAGCCAAGGAGAAGACGAATTCCAGTATTTATGCCAAAGAAGCCAAGCAGCAGCTGGAGAATGGAGATACCGGGCAGCATGGAGCGACGGCCAAGGGCAAGAAGAGCCTGAATGTCTTCGATTTCAGTTCGGATGATGAGCAGCCGCTGGCCAAGTCCATCAAGCTGAAAAAGGGTGCAAAAGGGGCGAGTCCCAAGAAAGGAGCTGCTGCTGCAGTTGCTCCAACGGCCAGGAATCGCAAGGCGGCAGCTAAAAAGCAGGAGAAGGAAAAGGAAACCGAGAAGCAGAGGGAAAAGGAAAAAGTAGTAGAAAAAGAAAAGGCCAAGGAGAAGGAAAAGGAACCCGTACCAGAAAGCAAAGTGGAGGAGCCACCGAGTGGCGGGAAAAGAGGGAAGGCTGGTAAAAAGAAAGCCGAGGACGCGCCAGCCGATGAGCAGGAGTTGGCACCGCCCTCCTCGAAAAAAGCGGCCACCCAAGCCCGCGGATCTCGGAAGACTGCGAAGAGCAAGGCTTCCGAGGATTCCGCCGAGCTGGAACCTCAGCGAACGCAGCGACCCTCACGCAAAACCAAGGAAGCTGCGGCCATCTACATGGGCATCATTGGTCACAAACTGCAGCTGGCCGATGACGAGGAGGATGATCTGTCCATGAGCAGCTTTCCCGACATACCAAACGTCAAGGAGATGGAGAAGATGGAGAACGAGATCAAGCGAAATGCGGCGGGAAAGTTAAACGTGCCGGAGGCCACGACGGTGCCTTCGGCAGGCAAATCAACCCGTAAGCCGTCGCCCCGACCCAAGGATTCACCTGCTCCGGTGGAGGAAAATCCTCCCTCTTCACCAGAAGTTGAGGAGGAGAAGCCACCGCCTCCAGCGCGACGTGGTCGCCCGCCCAAGCTGGGCAAGACTGCCGTGACCGCTCCACCGCCCGCCAAGCCGCCCATCGAGGGAATGCTGGTGAAGAAGGGCTCGCTGGCCAAGATCTCCGAGCAGCAGGCGAAGCCCAAAGCCAAGTCCGAACATTCAAAAGTCGACTCCGACGAGGAGGAAGACTTTCTCATCAACGAGGAGCTAAACGAAACGAAGCGCAAGCTGGAGAAGAGTTTCAGTGACTCGGATGATGAACCGCTGGCCATCAAGGTGCCCGTGGTGGCGGCGGCGGGCAAGGAGAAGGAAGTGTCGCCGCCAAAGGTGAGCAGTCCGCCGCCTAAATTGGTCACGGTGCCATCGCCCATCTCTGTGCCCACGCCTGCCGTTTCGGTGGCTGCACAACCACAACCGACCACCACTAGCAGCACCACCACCACCCAATTGACCATGCTACCATTGACGGCCAAGGCTACGCCAACGCTGGGCGCCATGCCCATGTTTCCCTGCATGCCCGCCAGCTATTCACCGCTCAAAACGATGGAGAAGAAGCCACCGGTGCCGACGTCCAAGATCCTCAACGTACCCGCCACCTATGCGCTGCCGGGAAATGCTGGTGGTGGGCCTGTGGGTTTCCAAAAGACCTCGTCGTATCTCCCGCAGGCATCGCCGCACTACCATTCCGGCTACGTGCGTCCACCACCGACGCCCACGCATCAATTTGGCGGAGGAGGAGCTCCGTCGGGGAGTAAGACTCCCTCGCAGGGCTCCTCGCCGCTGAAATATCAAACGCCACCGACTACCTATCCGCCGCCCATTGAGGCGTATCAGTGTCCCAAGATCAATCCCAACTTTCTGACGCCCAAGTACGAACGCAGTCCACTGCCCAGATCCTCGACCAGCAGCTTTCCCAGCCCCTCGCCGGTCAAGTTTCTGCCCGCATCGGGAACCACGGTGGGTACTACAGTGGGCACACCTTCGTCGGCCACCAAGAGCCCGTTGGCACCGCCGCCACCCTCACCGCCAGTCAGTCAGGTGGTCATCCAGACATCCAGCTTGAATCTTAGCATGAGCATTGCGGCAACAGTGAATGCGGCACCTGTGGCATCCACTTCATCGGCGGCGGCGGCGGCGGCAGCAGCGGCTCATCAGGTAACAGCCACATCAACGCCACCGCCCGCACATAGCAATAGTGGAGGAGCAGCCAACTCCGATCCCCTGAAGGACGAGATTGGTAGTATTCTCGCCCAGGCAACTCTAATGCCCAGCAAAGAGGAATCAGGCAAGATCTTCGGCATAGCCAGCGTGAGTTTGGCCCAAAGTTCGGGGCCGGACAACACCAAGTGCACCCTGGGCAAGTGTGGATCGATCCACAAGCCTGTCCTGGGACCAGTGGTGCCCACGGAGGGCTACTTTGGCGACCAGCTGTCCAGCAAGGAGCGGCGCAAGGCCAAGGTGAACATGACGCACGAACAGATTCAAAAGTGGCTGATAGAGTGCTCATCCAACCCGGATGAGATTCAAGACGATCTCGATGATGACTTCGATGATAGCCTGAGACCCCAGCAATCAACCACGCCGCCGCCCACGCGAGATGATAAAGAACTGAGTGCGAGCTTCAGTTCCTCGTCGAAGAACACGCGCGGCGATCTGGGAAAGAGTGAGAGTGCCTGGTCGGCCAAGGGACCATCGCTGAAGGCCACGCCCGTGCTGGTCACTCCGCCCAGTCGCAAGGAGCAGGAGCAGGCGGATTTGGACCATGACAAATCCGCGACACCTGTGAATCTAACCCAGAAGATTACATCCAATGAGTCGCCGGCGGTTGAGAAGAAAGTCAGCGAACGGAAGGGCAAGGAGTCAATTAAAACTGCTGCCTCCAAGGCTGCTACTCAGCCAAGAAGTGCTGCTGCCACTCCACCAACTCCTGTTTCCTCCACACCCACTCCTGTATCGCTCACTCCAACCAAGAGCAGTCCCACTCCTCCACCAGCTGTTAAACAGAAACCGGAGAAGGGCAAGAGAGGTGGCGCTGCACCTGCAATAGCTTCTCCGCCCCCGGCACCCAATCCACCTCCCAACACCAAGCGAACGCCTGTTTACAACCAAAAGAACGCCAAGGCGCAGCCCCAACAGGCGGAGGTTAAGCCCGCAGCTAATCCGCCCAGCGGAACAGGAACCAAAAAGGAGTCTGTCTATGCCTTTGGCAAGGAGGAGGAGTCGTCCAGCAGCAAGCCAGCAGGCAATCGACGGCCAGCTGCCGTTTCCAATGCGCTGAGTGAGCGATCTCCAACCAAAAAGCGAGCTGCAGCCGCAGCGGCAGCCACGGCAGTTCAACTGACGCTCAGTCCCACGGAAAACTGCAAGATTGAGGGGAAACCCAAGACGGCAACGGGAAGGGGAGCCAAAAAGCAAGCAGCTCCAGTTCCACCTACTCCTGCACCTGCATTACCCGCAGAACCCAGTGGAGATTCGGATGCAGAGGGGGCCACCTTCTACATACCCCTTCAAGGAGCCGGCGTCGGAGGCAGTGGCGATGGCGGCATCCAAGGCGTCGCCGTAAAACTAGGAAGAGAAGGTCCCGATGGACCCAATCAGAAGGTGGTGATGCAGGCCACTTTGGTGACCAAAGCCCAGATGGACACCAATTCAAAGCCCCTGCCCGAGTCGCTGAATACCAATGAGCTGGTGAAGACCCTGCTCCATGCAGCCAGCAATGATGCGGCCTCAACGACGACAAGTTTAAAAAGTTTACCCAAGGCGAGCACATCGGCGGCAGCAGCAATTGCTCCGGGTGCCTCCTCCACCTTAGTGCGTGTGAATTCCAACTCTTCGCTCTTCTCCGGTTCGGCGAAATCCCGTACAGCTGCCCAGACGAGCTCCACAGCGGCGGCGGTGGCCAAGAAGTACAAGGATGACACGCCCATCAAGATGGCCAACAATACGGCCTTTCCGCGACACGATGATCCCACCCAAATGGTCGAGGCGCCCATTTTCAGGCCCACGGAGAAGGAGTTCGCCGATCCCATTGAGTTCATCGAGCGCATCACACCGATAGCAGCGCGGTTCGGCATCTGCAAGATCATTCCGCCGGCCAGCTTCAAGCCGGAATGTAGGATCTCCGATGAGATGAGGTTCACGGCCTACAATCAGTATGTGCACAAGATGCTGCATCGCTGGGGTCCAAGTGCCAAGGAGCTGAGTGCCATCAAGAAGTACCTGGCCACCCAAAGCATTGTGATGAATCATCCGCCTTGGATTGGCGGAATGGAGGTGGATCTCCCTAGATTATATCACACAGTTCAGGAGCTCGGCGGCCTGAAGGAGGTGATCGAAAAGAAGAAGTGGGCACGCGTCGCGGAGGAGATGTGCATACCCAAGCTGGCCCAGGATCGGGTGACCAAGCTGGACGACATATACTGCAAGTACCTGCTGCCCTACGACACTCTGTCGCCGGCGGAGCGGCAGAAGCTCTTCGACGAGGTGGAGGCCGACTGGGCCAAGCGGGAGGCGCGAGCGCGTCGCAATGCGGATCGTTTCGTGAACACGGAGAGCGTGTCCAACGAGGAGGACGACGTGAGCAGCGACGAGGACGAGGAGTCCGAGGAGGAGATCGATGGCGTGTCCATGGAGTGCATAGTGAAGGGAAGGAGCATGCCGCTGAGTCAATTCTACAGGATTGCCAGGAATACGATGGCTTTGTGGTTCAAGAGCACCGATCCCACGGTGAATGAGGTGGAGGCCGAGTTCTGGCGCCATGTGGCCGTCCGCGATAGCCATGTGTGCGTCCATTCGGGCTCCATCGATAGCTCCGGTTGGGGCTATGGCTTTCCCAGTCCCGGTCCCAAGGGCAAGGGCTCCAACTATGCCAGGCATCCGTGGAATCTGAAGGTTCTCACCAACAATTCCGGCTCCGTTCTGCGCTCCTTGGGTCCTGTTATGGGCGTCACTGTGCCCACGCTCCACGTGGGCATGCTCTTCTCCGCCTGCTGCTGGTATAGGGATCCACATGGCCTCTCCTGGATCGAGTACCTGCACACCGGAGCCTCGAAGCTGTGGTACGGCATCCCCGACGATCAGAGTGCCAACTTCCGTTCGGCGCTGACGTCCCTGATCCCGACGCACTGCCAGAACAAGACCATCTGGCTGCCCTGTGATACGGTGATGGTGCCACCGCACATGCTCACGGATCGCGGGGTCTCCCTGTGTCGCATCGAGCAGAAGCCGGGCGAGTTTATCGTGGTCTTCCCGCGGGCCTACACCTCAAGTTTGGCCACAGGCTATGTGGTTTCCGAGAGCGTTTACTTTGCCACCATGTCCTGGCTGGATTTGGCCAAGGACGACTTCAGGGTGAGTCTATTTAACTAGTATGAATTCAATGAATTATTTGGAATTTTTTCCCGTCATAATTTATATGAATGAACGGATTAGTTAGAATTCTGGAGTTTCCCTAACTTAGAATTGCGATTAAATTTGAAAACTTTTGAGTTTAATAGAAAGTTATCAGATCCATAAGAATGAATGGCATGTATCCTCCTTCACAAATAATTGTACAAAAACGCCATTTTCTTTTTGAAGAAAGTTTAATGTTACCATACAATTTTTGTGATTAAATCTGCTAAAACTTTATGGCCTAACTATCCAGAACTAATTTAAACCATTGATTTAAGTTAAAAATTAAATGGGCTCCAACAACAAATTATTTTTTTTTTTTTTTTAATAAAGTGACAAATTCAAAAAATTCGATACAAATTATTAATTCATTCTTTTACTTCTGATAATGAATTTAAAAATAATCATTCAAAAAAAAATGTTATTTTGCATAGAATTAAAATAAACAAATCAGAAATAAGTTTTTCAGTGGCATATTTTGATAAAATAAAAATCTGAATGATTTACGCAGGCCTGAATTAAACTAATTTATAATCTTTCTGGTTCTAGGACATCCATGAGAGCTGTGAGCCAGCCATGTTTTCGCTGGAGCAACTGCTGTTTGCCTTGGGCTATGACCAGCGTGTCAACTCTGAGGCGCTGCATCAAATGTTGCCCATGCTTAATGATGTTTGCGAGAAGGAATCTGCAGCCAGAGAGCAACTAAGGGTATTTAAAATTTTACTTTCCAGCTAAGCAAGCTAATAATTTATTAAACCTTTAATTTTTCTAGGCTGCTGGCGTAACGTCCACCGAGAAAGTGCAGGCTGAGAAGGGCCAGAAGGCCAAGAAACAGCAGCAGCCGCCATACAAGTCCATCGAGAGCGAGTGCGACCTGTGCCGCGCCAACCTGTACATATCGATGGTGCGCACCGAGGACGGCAACATCTATTGCCTGCAGCATGCGCTGAAGAACCTCAACAACGGCAACATCCAGGCCAAGCAATGCAAGCTAATCTACGCCTACAACGTGGATGATATACAGCAGCTAATCCGGCAGCTGCAGGAGAAGATCAACCACAAGGCGGCGGTAAAGAAAAAGTAGCATCGTCGGCGTCGTTACTAATCGGCGGCGCAAGAAAGATACAGATACGGATAAGACTGTGGATTAGGAACACCGCTGTACATATAAGATGTGATTCGCTAGAATGATAATTGGGTGAAAAATAGTGATGACTACGCGTTGAACACACACACATATGCTTATGCAACGTTTATCTCCCAGTTGACTAACTGACACTATTACTAACTGTATGATAAGAGTGTAGGATCGATCGGATATAGAGATGCACATCTCAAAACGGCAATGCTTTCAACTTTGACTAGTTTATACTTTTTACTGATAAAAAGTTTGCAATGATTTTTGTTTTCCATTTGGTTTTTTTGTTATGCAATATGTACCACCCCCCGCCCCCGAAAGTGTTATTAACCCCCCCACTTGTGTTATTGTATATAGAGAGCCTAGTATATATATGTACGTAGTTAGCTTTCGGATTAAGTCAGAGACCCTCAAAGAAACCATGCTAACGTGTTGCAATTTCTACTACCTTTTATACGCTAAGATAACGAGTAATTACCATAGATACCCAGCCCCATAGAGCGGTAGTTTCAGCACTAACAATAGCAAGGGACCGTCCCGGGATGGATCTCCGTCGACTAACGAAATCCAGAGTTACTATCGATGATAGCAAGTATGTGAAACCATACTGTCCATTCAACCAAAAACGATACAGACGAAAAATCCATCAAGGACAGACGATTGCGATTGCGAGAGAACTTTTCACTAGATGTTCAATGTATTTATATAGTAGTAATACAATATTTAAGTAACAAGTGCAACAATAAATCTTAACGCGATATATCGAAGCTGCCCTGTCTAGTTAATGCTACTCCAACTAATAGCTACAATTGTCTGGAGGGGGGAGGTAGTTATCCTATTTGGTTATCCTAATCCTTGGCTAGACCTTGGGCTTCTTCATCGCCGGCGGCAGGCATTCCGCACTGGCCACCGCCTGACGTTTGACGCCGCAACTGGGCATGTTGGCCACCACATCCTCCATCTGGCGCTTCAGCTCGGACACCTGGGTGGTCAGTTCGGTGATGCTGGCGAGGGCCTCCTGCAGGCGGCGATCCTGCACCTTGCGCGACACCTCCAGGCTGCGTATCTTTTGCGTGAGTGTCCTCTGGAGCTGATACTGCTTGAGCAGGTGCTTCGAGACGCGATCCCTCTGCGAGGATTCCGGCTGGGATGGTTTGTGGCTGGCAGTGATGGGGGCCAACTGAACGATGGCCTGCTGCACGAGGCCGTGATCCACGGGTCGACTGATACCGGTTCTCCGCACGCCACTGAAGCTTATGTCGCCCAAGGCACTGCAGACCACCAGGCGAGTTCCGGCCGCCGTGGATTCCGCCAACTGTTTCCGGTGCTCCATCTTGAAGTTCACAGCAATCTTCTCGTCGAAATGCTCGATGGCCATGGAGGATATGTCGCGCAGCTCCTGCAGGACCTCGTGCGGTCGCAGCTGCTTGGTGGAGGTGCTCAGAATGCGCAGGATGCTGTTGATCTCGTCCAGAACGCGACCCGGTATGAAGCAGCAGATGTTGAGGTCAATGAACTTGGAGTACGTCATGGTGAGCATGGAAATGCGGGTCTCGATGGAGGTGAGAATGTCCGAGTGGCGGGATAGGATGTGGTTCCTGAAGGGGGAAAACCCAATCATCAGAAACATCTCGATGTAACTAGAGTTGCAGATATAAAACTCACCTGCGTTCCGATTCTCGTCGTGGCAGCATGGATTTGATGCGCTTAAAGTTCTTGGCATGGGCCAATATTATCTTGTTGAATCCCTTGTTCAAAATTTGCTGGCCAAGGTAATTAAAAACAGTGCACACCTTAGGTGGAAATGGAAACGTCTAGTTTTAGTCACGGTTCGGAGAAGAGACACCTGAAGCTGACTCACCTCTCGCTTCTTGGCCACCTCGTCGTAGGGCATCAGCTCCAGGATGTCCAGGATGACGGTTTGCGGCAAATCCAACAGATTCATTTTTCTACTTAATTCTATTTTCGAGCGACGGATTTTATTCGAGAATATTGCTATTGTTTTTAGTAAGGCAGTGATTGCAGCTCTTTGAAAATACCGAAACGCTTAGTATTTTTGAAAATACCACGGTGAGCTAAAAGATCTAAAATATACCAACAAAAATCTGGTAGATACTGTACCGTTATTTTATTTGAATTCCTGATTTTTGAAAATTGACGTTTTTTAAATATTTTTGGACAATCTATTTCGAGTTGCAACAAAAATATCGTGAAAAATTTAGAACGAAACATCGGATAAAAACCTATTTTATTTCGAATATTTCTGATTTATTTACAAAATGGGGAACAACAACAATAAAATGAGCATGCAAATAAAGTTAAGCTTGTATCAGAAATTTGCTAGCATCATGAATATCATTAGCATAGGGTTCCAGCTCAGGTTTCTTCTTAGGAAAGTAGGGATTGTGCTCGGGATCGGCATTCAGGCTGGGAACAAGGAATAAGGTTAATAAAAATTATTTAAAGAAATATAATCCCGTCTTACTGGTAGAAATGGGTGGCCTCCTCGCACTTGACATTGTACCACCAGTCGCAGGCGAATTCCTTCTGATTGAAGATGGTTCCGTTGGTGCACAGGAACTTGGCGCCCTGCTCGCCCTCGCGTCCATCGTGGCACACGTGATACGCCTGGCAGCCCGTCTCCACATTGGCATACATCCCCGGAGTGGCCGGAACATTGTGGCAACTGAAGTGGGTGTGCGGAACCTCGTGGTAAACCGGATAGTCCACGCCCGGAACTCCGGGTATTTTGTTCAGATCTTGCTTCTCCTCGTGATGCGGCGAGTGTTCCGCTTGCGGGGGATTAAACAGATATCCGAATTTCTGTAAACATATCAAAGTATCAAACCATTGCATAAGATACAGGCCAGAGCTCGTGCCCCAATCCGGTTTGCTACGAGTAGTGCCTCATTATAACCATACTCGTGTGTACAATGTACATACAATCCTACATCTATTGCATGCTACAATTTTTGGGTCAAAAGTGAACGTGGCTAAGACACCCAGAGCTTTGTCAATTGGGGTGGCGCACGCTCCTCTTAATTGATTCCTCAGCATAACTATACACTCGAGATCCGATCCTCACCTGAACTTCGATGGCCACAGTCGCTCCAATCACGACCATTAGCCAAAAAGAGAAACAGCCCAGCTTTGGCATCATTATGTTACACTTTTCCGCCTACGTTAGAGTTTCGGTAGCTTTGGAGATTTTGAAGTTGCAGAGACGACCGCTCGAGTTGGGTTTGAAAATCAAACTGAGCTGCAATTTTCCAGCGGCAACCACTTGAGCATGGAGCTTTCAAGGGTACCGATCCGATTTCTGTAACGGTTTGGTTTGGTTTTGATTTTCGCAGCTGGAAGCTGTTGGCCCAAGCTTTTTCAAATTTCAAATTTCAAATTCCAAATTGGCAAATTACTTAGCTCTGCTTCAATTATTGCCAAAGTAAACGAACCGCTTGGAGCTTAATGCTCCCTCGTCCCCACATAATTATAATAAGTATATGAGCGATGTGGGAAAGTACAATGCAGCCGGGGCTGGGTTTATTTTGCAAGATACAAATTGTTTACGCTTAACTAGCTAAAAACGATGAATTCCCATTTCGCTTGGCCTGGCTTAGACGCTATAATACGTGGATGGGTTGGCAAGCGATGGGTGGATGCAACTGGATACACAGAACAAAATGTAAGATAATTATTCCGAATATACTAACAAATACTTTAAAAGATTTTTAAAATAACAAAATTATATACCCAAAACATTTTTGTTTAGTATAATTAACCTTTATAAAAGTTCATTTTTCAATGTAAACCACTTTTCTTTAAAATTTCTGTTAAAAATTGTATCTAAAAATACTTCAATTTTGAAAAATATAACATTTAAAATATTAAGAAAAATATATAATTCTTGGAAAAGTAAGGTACTTTTAAACAGTAGATCTTGTTCTGTAAAGATGAGTTTACTAACAAAATTTCATTTAAAAGTTAATTTTTCAATGTAAACCACTTTTCTTTAAATTTCTGTTAAAAATTGTATCTAAAAATACTTCAATTTGAAAAATATAACATTTAAAATATTAAGAAACATATATAATTCTTGGAAAAGCAAGGTACTTTTAACCAGTAAATTTAGTTCTGTAAAGATGACTTTGCTAACAAAAATTTCTCTCTGTGTATGGGCTGGGCATAAATGGTTTGCAAACATGGGAATGGGAATGGAAATGCACTAATCGGTGAGCGGGCGTATGGCAAAAGTTTTGAAATGATATGCACATGGGTTAGATAATGGTTGCGAACCACTCGTAAACTTAACTCTTGGCTACTGATGAACATAATCCATAAATTCTACTAAATTTGGGCATTCACTGCACTAAAACTAATAATTCTTTCGGCCCGTTTGCTGCAGGTCCAGTTTGTTCAGCAGATCGTCAAACTCGCTGAAGAGCTAAACAAAAAAAAAGAAGTGGGAAGAAGAAACAAAGTTATTACATCAAAGCCCACTAGAGATCGGTGACTCGTCGACTCACATGGGTTGTGCCATAGCTGTCCACATAGGTCTTGCTGCCCCGGGAGGTCTTCTTGAAAGCCGGCGGCAGCGGACTGTGACCATGCAGGAGATTCACATTCTGATAAGATTGCGCCTTGGCCGATCCGGCCAGTGGGTTCGACTGGCTCTTCCCGGCCACCGTGGGCGCCAGTTCCAGAAAATTGGGCACTGAAAGGGCGGAAGTTAATATCTAGTTACCCTTTGCAATCTAAATCGCTACTCACTCTTCTTGGGCTGCAACTTGACCTGATTGAGGAGGGGATTGTGCAACTGGAGCTGCCTGTAGATGGGCAGGGCGTGCTTGGGAGGCACCACCACGTGCTGGCGACCCACCACCTGGGGGTACAGGTAAGTCGTCTCCACCGTGGGCACCTGGCGGTAGTGGTACCGACCCTCCCGCGGCGTATACCTCCCATCCGAACTCAGGGCGATGTGGAAAACGGTGCGCATGGGTTTGTTGTAGTACTGATACACCTGAAGGAAGAATATGGAATTTATTTTTTTACATTTTTTCCATTTAAATTGCTTGATAAAATATTGGAAATATATAAGAAAAGTTTCATATTAGAACTAGTTAATACAATATTTAAATTTATTTATAATTGATAAAAACAAATAGATGTAAAAGATAGCAATTAAAATGTAAGTAGAATATTAAATCTTAACTTCTTTTTTAATATAGTTGTTTTCTTTATAATAGGTATGTTTACCCTTTGCCCAAAGTTAATGCGTTTGTTTTTATAGCTTCCCAACATACT